CTGTCGCCAACAACCCAGTGCCCTTCAACACTGAGCCCGAGCCCCGCAGCGAGCCTCGTGACGACGAGGGCAGCCCTGCCGAAGCAGACTTCGGTGACCACGAAGAGGATGAGGATGTCGGCAGTGTCTCGTCGGACGAACCGGCAAAGAAGCGGCCACGCAAAAGCATGAGTTCCGGGAAAAAGGGTCCCGAGCGCCACACCGCCCCAAAGCTGGAAGATCCGCTTGAGGACCCGTGCGCGTGTACAACAGCTTTTGCAACAAACATTCGCTTGAGTTTGGAGGAAGTGGAAAACGTGGACCCGATGCTGTCCCAAATCTTGAAGACCGCCTCGAAGTTGGAATTGTTGCTACCGAAGCTTCATGACTGCGGAGATGCAGGGGCTGAGATTCTCAGATAAAACCAGGATTGATGTTAACGGCGTGCCTGACAAACACAATTTGCCACCCCAATGAAACCAATTTTGCTGAGAACCCTAGGTCGGCTCAGGGCGTGGAGAAATTGCGGAAGGAGTTGATGACCCTGCATGATAGCATCGCGTCGTTGAAGGCAGAGTACTGTGCTGACAAGGAGTTGTCGTCGGAGCGCCTCGCTTCTGTTTAGTATTCAGGGCTCTCCTTAGGATTCAGTATACCTGTCAACGCTAAGGAAAACCGAGCAGCTGAGAAAGTACTTTCGAGGTGTGGAGTTGGCGTGGGGGGCCCTATCAACCCTTTCCAAGCCTTCTTCACGCGGTTCGTCGGCAGCCAATCCTTGCAGAGCGGCTGAGGTGTTCCAAAGCCGTGATGGAGGAAAACAAATTGAAGAAGCCGAGACCTTATAAATTGTTTTTGGGGGGGTATAAAGCTATTTTTCCGTGGCTTGTGGTTGCAATCCATTGTAAGGACAATCCTCAAGCCCCAGAAGGTGCCGAAGGCATCGAATCAGAAAACGAAAAGGAAGGAGCACGGTGATGCGTCAGTGTCGTCATCGCCTGTGGCTAAGCCCAAAAAAGCTTCCAAGCCCAAACCTGCAGCAAAGGCAGGGGGCCGTAGGAAGAAGTGATCAGTGCTGGCGTTTTCTTATGCTCGTGTGGCCCTTGCAAGAAAAGGCCACGAGGCTTAGCAAAGCAAAGGCCCCCTTGAAGCAGTGATGTTAAACTGTTTGAAGTTTGTACCCCGTTTTCGGATTCAATGATGATGTTTCTCACAAGGGGCCTGTGCTTGGCTGGGGGTCAAAACGCTGCATGGCTAGCCATGTAGCTGCGTGGCTTCACGCACCGTGCATTAGACTGTGCGCAGTCTATAGTGCCGAATCCTTTGCGTAATTAGGCCATGTGATCCTATGGCAGTGTGAAGGAAAAACCGTCGTTATGCACACTTGTCATTCGTGACTGCGAGTGTGTCTAAAATCGCAGCCTCTGTGGGGCCCGCGCAGGTGATGGTTCTCGGCAGAATCAGCCTCCAGGTCCTGCAGCCAAGGCTTTGGCAAGAGCTTCGGCGAGCGGGGCGGGGAGCGCAAGAAATATATTATAGTCGCTTTTGTTTTTTGGTTTTCTTTGCCGCGTGGTTTCTCTGTGTGAGACCCTTCAAGGTGGCGCAACGCACCCTAGCTTCTATAGTCTCTGGCTTTTGGGAAGAGCTGGAGGAGGTGAATGCAACAGATCTTCCGCTCCAAAGCTCTGAGTTCCTGGAATGTATGGACCGTGCCGCAAGAACTAGGCATGAGACTTTGCAAAGAACGGGCGCTATCTATGCCAAGCACGGCTTAAAAGTGCGCATTCCTATCGATGAAGTGGATATTGGCTTGCCGGCTAGACATCCGCTTATTCGAGTTGAAAGTATGCTACGTGCCATGGTCTTGCACAACAAGCTGTTTGAGTCATTGACGGGGGGAGACGGCTTCATCGCAAACAAGACGTTCTGGGGCCGGTTTTATACCTTTTACCCAGGGCACCGAGTTTTCCTTGACCATCAGGATCACCTGCACCATTGCCTCCCGATGTACTTACATGCCGACGAGGGAAGGTACTTGAAGCGTGAGCAGGTCTTCATACTGAATTGGCAAAGCCCCATTGGGAAAGGGACTCAATCCTCTCAGCAGTCTCTCCAGAACAATGCCCAGGGATTGAATTTTTTGGGGAATTCTCTGACCACTAGGTTTCTCATCACAACCCTCGTGTCAACATACTATCGAAAAGCAATGAAGGGAAGCGGGACCTTAGAGAATCTCATGGAAGCTGTGGTGGAAGAGCTTGAAACGCTGTACCGTGAAGGGGTTGAGCTCCCTGTTGCACCACAAGGTGGTCTTGTCAGAGTATTCCCCGTGGTATTGGGATTGAAAGGGGACTGGCCAATACTTATCAAGCTGGGAAACCTGCGCCGGCACTTTTTACGGCGCTCGGGTCATGGTGTATGTCATCTCTGCCACGCTGGTCTTGGTGATGTGGCCTATGAGCAAAGCAATTTTGATGCTGAGTGGGTGCATACCCTGTGTGCTACCCGCCCCTGGGACCGAGCCCCAACCCTCGCAAGGCTGTCTGGGTATGAAGCTCCAGAACTGTTTTTCCGCTTCGATCTTTTTCATGTTTGCCACAAAGGGATATTTGCGGAACTTGCGGGCAGCGGGCTGGCATCATGCCTGATGATAGTCCCGCTTTGTTGCGCAATAATGTTTCCTGGCATGCTTTTGCTAAGCGTAGCTAAGCGCGTCATGGTTCTGCGTGAGCCCTCCCTAAGGTAGCGATGATGGACTTGAACCTCACGTCGCGCGGCAGTGTGCCCTCCCAATTGGAAACCATATTTGGCCAGCTTCAGGAGTTTTGCAGAAGCAACAGCATACCGCTTCACATGACAATGCTTACCCGGACCCTTGTTGGCTACTCCCGGAGTTGCGACTACCCAACTGGGCAGCTTGCCTAAGTTAGCAAATTGTCCAAGGCACGTGTAGCCGATCTGTATGTTTTGCACAGTGTGTGGTTGTTTGTTCATTTTACCAACCCAATGATGCCTAGGTCGTGGTTCAAAGGTGCAGATACGTCTGCTGTGGTGCAATTTCTGCAGCATGTGTTTGAGACTACGGAGCCGCCCAGGGGCTATGAACTTTACTGCTCGTGCATGCATGAAGCGTGCAGAAGCGCAAACAAGTTCCTGCGGACGTTGTACAGTGCCGGGTTGTGGCTTGCACCGCGGCAAGCTTCTGAGGCCCTTCAAGCTGGAAGAGGCTTTCTTCAAAGCTACAGGGAGTGTGCTGAAATCGCATATTCTTTGGGGCAGACCCGGTTCCATTTGACACCAAAGTACCACGCTTTCAGTCACTTGATTTTCTCTTTATTCCAACAACTAGGCCAAGCCAGAGTTGACATTGATAGCCCGGCTATCATGTCACCAATGTCGGAGTCCTGCCAAATGGACGAAGATTTCGTCGGCAGGCTCAGCACCTTGGCGAGAGCTGCTCCAACAACGACAGCGCACACAACTTGCATCGCCCTCTATTTGATACAGCTGCAACAGCACTGGTTTCCTTGACTCTGAGTCTGGGAGCCCCAGCAACGCAAACCGCGTGGTTGCGCGCCGTGTGTTGAGCCGAAACAGCAAAGCGGCGCTGCTGTTGCTGCTTTGTGCTTTCCAGCCGTTGGCTGGAAAATCAAAACATACGACTTTCATGACAGTGGTGAGTGTACTTACCACTTTTGCTAGTGTGCCATTTTTTTCCACAACTTGGTTCTTCAGGCAGTAGCTCACATTCTAGTGGACTGTTGCAGCTAAAGTGGTTGTCCATTGCAAGCAGTATAAACACCCATAAACATGAGAATGAAGTGAGTCTGTCCGAAAGTGGCGGATATTCGCGCATCTCCTTTGTACTGAAAACTTCGAAGTGGGGTTTACCGCGCAGTCTGCCCAGTCGGTCCGAGTCATGCAACCGGCGTGCAGTCTGGCATCTTCCCAAGTTCTGAATCAAATATGCAGAAGAGATAAATCCTCTGCCAGCACCCCACCCCCCCAACAACTGCTTCTTCCCATGTCCAAAATCTCAAGTACTGTCCAACAACCAGTGGTAGGGGGGGTGCTGGTGTGTTGCTAGAAACTTGTTTCCCCAGCTCTTTCCTGCGATGTATGGCGCTGTTACGACATAAGCTCGCCACTTGTCCACCTCCCGGCGAAAAAGTGGCAGGGAACGAGTTGACATGGCCCCAGTAGGTGTTTCCTCGGGGATCCGAAACATGTCATTTTCCAACTCTCACACGAGTTCCTATCGAACACGTCTGTCATTAAAACAAAAAACAGGGGTGTCTTTTCTTGGCCCGAGTTGGAACCCCCCTAGGTCTAAGTCTTCCCCTGGCCGGAGAATGCGAGCTGGCGAAAACACATGGTGTTTTGTTTGAAGGATTTTTGCCAACATGGCGCAACGGGGTTTTCCTTTGGGTTGCTCTTTACAACCACGACAAATGACATCAAACCCACCGGAGAGTCCCTGATACAAGGAGGATGGTCTTCCCGAGTCAACATCCTGTCAGGTTCCATGCTAATTGGTGCGAGGGTAGTTCCCAAGAGCAACCAAGTGCTAGATCAGTTTCTGTTTGCTTTTGCTTAGATTGCTGCTCTGAAGGAAGGTTGCTGGTGCCATGTTAATTGGAACTCAAACATACTCAAACCAATGTCAGCTTCCCTCCAAACTGGGTTGATGGAGGAGGGTTTTCAGTTTACCAAATCCAAAAGCCAGGGCAAATTCCAAATCCAAACCACCGATCCAAACCGCAACTAGGTCCTCCAGAGAGGTTCGAATAAGGGTGCCCTTTTTCTGTAGTCTATTTAAGTAGGGGAACCGAATCTCCCAACCAAAAAAGTTGGGTGAGAAAGCAATGGCGCCCTTTCGCTGGGGGACCTAGACCAACTTACCTGAAAATCGGAAAACACCAATCCCAACTCCAACTCCAAATCTCGACACGAGACCCAACCGACCCACCGACCCCGACCCAGAAGCGACCCCGAGCGCGAGCGCGAGAACCGATTCCCCGAGCCTTGGAAGCCAAGCCATGGGCCCAGAAAGCCGCCAGCAGCTTCATTCCTGCGCTCGCGTCTTTGGGATCTTTGCTTTTTTTTTGTTGGGGGGGGGCAGTGACCAATGCCTCTCCAGAAAATAAAAAAAAGAAGAAACAAAAGAAAGAAACAAAAACGGGGGGGGGAACAAAAAACGCTGCTTGGATTGCTAGGTGCTCCAAATTTGAGAGATTCGAAGAAGGGTAGGGGAACCCTCCAAGAAGAAAGGGCAAAAGGGCACAACTCAGAAACCTAGTGGATTGCGCTATTTTTTCTTTGAGGTCTTTGGGGTTTTAGGTTGGTCTCCCTTTGCCACATACGGAAAAGGCGGTTTTGGAGACCTTCTTGGTTCCGTGGGCAAAACCTTTAAAAGGCTCGTCCGAGGTTGCCGAATCCAGGCACTGAGGAAGTGAGGTTTGCGGTTTGGGGGATGAGATTTCCTCAGAGCCAAACACATCCCCTTTTTGGGGGTGGGAAACGAAAGGAAAAACACGACTTTTGGAGGATCCCAAGAAAAAAAGGCACGCCCAGGTCTTCCTTTGGCTTCTCAAAGCCATCCCAAAATGGTTCTACCTTGAGCGTTCGCAGGCGGAAATTATCCTGTGCAGGTGATCGGAATCCGTGGAACAAAATTCACCCGTGGAGTGAAACGGATCCTCTGAGTCATGAGCAGCTTGGATTTGCTGTTCTACTGTGATACTGTGGATAGACAAAATCCACTTGAGATTGACTAGGTCCTCCAGTAGAGAGGTTAGAATAAGGGTACCTTTTTTTTTGCAGTCTATTTTAGTAGGGGAAACCTCGCAAAAAAAAAAAAAAAGGTAAACCGGCACTACTGGGAGACCTAGTTGATGAAACCCGGAGAAAACCACCTACCAACTAAGATTGCCTTCCGGCTTGGACCAAAAGAACAAATGGCAGGGCTGCCGGGGAATTGCTGTTCGACTATGATGGGACAACTGGACATAATACTTCTTTCACTGATACTAGCGGCGTGATTCTGGGAAGAATGGCTTTCTGACCTTCACAATAGTTCTTTCTCTGATACATCAGTATCACGTGCCGTGGCCCCTCCTCAGTTGTGCAGTGACCCTGGAAACAACAGGGAACCCTTTTTGGGGAAGACGTGGGGCAGCCACCAAAAAAAAGGGAAAGTAAACTGGTGCCACTGAACAATTGAGCCTCAGTCCCCAGACTGGCCAGGCAAAACCTCGGAACCCCTCGATCTCTGCGGCTGTCAAACTGCGGGCCGGTTCCGCCCGGAGCCGGGACCAGACACACACACAAACTCCCATGCCCACCTACAATACGTTGAATCACCACAGAGGCCAGTGGAAAAACCAATAGAGGGGTTGAGTATTTCCTAGTGACTGGATTTGGAAACTCCGCTTGGCCTGGTATTCCTCTGGCACGTGTGCATTTCTCAATCTGTCCGGGCATTGATGCACAAGGTTGACATTGCATTCACAAGGAACAAGTTGAACCGTCGACACAAGACCGCCCAATATGCACATCATACGTGCCCCGAAGAAGCTAACATCCAAAAACCGTTTGTTTGCATCAGCCGACCGGCAAAATCCCCGAGCTGCCCGGCGCACGTGGCCATCCGCGGCGCAACGCTTGCGCGCGGCTCGAGCCAGAATGGAGGACGGGTTCACCCTGAAACGTGGCATGGACGAAAGCAGAAGCAATCTGCATATTTTGCAATATGGCAGTGGCTCAAAATTAAAGAGCTAGGGTTACGCAGGTGTTGGTACCCATTTTTCCACTTACCAGGGCAACCCATTTTGGTGCCGGTTTTTTGAGCCATACCCATATGTCCAAAACTTGAAATAAGAATTCAATCCCTCAGTGAAGGATTTTTCCCCATGGCTTGAGCTCATTTTACCCCCGAAACGGTGAGCTCGCCAGGATATATGCAAAAGCCAAGACCAAACGCAGCTTGACTTGTTCCATCTTTAGCGGGGACTTCTCACTTTTGCGGGGAACAGCTAGCAATCCACCAAGTTGATTCATCCGGGATCAGCATCGCTGCAAATAAATAAGACACGTGCCATGGTCAGGACAGCTTATGGGCATGGTCATGGACCCCTCAATAGGAACCTTTACAATAGTTGTCCATTATCCCCTATGAAGGGGCTGATGACAATCTCAATCCCACTTGGAGGGGTGTTTGGACAACATACTTTGGATAGACAAAAACCAGCACCAGTCAAGTTAATAAAACCCTGCGAATACTGGGATATGGGTGTTGTGCATGCACAGCACGAACAGAACTGTTGCTTGGTGCCCATGTTGCGAAAGTGCTGCCAGCCAGCCGTCTGACTCGGAGAAGAGTGGGTCCGAAGCTCTTGTCAGCTCGAGCTGTACCCTCAAGCCTCTGGCACCGCAAACACACAGACACACAAACTAGCAAGCAAGCAAACCACCAAGCAAGACTTGTGGCCTTTTACCGGGGGGGATTGAAGATGGATTTGCACGGAGGCTCCACTTGTGATGTATATATGTAAACACACGTCAAAGCTTCCGTAAAAGTGTGCTGCTGGGAAGAACATCGAAATTCTTAGAGCCCGCGTTTGCTTTTCAGTGCTCGTGTTGTGCGTGTGTGTGTGTGTGTGTGTGTGTGTGTGTGTGTGTGTGTGTGTGTGTGTGTGTGTGTGTGTGTGTGTGTGTGTGTGTGTGTGTGTGTGTGTGTTTACCCATTTGTCTTGCTTTCAAGTCTCCAATTGTTGTGTGAAGCTTGACTGTGATTCCACGTGTGGCTGAGGCTCCAATGTCGATCAACCACAAGCACATGAAACATCTACACATGTGCTTAATGTTCTTTCAAAGTGCAGCAACAAAACGGGCCGCTCACTAAACTCCAAGTTTCTAGTAACACTTTTCATCTTGAACTTGACAGGACAAATCCATGCCATATTTCAACCAAAGCTGCGGTGGGCCTGGTTCGCATCTCTCTGGGACGGCGGGTCGGACCTGAGAGCTACGGCACAAACGCCGAACGGTCAGACCATTCATTGGGTGGATTCCTTTAGGCTTACTTTAGACACACCGGCGCTAAAAGGGGTGCGCCTGTTTTGGGTGCACCTTTTTTTGAAGTTGGTTCTCCTTTTCTTTTTGTTCAAAGGAACAACAGAAGGAAACCGAAGGTTGTGCCATTGTGGGGGGTCCAACTTAATAAAGACACACCCAATTGCACGGCCTGGTGATATCCCCAGCAACCGCCACCCGGAGCCCGAACTTCCGCAACAAGAGCGCCACTTCGGAGCTCTGAAAAAACCACCTTGCGGTCCTTTGCCCAAACCACACTTTGCAAGTCTGGCGCGCAGCCGCTTTGGACTTTGGGCAGTGTTGTTGCAACACCATCTGTTTCTAAATAACCGAATGACGGAAGAACCACATTGGCCGGGTCAAACTCCAAGCTCCGTCCCGCAAACAACAGTCAAAACCAAATTTCACAGCCGCATTCAGGTTCTGACAGAAAAGAGGACCCATATTCGATCAAATTCATATTCAACCTCCCCACAAATGGCCTCTCCCCCACGTGAATCATGTAATTACCTGGACAGCCATTCCCATGACTAGGTCACTTTCAAAAGAAGGGGGCTGCTCGCTATCGCCCCCAAGGGCAGAAAGCAAAACCATGATGCAGCTCTATGAGCTCCCCGCGCTCGACCTAAGGCGGCAATCAGTTGACAAGTTTGGGAAGTCCAGCGCCTGGCGCAAAGCGCCTGGCGCAGGAGTCACAAATCAACTCCCGTCGGTATCAAACTGGGAACCCAACTCCATGGTAAAGTGAAGAGGCGGACATCCGCACCGATTTCTGGCGGCCCCTCAACCTTCATCTGCCCGAATGGTGTTGATTCTGACTTCAAGCGCACCTGAAGGTTGTTCCCACATAGATATCCAGCTCCCCATTGCCCTCCCTCCTTCCTCGAGAACTACAACGTAGCCCACAATTTTCCCAGTACACAAATGGGTGTGCATGGCAAACGAGCACTTGGGAGGGTCTACCGGGCAGCTGCTCTCAAGTTTTTCGGCCGGCCGCATTGAGCACCCAGCGGAGGCGTTGCGCCATCCAATTGGCAGCTCAACGCCTGACATCCCAAGGCTGAGCCAGTCGAATTGTAAATGGTTTGGGCCTTCAATCGGTGCAGGTTTTCACAAGAAAGATGCCATGTGCCTTCCAAATGTAGTTCTCTAACTAGCTTTATGCCCACCCTTGTGGCTCGGTTGACAAATGGGGATCAAACTTCTCTGCCTCAAAAACGGGTTGAGTTTGATCAGGGGCATATTCCATCAGATGCCTTAAATGGAGAGACACCCAATCCACTTGAAACTTGACCAGCTTCCGTGAAAATCCAGGGGTCCCATTTCCTAACTCATTTTAGTGATCATCTTAGGGTTCCAATTAATTACTACTCTGGTCCACTAACATGGGACCCGCGACAGAACCACCCTTGTCAAGGACAAAAATTGTCTTCCACACCCCGTGTGATCTAGAAACCGTTTTGGATTTGTGGATTTCACCTGTTCTTCCCCCTGTTGGTTCTTTTTTTTAGTACTCTTTTAGTACTCTTTTAACCTTCTACAGGGGTGGAACCACAAAAGCCACATCCAAACCGTGTTTTAGATGAGAGGTTCCATGTTTGTGGATGCGACCCCTTCGGGCTACCCATATCTCCATCCAATACGAGGTCGAAAGGCATGCAGTGGCCTTCTCGTTTCGATGGTTAGCCCGCAATCCAACGTAAACCCCACAGAAATCAGGTGAGAGTATGGCTAGAATTGTCACGCAAATCTGAGGGACAAAACAGTATATCAGGTGTTGATTGTTGGTTTTGTGGTTGGTTGTGTTTTTTGGCGTGCGTGTGTGTGTGTGTGTGTGTGTGTGTGTGTGTGTGTGTGTGTGTGTGTGTGTGTGTGTGTGTGTGTGTGTGTGTGTGTGTGTGTGTGTGTGAGTGAGCAAAGTGGGGCTGCATGACATCCGTGTGTTGCAAATTGTGCATGGGGATGAAAGTGGCAGAGTCTAATTCGCTAAAATCGTTATGTTGACCCAAAAAGATTTCCCAGAATCCAAGCTTGTTACATTTTCTGGCACTTTTGGCAATTTCTGGTATTTTCCGGCATTTGTTGGTACCTTCTGTTTGATTTTTGTGCTATTTGTTTGTGCGAGAACTGCATGAAGTCCCCTGATGTTCGGTGGGTGCAAGCTGGTAAATTGTAGTTTTCTGTGGGACCAGGGGGGGGCTGAAAGACCCTACTGCGGGGTCTGGGACCCTGGTAGCGGTTCGGTACTGGACACTATCTTCGGTTCAATCCTTTGAGATCAAAAAACAAACGCTTCAATCAACCAAACAACATGTTGACTCAAAGCAAACAAACACGACAAACTGCCAAAGCACACAAACAAGCAAAAAACAAATACACACCTCACTTCTTGAGTTGATGGGCCGACAAATCAGTCCTGGAACTGTTCGTTTGCCACTAAACTTGGGTCCAAACCCAAAAAAAGTCAAAAAGTCAACATGAACTCTGGGAGTTTTTGACACAAAAGGACGAGTTTCTAGGAACTCCCCCCCTTCCCCTCCCCCTCCTCCCCTGCCCCCCACCCGGCGTCCCCCCCCCCTCGCCCCCACCTGGCGTGCCAGCTGCTGCCTTCCTTCCCGCAGCGCGCGCACGGCGGTGTCCAGCGCCAGCTGCCCCTCTTGGAGCTCCTAAGTCTGCAGTCGACACCCGACATCTGGAAATCTCGCGGGTGGGGGGGGGTGGGGTGAGTCCCAAACCGGGGGTACCTTATCCCGTAGGAACCGGTACCCTGTGGTAGCGGCAAAACTCGGGAAATTGGGGATGGTAGGGGGGGAGTGGAGGGGGGGTGGGGGGGGTGGGATTGGCCCAGGGACAGAAGAAGAAGCTTGAAAAACCTCCAGACCCAAGGACCTCTTCAACACCAAAAACTTGCCCCTGAGGGAGGGAGTGGGGCTGGGGGCGAGCCACGAATCCTGCAAAGAAACCCAACGGACTGATTCGATTCCCCTTGCAAATAACAAGAAACCCATGAGTTTCAACCATGGTTTCACTTCGTGGTGCTAAATGGGTTTCGTCCATGGCATCACACGCGGGGGAGAAAGAAAAAACAAAAAAACGATCCTGAGGCGAAATCCGCCTTAGCATCTACCCACCTCCCACTCCCAAATCTGGGAGTGTTTTGCTCGTCATTTGCTTGAAGCCACTAGCCACTTGGTATCCGCTCGCTCCCATACCCGTTGGTTTTTTATGGCCTCAAAAACTAGAATGGGGTTGCGGGGACTTTGAAACTTCATGAGTCATTTCTTTTCTCAAGAGAATACCCTGCAAAGCCCCAAGAAAAGCACCCCAGCGGTCTGGTCTCAGCTGTCTTGTCTGTTCCCCGATTCCGAAAAAGCCCAAGCGGGCTCCGCAGCCCTGCGCAATGTTCACCAAACATTTGCCACCCCCTGGGTGCGATTCCCTGGTGGCAACCAACTAGAGCCGAGTCTAGGTCCTCCAGATTTGAGAGGTTCGAATAAGGCTACCAACGTTCTTCTTTTCTGTCTATTTTAGTAGGGGAACCCTCCCAAACAAAAAAAAGGTGAGAAAGGGCACCTAGCTGGGGGACCCAGGAGTAGAACCCATGGAACAAAAACCCAAAATCCCACCCATGGAGATTCCTTACAGTTAAGGGTCCGAGCGATGAATCTTGGAGCTCCAACATCACCTTGTTTTCAGACCCTTGTTAAGGGTCCCCGGGTTCTGCATACACTTGCGCCCCGATCGGACCCTGAAGGGTAGGTCTCACTTTAGTGTACTTCTAGGGTACCAGGGCCCCATTCTATCCAGAGATCCGAGTCTTTTCAGGAAACCATGCAAAAACCCAGGTCGGAAACAGCAATCGGTCTTTGAAAAAGAACGATGGTTGAAAAGAATGGTGGCTGCGGCTCAAAAAAGCGGAACCCATTTTTGGGCCCCTTGGATGGAAACAAAGACCCAAATCTGCGTAACCCCAGCCACACCCTGGTTGGAATCAACCCCTAGAATACTAGGTTTACATTGCAGCCCCCTCCTTGAGACGCTGCCGCTGCACGTCTGCCAAGCGCTCGATCTGGGCACAACGGTGCCTTCCGTTCGACGTGTAATCACGGGTGCTGGCAGGGAGGGAGGGAAGGGAGGGGGAGGGAGCCCCAAAAATCCTCATTAAGCCCTTGCTAGGGCTTTATTCAGGGCTTATGTGAGCTCCCTCCCCACTCCCCTCCCTCCCCCCCAGCCACCATAATGTAAGTTTTGTTTCAACATTGATGTCGGGTGTCAGGAGATGTTAGTTTCTGACATGCCTCCTTCATCACATTCATGCCCGCATCACTACGTACCTAGAAGGGAGGCAGCGTAAGCAGTCCATGCATGTGGGACAACTGACAGCGTTCATTCAGGTCAGTGTGCAACAAGCTCGCCGAGTCGCCGTTTCGGCTGCTGCAAGCAACCAATGCCATAGCTGGTTACTGTTCACCTCTACCGCTGCCTTGGGGTTGTGTGGGGGCCACCTCTCTGAATCCTTCTGCATCCAAACACGAGAGGTCCCAACTTGAAGGGACCCAGAGGACAAAAAATCCAGCGCCACCTGGCCTCGCCGCGCTCCCACTTCCGACTGGAGACCCGGGGAATCCGCCGTATCTTGGCCCCCCGCACTGAGCAGCAGATCCTGGGCCCAGGGCAACTTCGCTTTGCGAGTCTGGCCATATGAAACCTTGATCAGATGGACGTGGATGCGGACGCGAATCTAACCCCCAACAAGGCGTGCGGTGTTCCTTTCTCCCAAAAGAGAGCCCCAAAAAAAGCGCAACAAGGCTCAAAAGAGGACCAGCACCCCACAACCCCTGATTTCTGGGCAGTACCGAGGCAAGTTGGGTGGTGGTGGGGTGTGACCCCATTATTTAGGGACTCCTGAAACATGCTTGGTTTCCTTTTGCTTTCTCTTTCAAACAGCCCAAAAAGGGTTTTTCTGAAAACAACAGATACACCCATATCTGCTGCGCCTTAAGTTGCCTATGAGAAACTTTCGGAGAAAAAGAGGTCCCAGGCAAATGGGCGGCTCCTGGTTTCTTGCTCGATCTGACTTCTGCGCGTTGAGCGGCTCACGATCCCACTGATTCCAGGCTACCGAAGGGGCTCCAACGTGAGGCGTACAACCACTCTGGGCTGTCCGGTGCCTGAGTCCCCTGCTACAAGCGACTAACTTTTGGTGGGTTAAATGCGGAAACCCAACCACTCAACCAACGAAAAAGCGAAAAGTCTAAGGGGATGGCTGGGATGGCCGCCAAGTCTCAACTCAGGTGGTATATAGTACCCTCAAGCAAGCCCTCCATTTGTTTAAGCCCCCGGGAAAACTAAAAACATGTCCAGTAGTGATAGATTCCCTTTAAAAACCAAAAGGGCAAAATAAAACATATTCTTAAGCAAATGGAAGAAGCCAACACCTCAACCATCAAGCGCCACATTGCCTGGTCCGTCACCATGTCTGCAGCTACAAACGCCCTCGTCGCTATCCGCGGCACAAAGCGCAAAGCATGCCCGCGGTTGGTTGAACATGTTGAACCAAGCAGCTCGCTTGCTTTGGTGTGATCGCCGCTGAACGTTGGTCGTTGCCACTCTCAACACAATGTGTCATGATGTCTCATGAAAAATGATGCGCACCTTGGCTTTTATCTGAGCAGGGCCTGCATTGCTTGTTCTTTCAGTGTTCTTTGCCTAACGGCTGCGAAAGCACCGACACAATACACAGGCATCCAAGCTGTCTGCAATGTGCCGATCACACACCGACACAAACACAAACACAAACACAAACACAAACACAAACACGACGAACACGAACACAAACACGAACACGAACACGCACACGCACACGAACACGAACACGAACACGAACACGAACACCCACACACACACACACACACCACACACACACACCACACACACACACACACCAGACACACACACACACACACCCCACACACACACACACCACACACACACACACCACACACACACACACACCCCTGGACCTGTTCTCAACACAGCCTATGCAAGTCAATCTGTTGTGCCCAACGTCTAAACAGGCTATCGTGAATCATTCATCAGGCCTATACTGTGTATACTAAATTGCATCGAGCAAGCAACAATCACAAACATGCAGGGACAAACAAGCAAACATAAGAACACGAGGTGCGCAACTCAACATGCTTGTGGCCTTATCCGCCCGTGCCCCGAAAGACGAGAGTACTGGAGGCTTCTCTGACACGCGCGCGACCAATGTGGGCAAATCCAAAGAGGGTGCAGTCAGCAACCAATTGATCTTCCCTCATTCCTGACGGGTCGCTGATTTCGAATCTGTGACCTCTCGGTGGAAGGCGTGCATGAGAAAAAGATGGCCCTCCTGTTCCCTGGCTAAAAACTACAAGGCGGTTCTGACTTCAAGTAGAGGGCACACACACACACACACACTTTGGGGAGGGTGCTGTTGCGTAGGAGGCTGCTGGGTGCTATAGGCAGTTATAGGGTGTTGGTGAGCGAGACCGAACGTTTCGCAGAATGATTTTACACCGTGCTGCTGCTGCGCAGGATGTTTTTCAAGCCTCCTGTTGCATGGGGCATTGTCGGAGGGTGTTCCAGAACAGGGTGCTAGTGCAGCAAACACGTGCGCTCAGGGTTCTTTCCGTGATTTGCCTTCACACATGTCAAAAACCTGCTGCTTTGACACCTACATAATTGCGCTATCTAGGGTCCTTGCTGATGATATTTCCATAGGGGCCGGGGCAAATCCCGAATACAGGGTTTTAGACTCCCAAATACCTCAGATATTTTTGGTTCTGCGCCCCTCGATTGTTCTTTTTTCTAGTCTTTCGCCGTGACACCTCGCCCATTGCCGCCCTCATTGCGACGACTCCCTCCTTTTCCTCGCCCAATACGGGAGCTCCGAACTCCGGCGGCGGCGAGAGGCTTGCTAGGGGCGAGTGTGACAAATCTGGTCAAACAGATGTAACGTTCTTGGCGTCCAAAGGAAAGAAGAGGAGCAACTGAGTGCAACACGGGCTAAAACTTAGATCTTTTCGCAGGAAATGCCCCTTCTTTGGTGAGCCAGAGGCACACGAGCAAAGCACTCGCAGCTCTTGGTCACGTGCTCCCACCCCTTGCGAGTGGACGAATTCAAGCCCCGGGGCGTCTAGGCCAGGGGAATAGCCTTGCAGCATGCGTTTGCGCTGGCCAAGAGCGTTCCCCCCAGGCAATTGGAGCTTGGAAAGCTGGCGTTAAGTGCAAGCATATGGTCTCGCTGCCACTGCGCGCTTGTCACATGAATGTCGTGGGCTGGCGAAGAAGGACCCGGGGACATTATATATACATGTGTATATATATATATATATATGTCCTCCATTAGAGGTTAGAATAAGGGTACTTTTTTTTTCTTCTGTAGTTCTGTAGTCTATTTTAGTAGGGGAACCCTCCCAACCAAAAAAGTTGGTCAGAAAGGGCACCTAGCTGGACCTAGTAAGTCAACACTTCCAAGCCGATCCTGAATTTGTGAAACCAAGCTGTCGAGGCCGCGCGGAGAACCTGTGCAACGGGCTCCGGGCAACATGACAATTCTCCAAATAGGAAATCCCTTTGAACCGTTTTGGGATGCCCATACAGGAAACCAGTTGGATAGTCTTTTGGGGTCATTCCATTTCGCATTCCCTGCTGAGACCCGGCAAGCCTTGCTAGGATGGTCTTTGAACAGCACAACAGGATGAACCGACCCTCTCTAGGTCCTCCCGTAGAGCGGCTGGAATAAGGGTACCAGCTTTTTTTTCTGTAGTCCATTATAGGAACCCTCTCCCCACCAAAGGGTAAAAGGGCACTACTGGGGGACCTAGTCTTGGAGGAGCCCTAGTATCTTGACCCCCCAAACTCAATCAAAGTGGCTGGGGCGATGGGGATACCCACAGTACAGTTGAGATGTGACGCGAGAAAGTGCCAGCAACATATCGCAGAAGTGGGACGCGAGCTGGGTTCAGAGACTGGTCTCGAGCCTGAATCGAGACTAAAGCAACTCGGGGTATACGGGGACCTGGAACCGGGTTTTGCATACCAAGCTTTGATCGGACCTTAGGGATCCTTTCGAAGAAAGCCACATTTCAAAAGGCGCGGCATCGGCTCAATCGTCCCCATGAAGGAATCAGTGCTTTGTTTTGGTCACGGGCGCATTTAAGCAAAAGAAAGCGCAAAAGAAAGGGTTAAGTGGAAACCCCCGCAAAACCAACAAACACTTCACCCAAGCTTCCCGGCTGGGAACCACGCCTCAGGTCTCCTGGATCTCCTCCCGAAACTCCTACGCTGCAAAAGCTTTCGATCTCTGTCTGGCTCAGCCCTGTTGCTTTGAGTGACTGGTGCGACCGTAAACCGGCAGCCAGGTGGATTGTTGACCGGCTCGCAGATTCGGAGACAGAAGCTAACAGCACTTGCTACGCTCCCAGCTGTCCACATAAAGGTTGATCAACATTCTAGGACGTCAAGTCACCAAGGGTAACTCGTTGTCATTTAGTGGGAAATAGCATCTGTTTCCTGGTTTTCCAACCAATGGTCATCCCATGTACAGGACCTTTTGATAAACCCCCACTTGACTTGTCTACCTTGGCATCGCGATGGCTCGCCAACCTATGACAGTGTGCCCGACTAGACCGTCGCCGAAGCTGCACGACCCGTTTTGAAATTCCCACTAGGCTGGCATGTGGCCTCAAAATTCAAGAAAAACCGGGGCAAAGCATAATTCTGGCATGTTCGGCATAGCTGTAGTCATGCTTTGAAGGGTGGCCATCCATTTATCACTGTCCTGCGCATTTCAACGGGACGTCCAGCAAACAATTCACCTCCAAAACGTTGTATTTCTTTAATTACTCCCTAGAAACAACTTAAAAACCACATGTTGCCCCTACTTTGTTTGGAATGGCCGCGTTTTGCTTGAAAAGAAACCGGGGCTAACCTCAACCCAAGAAAGGTCACGACTATCTACTGTTAATCCATGTCCAAGACGAAATTCGCAAACTCTGCTTCCAGCGACAAGTTTGTAAAGATTCCTATGGGTCGTTGCTCTGCTCCTCATAAGACAGATTGTAGGAGCTCCTAATGTTGACCCAGGATTAATAAACCCATCCCACTTTTTGGGGGGGTGTTCCCTCCCAAAGTGGTCTGAATCCCCACTAAAAGGGGACACCCCCCAATAAAAATCAGCCAGGGGTTCTGCTTAATCCGGGTTAACCATATTCTGGGAGGACCGGATCAGTTCGAGCATCTCAGATCCTTTCTCGATGTGTCAAATTATGGATTCCACAGGAGTCACTGGATTTCTCCAAATCGAAAGTTGATGAATTTGCTGGTTCCCCTTGAAACGAGAAAGCCACTTTTGGACGTTCCAAAAGGGAATGGCTCGGAAAACCCTCCATTTGCATAAGTCCAATGAGAACATATATCCAGTAGTGAAATCAATTCCCTTTAAAACCGACAGGGGAAAAACAAATCATTTCAGTTTAAATGGCTCGGCAACCGGGAACACACAACATATTCATTTCAGCAACTGGCTCAAGAACACCTTCTGCAATAAAACCCAACAAATCTCATTTCAGCCAATGGCTTGGGGAAGAGAAAAAAAAAAAAAACAACAACTTCTGATTCGCAACTGGCCAACAAACATGTTCAGCAAATGGCTTGAAAAGAAAACTTAAGCCGCTGGCTCGAACACCTTCTGCACCACAAGCTGTCCTCGCGACGCGCGAGACAAATCCCTTGGTCCTGGGCCTCCTTCCAAGCCTCGGAGGTCTCCTCGGCGGCAAGCGGCCAAAGCATCGATCCGGACATATGGTTGTTCTTGGTCGTTTTTGTTTATTGTTATTTTCCTTTTTTCCCTTTTTCTTCCGCATAATTAGGTTTTCTGTGGTTTTGTTTCTTTATATATATATATATGTGTATTATAATTACTACTTTTATGTATGTGTATATATGTATATATATATATAAGTATGTGAGATATATGTATATGCATACATACATACGACATAATTCATGACAACTTAGAAGACCTATTAGCCCCATCCTTTTTCACATGGAGCCTGACGTTCGGGAAATGGTCCCACATGGTCCAAACCAGGACCCCCCGAACGTCAGGTTCCATGTTAATTGGTGGGAGGGTTTATATAACAAAGACGAATCACAACTGCGAAGTTGTCTCTGGACGATTTTGAAGCTCTGGAGCGATTCCCGGCTTTTGTGTTCGGCCCGAAAGATCTCGGAGGTTAGCTGACCTAATATGTGCTATGATTCTCTATGCTCGTCAAGGGATCCCCCCCAAATCCCAACAGGTGCTAGTGGCGGCTAAGGCCTAGTAAGCGTCCCCTCTTTGGGGGGCAGACAACCATGGGACAAATTGTCCATCCACAGCAATTTGCGCATGAATCTTGGTCGGTGTGTCCCATATCCCATCCCCTAGTAATTTCCCTTTGAGCCACAAAATGCAACTAGGCTACCTAGCACCCAGCCAATATTTGGTCCGCAAACAAATCCCTTTCGCAGGGTAGCCCAGATTTGCAAAGAAATAAACACACGTGGGTTCTCAAAAAGGTCTGGGTGTCCCTTGGTGACTCCCTCTCATTCAACAGGCAGACCCGGACCAAACTCACGTTGACCAAAAGGCCCCCAGTTCTGGGCCCAGTTTGGCCCCAATTCTTCAGCACATCCTTGACACTCTGTGCAGGTCAATGGAATCAGCTTCATGAACTGCAACATACCGCAAACTCTTGAGCATCCACACCTACAACTAGCTTGAGAGTTCCAGGAATACATTCCTAGGTCCTCCAGATTTGAGGGTTAGAATAAGTTGGTACCCGATCTTTTTAGTCTATTTTAGTAGGGGAACCGAATCTCCCAACCAAAAAAGAGGGCCAGCAATCGTGCCAGCATCCACATCAAATGAGTCGCAATCAAACCCGATCAGTACTAAAATGGTCGTAATCCCAGAACCATGCTTCAAGAATTAAGATACTAAAATGATCTACCCAGAACCATGTACAGGATTCAGAAGGCGGATATCCGCAGCGATTTCTGGCAAAGGGATCGTCCCTTAACCGGATCATCAATCCCCGAATCGGTTTTGAACAAGTGGCTCAAATGCAATTGTTGCTCTAAGCTCCAGGTGGCAATGACCCCATTTAGAGCAGTGTCTGCAGTAGAACCGGCAAAGAACCCCACACCCAAACTGATGTACAATTTGCAACCACTCCAACCCAGCATGAAATCGAAAAAGCAGGGCCCCGGATTCCAGCAAAGGTCCATGCCCCTGAAACATGGAGCCAGGCCGCCATCCCCCCCCCTCTCTGGCGTGGGATGCGGGCAGCGAAACATCGCACTGAGCCCCCGCACGGGCGCACTGGTCGCGGTGTCCAGACTTTTCCTAGCCAAAGTTCAGCAAACTTCCCCGAAACATGATTAGACTTAGGCCCAGTAGAATGTATATTCTATTGTTTGCTTCCCGTTGAGTCACTGGTAAAATGTAAAATGTATCCTAAGTCTACCGCAGGCAACTTTAGAACTGTCAGTGTGACCAACGTAAAAGACCGCCCTGCATGGTAGGTTTAATCTAGGTTTAAGGCAAAGGATTCTACCCATATTGCCAACCCCCGCCCCGCGCGAGTGGCAGGAAGTAGGTTTAAGGTAGGTTTAAGGAAAAAACGGGTTTTCCCACGTCAGAATGGCCCCCAAAGTGGAAGGTCGTGGGCTTAAAGTATGTGACTATATATAAATATAGCTATATAATGATTCAAAGCAACTAGTGAGGGGAGCAACTAAGAGTGACTAATGACAAGGTTCGATTGGGAATGGCCCTTCGTTCCTCTTGCGATGGCTCTGAATCAGTATTCGAGGGGGTTGATGAGCGCATCACCAGAAACCCCAAGTAAAAGTGTGGCATAGCTGTTGCAACAAGTCATGATTTTGTCCAAATGAGAGGGATATTGGGGAAGTACGTAGATACAATCAATGTTGCTCCATGTCGCAGAAAATGTTGCAGTGGCAAAAAGACAACCCTTTGAAGCTCGCAGAACGGGCGAGAGCTTCCGCCTTGCCAGGATTTAGCAACCACAACCCTCACACAGGAAAACGACGGCGTTTTCTAAAGTTGGAGAATCATGGAAGCACCCCCAACCGCTTCTGGGACAGCACTTAGTGGAGGGACACGGGAAAAAGCCGTGCTGCTCGTGGCAGCAGCATTTCCACAAACAACACATACACCTAAAAACACAGCAGCCCAGCCACACAGCGATTGAGTTATTGCAGGGACCCCCCACCCCCCCCCCCCCAACTTTTTCACGGTAAACTCTCCGCGCAAGCTCGCCTCGCCGACGCTTGATCCTGGCAAAGAGGTGCGCGGTAAGACCCAATGGCGAAAAGGGCATGTTTTTTAGGATTGAATTTTAAAGGAACCCCTCCAAAAGCATGAAAATGGGATCCGCAAAGGATACGTCCAAAAGCCGGCAGCCGGCTGCTTTCCAATGCAATCCTCCAGCTTCAGTCGCTTTGGGTGACTTCTTCACTGGCCCAAATGCTTCCTCTAAGGGACCCTGACTGTGACCAATGGATGGTTTCTACAAACCACTAGCCTCCCTCTTGGCCGTGGGTCAAAATGGGTACCCAAAATGGAACAGTGGTAAAGAGAAACATGGACTGACACCAGTGGTCCCCTGGTAGTCTAATTTTGACCCACAGCCATTTGTTTGTGGGAGGAAGGGCAAACAAGTCTTCCGACAAAGGGTGACGGTTTGTGTGTGTGAAACTGGCTAGCAAAACAGAGGCCCACCAAGCAACTAATCCTCGTTTTATTGGAAATCAGCCAAATATTGAATTGGGTTATGCAACCACGTGCATGAACAACAAAGCTCAAATGAGGGCGTGCAGCATTGCATGCTCCCCTTGGCGTATTCTGGATGATACCGAGCGGCTGTTGACGACCGTCGCAAAGCTGCAATAACATTCGCTGAACTCACTTGCCCAAAGGACCTGGCAACAAAAAGTTAAACTTTGGGAACCTTGACAAAAAATGGACCAAAGAGCGAACATGAGGTTAACAAAATGATGACCCCTGGAGTCTCCTAACAAAAAAACAGCCACTCAACGACATTTCGCTCAGGGCAGAAGGGCCTCTCGATTTTCTGATCTGTCCGTTCCGAGCCTCGGAGACCGCCGTGCGCTCGCTGGGCTCCCACTCACACCTCAAGACTTCACTTTGAGCCAATCCCCCCGGCTGGGGGGGGGGAGCGGGGTGGGGGGTCCGGGACCCAATTCCATGTATGAGTATTCCCAATAAAGGAGAATGGGTTACCATAAACGGAATTCCAGGGGGTTTGTCCCCTCACCCAATTCCATTCTTAAGGGGGTGGGGATGATGCAACTTGGCAAGCGCCCTGTGGCTTGATGGTTTGCTAGGCAGGGAGTGAGAAACGGAGTGACCCCAAACAAAACCATCCCCGAATTGGTTTCCTTCAAGGGAATCAAGGGAATCTTGTTCCGGTTCCCCTTGAAGCGGCTTCCCAAGGCCCAAGCAAGGGCTTGGTCTTCCAAGGGCCCATTTACAAAAAACAGGGCCCTTCTTGATTTTGCTCTTGGTTGAAAAAGGGAAATCAGCCAAAGGCCTGCTTTTTCAGGTCCTGGAACATCAAGCATGGGCTGAATCCGTTTGAAACGCCCCAAATACGCCACGGGTCTTCCATGAAACCAGCGCCAGCTGGCCGCCTTCGCCTTCATTTGGCCATTTTCCTGCCCTGGATTCCTGAAGTTGAAAACAATCCCTGGGGCTTCAGAATTACCCATTAAAACCATAGGGGGTTCCCTGACTTTCAAAATTACCATTAAGACAATGGGGGGGTTCATATTAAACATTGTTTTCCAAGTTATTGTCATCCTCCAAATTGGGCCCTTACCTTTCTTTAATGGGGGTTGAACCCTAGGGCAATATAACATCGTTTTTGTAAGGATTGTCATGCAAGGAACCCTAGGGCAACTGCAGCCCACTGCCGCGGCTTGGCATGGCCGATTTGGGCACGGAATTCAACGGCGTGACAATTGACCGCAAGTGGGGTGAACCTTGTTATTACGGTAACCACGGGGTAACTTAGATCAATAACAAACTGACTACTGGCTAGCTACTGGCTAACTACTGGCTAACTACCACTAGGTCACTAGTAACTTGTTGCTAACTACTGGCTAACTAGGGCTATACCCCAAATGGGTATCAACTACTACTAGGGTAACCACTGGGTATCCACTGGGTATCCACTGGGCTATACCTTGGTTGACGTTGGAAGGAAAGCAACAATGGATAATTTTAGCAGTCAAGTGGGGATTTCCCACTAAACCACAAGAAGCAAAAATGTAAACTGTTTCCTAACAACAACCATGATACCCCAAATAGCTAACCATTTGCTGGCTTCGCCGAACAAAGTCAGGAAAACTGAATCGACTTATGGCAAAGGGTTTGTCTACCCTTCATTGTGATAAACAACTCTCAAGGGGATTTCCTATCACAGGAATTGGCCCTAAACCCAATGTTCCACAACCTGCAAACTAGAACATGCAACTGAAATCAGAGTTCCCTCAAGCACAGGACCTACATCATAGCTTCCGCTCGTACCCGTGCCTGCATCTACCTGGCTTGTCCTCAGATCCCCAAAAGTTGAGGACTTGTGGGTATTCGGAAACCCAACCACTAAACAGTTGGATCCTTACATGGAAAAACACCTGAACGATTGCAACTTGGAAAAATTGTGGGTTTCCAACTTTCTCTTGGTGTTGAAAAAGCCTGCCATGTTTCAAATGGTTGCCGTTTCTGAAACATCAATCCCAAGGAACCGGAGGCAACTGGTTTTCCGGAGGCACCCTCAGAAAACGCCACTGAAGCTTTCGTGTTCACTCGGCTTTTCTCCCCAATCCCATGGTTCTAAGCCTATCAAATCAGCTTTTTTTGAATTGGAGGCAGCTAATCCATGGTTCTTGGCTTCCCTATCAAATCAGCTTTGTTTGAATTGGAGGCAGCTCAGCTCTCCCAAGCCAGTGAGCTCCAAACCGATTAAGAAAACCATGCAGAGTTCTCCTGAAAGAAACCTGATCTCTTGAAAGCATGAAGTGGGAACCTTATCTATGCGAATTGTCCGAGTTCCTTCCATTCGAAGATTTTCCGTCGAGATTCTCCTTGGCTTTTGGCCCCGCTGGGCCCACGGGCTGCGGGCGATCTGCCGCCCCATCTTCGCGCCTGGGAGTTCAGGTTTGCCCAAAAGTCTTTTCTGGGGGAGGGAAGGGGTGGGGTGGGTTGGGTGGGAGCTTTCTTCACCCCTCCCCCTCCTTTGCTGGGGTCCCTCCCCCAGCCCCTGTGAGGCTAGCAGAACCTCCTAAAATGGCCAACATCCGCTTTGGCCCCTGTCATTTCCGCTTTTTGGAGTGGCACCTCTGTCAGAGATTCATCAATGCTGCGACCAAAGGAAACCGTAGGCAGCGCGTGTGTGGTTTGGTTGGCGTGAAACACACAACTATGGGGTTCATATCCTGTTGGACGAGTCCCATGCGGTCGCAATGAAGCTCAAAACTGCTGTGAACTGGTCGTGGGTGCACAACACAGCTAAGTATCCTCGATTGCAGTGGAGAAGCCTGAAGAGGATTCGATTCCTGATTCCTGTACGTCGCCCCTGACAGGGGTTCCTACATTTTCTTACAAGCATCGCACCAAGAGGAAACTCACCGACAGCTATTGGTCTAGTGATACGCCTCGAATGCCCTGGCTTTCTATCCATCCTCCCAGTGCTGGTCAGCAACCCAGCGCAAGTCTGCCTCATGTCGCAACACACACACGACGGGCTGATACATGCTCAATCCGGGTGGAATTGCCTGCATGAATCATTGTACCCATAATATACATGCATCATCTACTTCTCAAGCATGCAGACGAGTGGGAGGTACTTCACTTTGCTGATCGCTCCGGAAACTCCTGAAGTCCGCGTGATTCGAGCAATGGAAATACATCTACTCATGAAGCTTCACTTGCCTCGACCGCTTCATGCCAAGCATTGTCACATCCTGCTATGGGGTGTCTGGGAAGGGTTGGTTTCCTTTGGCATGTTCTTTAACCATTCAAAGAGAGGGCTTCTCAATTTTGAGAGACTCAAAGTTAACACATGCACGAGTTGTCGTCACTGGGCATTGCTAGAAAATTCGGAACCCCTTTTTGAGGTTGATTTTTTTTAGGGAACCACTTCGACCCAATTGCAAATTGCAACTTGCACAACTTGCAGCAGCTTTGGCTGGCGGCAACCCAAGGTGCCTTGCCCGCGATGTGGGGCAGCCGCAAAAATAGAACCTCGTGCAGGATTGCAGGGTGTTTCCACCAAACGTACTACAGTATAGTAAAGTACTTGTCCTCAATTTTAGCAACACGATGAAACATCAACCAGCGGTGTACCACTCCTGGGCGAACATTTGTTTTCTTCAGTCCTGCAGGCTACCCGTTTCTCGCAAATCTGAAAGCCACAAGTGACAAGCGAGGGCAGCGTATGGTATGTCAGGGCAGCATTTGTTTCGGCGTTACCGATTTCTTTTCGCGGTTCCCGCTGGCTCTGACAGGTTTCAGGTTGTTAGATGTGAAACAAATACCTGGCCAGTACGAAAGCACGGTAAACTTGTGTGCTTGTAACCATGGGCTACATGCTGGGCCAGATCTTATGCTAGGTCCTCCAGATTTGAGAGGTTAGAATAAGTTGGTACCTTTTTTTTCTGTAGTCGATTTTAGTAGGGGAACCCTCCCCCAAAAAAGGGTAAAAGGACAGTACTGGGGGAACTAGACATGCTCATGCAGGCAGCATGCAAACCAAAATCCATGAAAATCGCCATGCATCCTAGTCCTGCTGTTCAGAGGGCCAAGCTCCGAGCAGCACCGGCTGAACCCATCCAAAATTGGCTCATTTCAAGCGAAAAAACGAGCCAGCCCTCACAAAACGGGGAAAGCCCAGGAAGACCAACTTCTCGACTTGGACTGCCAAGTTGGACCATCAAAAAGAGCTTAGCCGTTTTGCTGTCCTCAGATCCCCCGCTCAAGTGACTAAGTTTTAGTGGGTTAAATATTCGGACATCCAACCACTAAACACCAAAAGTATCTACAAGGCTAAGTGGAACCAGATGGCTGGTTGAGCCACCAAGGCCAGTAAATCTTCCAGCCGGAAGCATCTGCCTGGCTCGGCATGCGTCGGATTCGCCGGGCGCCCGGGCCAGGGGCTGCCCTCAGCGTCCACGGTGGTACCCCTGGCGACTCGGGACCCTCTGGACCGAAAAAGACATACTGTGGATGAACGAAATCCTGCACCAGCTAAGACACCCTGGAATGATGTTTCCCCTGCAAACACCAGCAAACAATGGTTTCCCATGGTTTCAAAGTGGTGCAGGATTTCGTCCATCCACAGTATGGCCATGGGTCAAAATCGAAATCGCACCCCCAGTGCACATCCGATTCAATCCAACCGCTAAAATAGGTTCGACAATGGGTGGTGAATTCACCTACCCCAAAATGGGATCCAATTGGTTTAACGACATATGGGTGTGGGTCAAAACCAATGGTATCCCATATTGGGGGAGGTGAATTCACCACCCATTTTAGAACCTATTTTGGTGGGGATTGAATCGGAACCGAATGGATGTCAGAAGGGTCCTTCCAATGGCAAATCTTCCAAACCAGCCTCCAGCCATCCACGAAAGGCTGTTTCTCCAACAAGTTCACCCAAGTGTCTGCGTTCTTGGCTGTCAAAACTCCTCTCCTGGCATTCAAGTGGTCCCAAAACCAAAGAATTGAAAGGCCGGATAGCCGGAGCTGTTTACGTCTGTCCCTTAGCTTCACTTCTCCGGGGTCTTGAGTGTGACTCTGCAACATGGAGAAAGCAGCAGGCCGTTGGCGTGCACAAGACCTTTGGCAACAGTTATCTCGGTTGTGAAATCTGCTCCCCTGCTAACAGTGACTCACTTTTAGCGATTTAATACGGAAAACCCATTAGTTGGCAAAAGGTTAAAGTCCTAACGTCCCTTGGCAAAATGCACCAAAGAGTTGACACTCCTAGCAATCGCCTATCCTGGTGGCACAAGCCAACAACCAAGCGGTCAAGCGGTCAAGTGGCTCAAAAAACCGGAATTCCGGAAATGGCTTGCCAGGCCCTGGGGAAATGGAACGGTCCATATCCTGGTGCTGAAGTTGGCTCAAGTCAAAGTGTTTTGTTTATCTGTAACCAACATGCATCGCACCAAAACCTTTTTAATTCGCTGCTCAAACTGGCAGCATGCAAGAGGCATGAGGTTCAGTGAAGCCTTGTCCGAAACACATCGCAAATGGAAGGTGCGTCCCTGGTGTTCGGGCTGCTTGACAATGAGCTGAACTTGGCCAATAATTACCCCCCAAATCTCCTATGGCAGCGCGTCATATTCTCGCACTGCCTAAACACCAACCATCTCTCGGTTGCGAAATCTGCTCCCCTGCTGAAAGTGACTCACTTTTCGTGGTTTAGTAGAAAACATCCATTAGTTGGATCAAAAAGTTGAAGTCCTAACATCCCTTGGCAAAAATGCGCCATAGTGTCCTTTGTTCCCTGGTTTTTTTTTGTTTTCCCCGAGCTGAAAGGGTATGTTTGTTGTTTTCCCCAAAGATCTGCCACTCCAAGCCGAAGTTCCATCCTCAGACATCCCCGGGGATCCCCGGGGATCCCGGCCCCCGGCCCCGCCTGCGCGCAGCTTTGCGGAGAAGAAACCTCAGATGAACTCAAGCTGAGCCGACCCTCAGCTTCCCACTGAACATGTCAATATTTCCTGGGCTCAGATCCCTAGAAGTTAAACTCACTTTTGGTGGGTGAATTCGGAAATCCAACCACTAAACACCAATAAGATCCAAAAAGCTAAGGAACTGGATTTCAGGGAAGCATGAAATGACGCTGACTCACCCGAATCATTCTCTACTATCCTCACGGAAAACGGGTCGTGCCCTTTGCATGGCCGCATCGCATGGTGGTTGTGTAAGCCATGAAGCTACTGGTGGAAACCATCTGACCTGATAATATTGACCCCATCTTACTCAACCCCAGCTTATTACTAGGGAGTGCTCCCCTCCGAAAGTGTGATGATGATTCCCCCACTAAACCCAGGGACACCCCCCGTCTATTAATAAACTGGGGGTTTGATTAATATGGGGGTGGGTCAAAAACAGGTACCCCAAATGGAACCCTGGCAAGTGGAAACATGGACCAAAACCTGTGGTCCGCTGACCCTGGTGGTTTAATTTTGACCCCTACCCGTATGGGCTCAACAGGGATCCTTACATTAGACACCTGAACATTGCCTTGTAAATGGTGGTTTCCCTTTATTTTGGTGTTGAAAAAGCCTGCCATGTTTCAAATGGTTGCAACATGGAGATTTCTTTTAAGGAGCCCTGCTCAACATTACCCTACGGCTTTCGACTCCCCACCTCAACGGCTTCGAGTCCCACAGAAAAAGTCACCGGGCAGCCGGACGCCTGGCGCCCGTCCTCAAAGAAGCGGCTGGGCATCTGCGGAGGCGACTCCTGCGAAGGTCTCCACGCAAAAAAGCGAGCCGGACACAAAACGCTTTGAGTGAAATCCAATTTTCTGAGCTCGCCCCGGAAAAAATCGCTTGGTCAAAATTTATATTCATCTGGCGTTTGCATGAAAGTATCAACTTCCCTCCAATTGGTGGTTTGGATTTGTGGTTTGGTGGCTGACGGGTGGTTGCCCATTTAACCGCTACAAGAACCAGGGGTCCCTGAAAGTGCGCATTCTGGCGGACACAAAAAGAAAAAACAGGTGCTCTTTATCTTATCGCTTTGAGCAAACCCCAGATTTGCTGATTGTGAATGGCGGGAAGCATTAAACCTCTTTTTGGCCTACAACACTCAGGGAACAACAAAGCCTTAAAAAAGAATGAGGTCCTTTTTTCTGTTCCTGTTGGCTTAGGCCGCATTCATGGATGTTCAAACATGGTTTAGCAAGGGTCACTGGATTGCCCCTTAAAAAGTTGCAACTAAGTGCTGGAGTTCAATAAAACTGCCACCTTTAGAGGTCCAAAAAGGAGATTGAGGGCCCTGTTTATGTCTGTTTATGGGAGCCATGGTTTATTTGAGCCAAGCGGACATGGGAAAAGCCACGTTGCGTCCCCTTGGTTGCGATTTAGGGTTAAGAAGGTGGATTAATATCTGGAGATGCAGGAAGGAAAATATGTTTTGATCATGAAATATACTAATTTAAAGAAGACTGATGTATTCCTCGAATCTCAGATATCATGATTTTTCACCTGTCATTTACTATTCCTTATTCAGAGCATGTTCATTCTGAATCCATCCTTGATAGCCGTAGAGCCTCGAGAAGAGATCCGGTGAACAGATCCTAAGGAAAAATAACTTACTCTCTGTATCTTGTCTTCTCCAAATCTCAAAGGGATGTGGAAAATATCTTCATCCCTTTCTCTTCCTATCTTGTCTGTAGACGAATGCCTGGATCATAGAGGTTTGCCCAGAAATGATGTTCCTTGTTTCCCTGGGAAAACCCACCCCAAAAAAGATACCCCCATACTCTTGAGACAAGGCGGCATCTGAAACAGGACTGCAAGTGATTCTCTGCCGTCTGGTCACCCCGAATTCTTTGCCACCAACTCAGTCCGCGTGACATCGTCAAAGATACCCTCTAATTTTGTTAAATGATCACTTCAATCGAAACCACCCGAACAAAGTGACTTCGACAACCTCTCCAAATGGCGTCCACTCGACCAAGCCGTAAGGGTTGAAACAGCTCTTTGGAGGAGACTGTCTAAGGGTCCGAATGGTTCATCTTTGATGCACAGAAAAACGCGCCCAGCAACTAGCTGTTATTTGACTTAGTGTTGGAATCGGTGGGAATTCCACAGTTGCATCCACCATGGCTCCCCAGCCCCCCACCCCTGCACCCAGCAGTGTCCAATCCGGGGAACCCCGCAATTCCCCGGATTCGACCCAACAGATTAGAAGTAACCGGAAAAAAGAAGAAACAAATCGGTCGGCCTGTTGGTATCCTGGGAGGCCAAAGAAGTTGATCGCCGGCACCGCGAGGTACTGAGCCTGAAATCTTCAAGCCCACAATCTGGTACCACGTCACAGGCTCCACCCAAAACCATGTAGCAATCAATCATCCAACCAAAACTGCCTTCTTGGAGCCTGTGGTTCTTCCAAGCCTGAAAGAGTCTGCCGCCTGTGCAAAGAATTGCGACTCTGATCTGGGAAGAACAAACAGGGACTCAAATTGCTCCACTGGTACTTTAAAAAGGGGATTCATTTCCACAAAGTCACATTCATGTGCGGAGATATGTTTTGTTTGTTCCATGCAACTGCAGGGAACGAACTCTCGAGGAACGTCCTGCACTATTTTCTTCAAAGAATGCCCAGCTGTGATGCACTTTCTATATCACTTGAATCCCAAAGGGACCCCAGCCAATTGAAGGTCTTTGGAACATCATCACAACAAACAAGACAAGGAAAACCCCAGTGACTGCTTGCGTCAACCCCACTCCCTTGCATCCCCGGCTGGTAAGCAACAACCACCAGACGAGTGCCTGACAAGGTCAATTAGCAAAGCAACGGAACTGGGAACCAATCCCTCCAACCAACAATCCTGCGACGGGTTAGACACATGTTGGCCCAGCGCACGCGCTCCCGGCACAGAAGCACCACGACAAAAAAGCAAGCCAGCCACCCGCCACAAAAGCATAGCAGCCTATCGCACATGACTCGATCAGAATCTGTCCTGGTAGCCATGCTTCACTTGCTTCAAGCTTCGAAACTTGACGCCGCTGGGAGAACAAAATCCCGTAGTGACGATGCTTGCAGAAAGCCGGACCCGCTTCAATACCGAATACCTGGAGCAATCCGACCAATCACATTCAAACCAAAATGCACTTGCGCTCGAGTGTCGGTTGCGCTGGCCCGCGTTGGTGCCTGTGAGTCTGTAATGACGCTCCACATACCATGTCATCGCTACAAGGCTTGAGCCCCACTTCCACTACCTTGTTTTGCGCCTAGTTAGCATGCTGCCCCAAACATGTTTCTGCAGCCTTTGCTGTAGGCAACAGGCAACAGGAGGCAACAAACAACAGCCTTTCTGCTAATAAGGGCAACAGGCAACGTGGCCAAAATGCATGCTGACACAGAGTCGCGAATCGAATGAATCACGCCACATCTAGGAACCAAGATGTAAGATACCATGCTTGGGGGTATCGGTTTTTGGGACGTCCCCTATCGGTTATGCATGCGTTAGATGTTTTGCAAAAACCGAAGTCCAGTTTGGCGATAAAAGTCCATTGTCGGAAACTTTGTCGGGCACTCAAACAAAAAGGCTAATATATTTTATTCGGAGTCCCCGTCCGAATGGGGAAACGACTCCAACACCTCAGCGGTTCGAGACGCGCGCATCCGTGAAGAGGTTGGTGTTGTGCTCCATGCCTCACGAGGCTGACTCGACGAGGAAGATCAAGATGAGTCAGCGTACAGGTCAAAATACCAAGGGGAAGCCGGGTTTAAGGGTCGACCACACCAGAGATGGGTCAGTGGTGGAAATACAATCAGTGCACAGGTTTGAAGGTTTGCTGGCTTGAGGATTTAAGGGCTTACCGGTTTGGGGGGGGGGGGTTGTTATGGGGATTTCAGGGTCCGAGGGCTTTGGCTTTGATGCGCTCAGAGTCAAGCACATCAGCCACTGACACTCTGTTGCCTCGACTCAAACGGGCATGGAGATTCGGTAAACACTCTTTGGTTGCACTGGTTGCGATTGTTGAGCGCGCCATCATCCTTGAGCAAAAGACTTCCTTGCCGGGTCAATGCCGCAGATACTTTTGAAGTGCTAAGCAAGATATCCCTCCGACGAATTTGTAACCATAGAGCAACGGTCAATATTGTCATCCACTGTCGCAACGGGGACAACATTGGGCACCCTCACCTAATTGTCATCTACGCGTATCAAATTCCCACACCTGGGAGCGGAATGAATATTCTCTTGTGGCTGTTTTTCAAACTCAACTCGTGTTTTTCAACCCTAGCTTGTCCGGCCAAGGGTTCTGAGGCCATTGAGAAGCGCTTGCCCAGTGTAGCTAGCTGTTGTCTGGCGTGCTGCATCCCTCTGCAAACAAGCGAGCTTTAATAAATACACATCAGATCCGAGGAATTAAGCCCTGGTCAACATCCCTCGCATCCAAGTGGGCTTCCAAACGAATATCAAGTGAGAAATCAAACCTACCCTAAGGGTCCCGACTGTTTTTGGGCCCTCCAAATGGGTTGTTGTTGAGGGCCCTTGAGGAATTGGTCGCTTTGGGTTCTCCATTGGAGGGCTTGAGGGGGGTCTGCATTCATGACCCTCAAATTATCAAACATCTACAATGGTCTGCGCAAAACCCATGATAAAGAATCCAAGGCAGATATCCGCACCTATGGTTGCGACTATTCTTACTAACCGACCCGGCGGTTGAGCAAGTGGCTCACATGAAAACGTGCTTTGCCCTTGTCAAGAGCGACAGCTCTTCGAACAAGGGTCCCAACATCATATGGGCCTGTTTGGCTCACAATCGGAAAGCTTCAACCAAAGCCAGATACTTTTTCTAGTGAATGACTTTGCGACTAACATGCTGGTCCCAAAACGCTCTATGTGCAGGGACTCAGGAACGAAATCCAAAACCAAACACGAGCAACAACTCGCGGCGAGTCAGGCTTTCGCGTGGTTCTTTGAAAAGGAAACCAAGGGGAAGCCACCCTTTTCATTGCTTCCCCCCATTTGCGTACGAACTTTCAGTGGTTGGACCCGTTGGTGGACGTCATTTACAAATGACATTTCCGGGCACCAATCATGTTGCTTCTGCATCGGCCATGTTGGCTGGTATGTGGCCAAGCAAATCCTGGCTTGGCTACAATCCGAGGAATCAACTAATATCTCATGTTTATTGGCAACGATGCGTTTGTATTCTGCACATGTTCCTTTAGCTACTCCACTTGTTCGCAAATTCTACAGACTCTTTGTGCAAAAGCTGAAATCAGGGATGGATCCGCGAGTACGGGGGCTTTCATCATGGTGAGCTGGCTTTAATGTTGATCCCATATTAATCAACCCCACCTTATTAGTAGGGGGTGCTTTTCCCTGCGTTTATTAGGGAATCAACCACTTCTGGAGGGGCCCCCGCCCCCCTATGAAAATACACAGGCGTTGAAATTCATGTGGGGTCAACAGTCGGTAACCCGTTCAATTTGGAACCCACTCAATATATTCTGGATCCTCCAAGTGGTTTGTCCTCTTGATTTCATTGGCCCCACCCCGGATCTTAATCAACTGGGCTTGATCAATATGGGGTAAGCATTATAAGGTCAAATGGTTTCCAGCAGTAGCTTCATGAGATACTGTACAGCCATCTAAGGCCCTACTAGGTCCTCCAGTAGAGAGCTTAGAATAAGGGTACCAACTTTCTTTTTCTAAATTTTCTACATTTTAGTAGGGAAACCGAATCTCCCAACCAAAGAAGGGCAAAAGGAAGGGCAGCCTTTCGCTGGGAGACCTCGTCTAAAGGGGCAAACTTTGACCCACCGAACCGATGGGCTGGCGCCTGGGGGGGTGATCAGCAACTTCCGGGCGCGGCACTGCTTGAAGAGCGCCACCTGAGATGCGCTCAAAAGCTGAGCCGAGCCGAGCCGAGCCGAGATGTTGGCCCAGATGGGTGTCGTTCTCTTTTGGGGGGGAGCCCCCAACAGCCCCCACCCCACCCAAAACAAATGTGTTTTATTTTTTGGGGGGACCCCCACAAATGTTTGTTTTCTTGCTGGTGCGAAAAGTAGGGAATGAGGGAATGAACCCAGGGGTCCCCTCAAAGAAAACCCTAAGGGAGGTTTATAGGGGTCATTCCTACATTCCCTACTCATCGCACCAGCAAGCTTTTTGCGGGGGGCCCGCACAAATTGTAGTTTTCCTGTCGGTTTCCATCAAAAATCATCCAGAAAAGGGCAAGTAAAAGGGCCCTCAACAGAAGAAATGTGGCAAAGGGAACCTGCGGGGTGTTGCGGCTTGTCTCCCAGTTGCCCCTTTGTTTGCTTGGGGACCTAGAACAAAAGTGATCACCTTTGGGGGCCATGACTAAAATGATGGCAAAAGGGGAAACCGAAAGGTCAACAGGTCGATTCGCTTTGGGCAAGTGAGTTGTTGTTGACTTGGCAAAAGTGAACTTGAACTAGTTGATTGAGAAACGTGCCAATCTCACCATCCCCGCTGACCTAATCTGAACCATAGCACAAGATTTCGGTCAATACTTTCTAAACTTTCTAGTCCGGTCCAAAGGAACCATTCGGCTTCGAGTTCTCCATACTTGCAAGATTGCTCCTGCTCACCTGGAATGGGAGGATCCATTCATGCCCTCTTGAAAACGACGTCGTTTCACAACAGCCTCTGACGTAAACTCGAGCAGGTTCTTCATGTCCCTTACAATTGACCATAGCAGGATATTCGGGTGTGCCTCCAAATGAGGGACCCTTCATGCCATGTCTACGTGGCTCCCCTTCCAACCCAAAAGAGGAACCCATTCTGAGGCCCCCGGCGGAATGCGAGGGCGGAACCAGGCTGTCCTGCGCAAATGTGCCGCCAAGGGTGTGTCGTCTTTGTAGTAAAATCAAAAGGACTCCCAAGCGTTTTGGGGAGCCCTTCATTTCGAGGCAACCCAATCTTTGAGATTTGAGACTTGCAGCGAGATCAATTCGCCTCAGCCCCATGTGCTGTCCATCATCTAGCGTGAAGTTGGCCGCTGCACGGCTCGCGATCTAGGTAGAAGTGTCCAAATCTCTTCCGTGTGACAAGAAAATCTTACCGAAAAGGGAGCGCACATTCAGTGCGAAAAGGGTTCTGCCAGCGTGACACATTCGATGTGAATGCCGTGCGTGCATGGTGCGTACAAAGCTCGGCCGCTGTCCTTCTCGCCATGGATGAAGAGGGTGGGGCATGACACGTTGCCTGCGGAGAAGTGATGACTGCTGTGACTTGCGATCAGTGCGACAAGTAGCGAATTCTCATGGAATGAACCGTTGTGGGATTCCCTTAAAGGAAACCACAAGGGATGGTTTTTCTTGGGGTTATTCCATCTTGAACAAAAGGCAGCCCTAAGGGTCCGATTCGACTGTGTTTGGGCCCTCCAAATTTGTTTTTGAGGGCCCGTGAGGGGTTGGGGTTCTCCATTGGAGGGTCCGGGGGTCTGCATTGGAGGGGTCATGACCCTTGGGGAGAAACGTTTCAAGCAACGCCTCCAAAGCCGCTTCCACTCTTCCAGCCACCCCTGGTGTCATTGCCATTGGACTAGCTTATCGCCCAATCAATATGTTGGATGTTGACAGACCGAATGCGTTTCAGGCTCGCCAAACCCTCTTCCATGCACCTTCCATGCTTCTCAGCCCCAGATGTTCGTCACCGGGGCTCCTCTCATGCAAGATCCAAAGCTCTTCGAACATGTCATAACCTTTTGAGCATGAACCCTATAAAGACTTCCGCCATGTGGGGTCTGCTCAAAAGGCACCGCGGATGCTTTCAAAATCCGCACCTTCCTGAAAATGAATGAAACCCGATTGGACATCTGGCTGGTTTCAAGACCTGAAAGGGAAGAAAACCAACCGCCATCGTGCGGTGTGACTCCCCACACCAGAAGGAAGGAACCCCCTTTTTTGAATCCTTTCCACAACAGGAGATTCCTGTCCAAAAAATCAAAAGGCATAGTCACCCAAAGAGGCACAGTGGCCCAAAATATCACTCTGGGCTCAAAAATGGAATCCCTAAATTGGCACCCTTGGTATGTGGAGCAAAGACTAAACCCCGGTAACTAGAGCTCTTTTAATTTGAAGGCCACACCCTGTTTTTGTTTCTTGCCGGGCGCTTCGTTGCTGCGCCTATCAGCGCAATGTTTGGGAAGCGCTCCTCCAGAACCTCGACTCGCTCGACTCGAACGAGGCCAAGCAAGGGAAATTCACCTAGGACCAAGCACTGGACCAAGCACTTTGGGAGACTGAAACATGGGCATGCGTCCGATCCGAACGCATGGAAGCAACCAAGCAACCATTTAGCTGAAAGCAGGTGGTACTCCCACTTGGTTGCTGTTGACCCTCCGCAAAAAGATGTTCACTTATGGGTTCAACAAAAAAGTTAAAGTCCAAAGATCCAACCAAATAGCCATAAAGCCAATAGCTCATTGCCTGAGAACATGAATTTGAAAACAACCTGCTGGCTGATGGCCTTTCAAGGAAGACCCCCACATGCATGAGGCAATCGTGTCAGGGATCCTAAAGAAACTCATCTTTCCTTGCTTGTGAACCGGTCCATCTGTTCACTGCCTTGCTGGTGCTTTTCGTGTTGCTGCTTCACAGGTGTCAACAGGCTCTCTGACCCATGAGCTGGACATTTTCGATCAATTGGACAGCACGGCCAAGCCGTGCCTATTTGGAGCACCAACTCACAACCAATGTGGGTAGGCATCACGCACTCAGCTGTTGAGTTGTTCAGTTTCGCCTTTTGTGTTTCCCGGTAACATCCTTGGAGAAGGCAACGAGAAAAGAGTTGTCCTGTGAGGTATTAGTTAAGCCACAATGAAAACCCGGGTAGATGAAGGTTAAGGGATAATTTTACCCAGAAATGGGTGCAGCCGCCTTGATTGAGCTCTTTGTATAGTTTTGGGAAGACCAGTTCAGTTTTTTTCACTTGACGTCGATCCGCTCCGATTGGCGTTCTAGCTGAACCTCCAGGGGTTGAAGTAACGATCTGGGGCTGGGTCAAGCCCCCAGCTAGGTGCCTTTTTACCCTTTTTGGGGGGGCAAAAAGCTGGTACTACCCTTATTCTAATCGTAACAGAAGGGGCCGCCATGGGGCCTGCGTTTTTGGAATCAGCCGTAAAATTACACCAGCAGAGACCCCAAACAGTTGAGGGCTGACGGGCGAGCACAAACATGCCAACAGCTTGTGGCTTTCTGCGCTTCAACACGGATGAATCAAAATGATGCAGTCGTGAACCTGGCGCGCGTTGCGTTGCTGCACGTGTGTTGCTGGCATGCTTCGCGCTTCAGCACCGCGCCAGAAATGAGGTTGGGCAAGCGCGCGCGATGGCGGGCGAGCGCGCGCGCGTGAACGCAAGTGTGGCCGCGCAAGCACGCAGTCACATGGGCAGTTCAAACACACATGTCCAATTCAGACACACATGTGTGTACACGTGGAACACACATACGTATACGACTGAAACAGTATACATTCACCTGCGGCACACGCATAAATGTGTTGAGCTGGAAAACAAACATGTGCTTCTTGGAAAGCACACACACACATGTGCAAACGTGGAACGCACATATGTGTTCACTTACGACACGCTAATGCGTTCACGTGGAACACACATGTGTGTTCACTTGGAACACAATGAAACGCGTGTCCAATTCAGACACACATGTGTGTACACGTGGAACACACATGCGTTCACCTGGAACACAAAGACGCGCAATTAAAGCACACATGTGTGTACGCGTGGGACACACATATGTATACCACTGGAACACAAACATGTGTCCACCTGGAACACCGCGTGTGCGATTAAAGCACACATGTGTGTACATGTGGAACACACATATGCGCACACGTGAGCAAACATAAATGCTCACCTAAATCGCACACACATGCGCGCACCTCGAAAACAATCATGCGTTTTCTGGAGCGCATACATGTGCACACCTGGAGAGCAAATATGTCGTCAGATGCCAAAAAAAGTTCATCTAGCACATACTAATGTGTTCACGTGAAACACACATCTGTTCACCTGGAACACAAACACGTGTCCAATTGGAACACACATGTGCGTACACGTGGAACACACATATGTGCACACGTGAACACGCATATGTGCACACGTGAACACTCACATATATGTGCACCCGGAACACACACCCGTGTGCTCATCTGATAACAACCATGTGTTCTCCTGGAACACAAACACGTGTCCAATTGGAACACGCATGTGTGTACACGTGAACACACATATGTGTACACGTGGGAGACGCAAATGCGCACACGTGAACACACACACATGTGCACACGTGGAACACACACATGTGTACTGCACATGTGAACACACACATTTATGCGCGCGCGGAAAACACAGACACACACGAGTGTTCATCTGATAACAAACACGTGGTCTCCTGGAACACAACCGTGTGTCTAATTGGAACACAACCGTGTGTACACGTGAACACACATATGTGTACACGTGAACACACACATATTATATATATATATATATGCGCACCCGGAACACACACACACACGTGCGTTCATCTGAAAACAAACATGTATTCACCTGAAACACAAACACGTGTCCAATTGGAACAAACATGTGTGGACACATGAACTCACAAATGTGTACATGTGGAACACACATATGTGTGCAAATGAACACACATACATGCGCACGCGGAGCAGACACACACACACACACACACACGCGTTCATCTGATAACAAACATGTGTCCTCCTGGAACACAAACACGTGTCCAGTTGGAACGCACATGTGTGCACGCGCGAACACACAATGTGTGCCGTGAACACACATACAAAAAAGTGCACGCGGAGCAGACACACACGCACGTGTTCATCTGATAACAAACATGTGTTCTCCTGGAACACAACCGTGTGTCTAATTGGAACACAGACGTGTGTACACGTGAACACACATATGTGTACACGTGAACACACACATATATACGCGCACCCGGAACACACACACACACGAGTGTTCATCTGAAAACAAACATGTGTTCACCTGGAACACAAACACGTGTCCATTGGAACACACATGTGTGTACACGTGAACACACATATGTGTACACGTGGGAGACGCAAATGCGCACACGTGAACACACACATGTGCACACGTGCAACACACACATGTGTACTGCACATGTGAACACACACATTTATGCGCGCGCGGAAAACACAGACACACACGAGTGTTCATCTGATAACAAACACGTGTTCTCCTGGAACACAACCGTGTGTCTAATTGGAACACAGACGTGTGTACACGTGAACACACATATGTGTACACGTGAACACAGCACACGTGGAACACACACATGTGTACTGCACATGTGAACACACACATTTATGCGCGCGCGGAAAACACAGACACACACGAGTGTTCATCTGATAACAAACACGTGTTCTCCTGGAACACAACCGTGTGTCTAATTGGAACACAGACGTGTGTGCACGTGAACACACAAATGTGTGCACGTGGAACACACATATGTGTGCAAATGAACACACACACATGCGCATGCGGAGCAGACACACACACACACACGTGTTCATCTGATAACAAACATGTGTCCTCCTGGAACACAAACACGTGTCCAGTTGGAACGCACATGTGCGCACGCGTGAACACACAATGTGTGCACGTGAACACACATACAAAAAAGTGCACGCGGAGCAGACACACACGCACGTGTTCATCTGATAACAAACATGTGTTCTCCTGGAACACATACACGTGTCTGATAAGAACACACATGTGTGTACACGTGAACACACATATGTGTACACGTGCAACACGCATATGTGCGCACGTGAACGCACATATGTGTACATGTGGAACACACATATGTGCACACGCGAACACACACACACACACATATATATATATATATGCGCGCCCGGAACACGCACACACACACACATGCGTACACCTGGAACACATATGTGTGTATGTCTGGAAAGCACATTTCTGTTCACCTGCAACACACATATGTGTTCACCTGGAACCCATATATGCGCTCACTTGGAACAGGCATTTGTGTTCACGTGCGACACTGGTGCAGACCTGGATCACACAAGCATGTTTAACCAGAACAAACTTCTGTGTTGACTTGTAACACACATATGTGTACACATGGAACACACGTGTGTGCACATGTGGAGAAACATGTGCAACACAAATGTGCAACACACATGCGTTCACCTGGACAACAAAAATGTGTTCACATGGAATTTACATTTCCTGCACGCCTGGGCGACACATAAATCAAGTTCCCGAAGCCGGCTGTGAGGCGCTATTCCATGGGGCTCTGCCTTGAACAACGCTTGTGTTTTATATGCGTGTTCCAAGTAGGAAAATAGTGTTCGTGTACGATCAATCTAGCTTTTTTGCAACACATTGCTAGCGCGCGAGCCTGCTGCTGCTGCTGCTGCTACTACTGCTAGTACTATCAGTATCGGATGCGTCTCCAGCAGTTACAGGCTTCAGCTTAGCAAAAGCTTTCCGGCGCATTGCGCTTCTTTCTCGCTTAGCTGCACAGTGTCTTTCGTATCGATTGCTAAAGTGCTTTGATCGTATTGTGGCAACTCTTCGTATCGATTCAGTAAAGCATTTGCTTTCGCAGGGAAATACGCAACCCAATTCTTCCGTATGCTCGGTACAAGGCATCCCTGCCGTCTTGCCTCAGCCGTTGTTTCTCCCCTTTGTCCAGCAAATCGCACTCCATGATAATTGCATGCGAGGAGAGCGGAAGCAAATTTGGATTGAAGCGTAACTGGGAACCGGTCACAGCTGACCACTGCGCTAGCGCCTTGCTAGCGCGCGGCTAGCGCGGGTTCGCCGTATTTTTTGGAGTCACGGCGACCATCTGTGTGGATTTGACAAATTAAGGCCACGTAAGATGAAGGTAAACGTGCGGGCTGGCTTCAAGTACTAAGTAAGAACTGCAACATTACACCCTTGAAAGCCACGCAAAGCCCATCGCGGCAACCCACGCGCCAACTCTTGGAAACCAAGATCACCGAAGACCCTAGCGCAAACCAAGCGCCATCCTAGCGCCTCCAGTGGGGAGCGGGCAATCCATTGGTATTTGCAGGACTCCGCTTTGTGTGAATGAAAAACTGCACAAAGTGACTGCGACGGTGGCCTCTGTAGACTAAACCCCCTTACTAGGAATTTTGACCGGATCGCATATGTGTTTTATCAGAACAATCGCATGCTTTCACCTGGAACACAAACATGTGCTGACGTGGAACACACTCATGTGGTCACATGCAAAAAGTGCGTGTTCACTTGGAACGCGCCGATGTGGTCAGCTGGAACACACCAAGAACACACAATCATTTACTTGAAGCACTCGTACGTGCATCCGCAGCATGCTGCCTGTGGCTTGATCAAGCGCACGCGCGCGCTCAAACACACGTTTCTGAATCCGTCCACCCAGAGAGCCGTGACAGGCATCCAGGCTGGGAGACAACCGGGGCCAAATAAAGGGAGACAAAGGGAGACAAATGAATCTGTCAGGCAAATGAAGGGAGAGGAACCCGTCCGCCGGGAGAGCCGGGACAACCCCAGGTGCCAAGAGCACCACTGGGTATCTCGGCGTAGGTTCGTTGAACATCATCAAAGAATCGATAGACGATTTAACTCCAGCGTGATTCACGTTTGTTTCACCGGGGGGTTAACAGAGCCTTCTCGTAGCTGAAGCCGTGCACCGCAGCGCACCGCTCTCGTCAGCTCGGGACTCCAAATGCGAGCAAGGACAGAGAGAGGCCGCAACTGATAACGAGGCACTGAACGAACAGACAGGGTGTAGCCAACGATAGACAAGGAAGACGACCCACCACGAGCCCAAGCAAAATCGAAGTCCAGATGAAGGGCAGACAGAGGACCCTGTCCCCAACATCCACAAGACAAGGAATGACCGAAGCCAGGGCCGAAGCCGAAGGCAAACCAGACCCCGCCAAAAGGACAGAACCGCGGGAAGTGAAGGAAACCGCGGAGCGTGAGTGCCACACATCCAGGCTGGGAGACAACGGGAGACAAATGAATCCGTCCACCCAGAGGGGCATCCAGGCTGGGAGACAACGGGAGACAAACAAAGGGAGACAAAGGGAGACAAATGAATCCGTCCACCCAGAGAGGCATCCAGGCTGGGAGACAACGGGAGACAAATAAAGGGAGACAAAGGGAGACAAATCAATCCGTCCACCCACAGAGATGGGAGACAAATGAAGGGGAACCAAGGGAGACAAGTGAATCCGTCCGCCTGGAGAGCCGTGACAGACATCCAGGCTGGGAGACAAGGGGAGCCAAATGAAGGGAGACAAAGGGAGACAAGTGAAACTGTCCACCCAAAGAGCCGTGCCAGGCATCCAGGCTGGGAGACAACGGGAGACAAATGAAGGGAGACAAAGGGAGACAAGTGAATCTGTCCGCCTGGAGAGCCGTGCCAGACATCCAGGCTGGGAGACAACGGGAGACAAATGAAGGGAAACAAAGCCCAGAGAGCCGTGCCAGACAAATGAAGGGAGAGAGCCGTGCCAGGCATCCAGGCTGGGAGGCAACGGGAGACAAATGAAGGGAGACAAAGGGTGACAAATGAACCCGTCCACCCAGAGAGCCGCCGTGCCAGGCATCCAGGCTGGGAGACAACAAAGGGAGACAAATGAACCCCTCCACCCCAGAGAGCCGTGACAGGCGTCCAGGCTGGGAGACAACCGGGGCCAAATAAAGGGAGACAAAGAGAGACAAATGAATCCGTCAGGCAAATGGAGGGAGAGGGAGACAAATGAACCCGTCCGCCGGGAGAGCCGGGACAACCCCAGGTGCCAAGAGCACCACTGGGTATCTCAGCGTAAGGTTCGTTGAACATCCTCGAAGAATCGATAGAGGATTTAACTCCAGCGTGATTCACGTTTGTTTCACCGGGGGGTTAACAGAGCCTTCTCGTAGCTGAAGCCGCGCACCGCAGCGCACCGCTATCGTCAGCTCGGGACCGCAACTGATAACGAGGCACTGAACGAACAGACAGGGTGTAGCCAACGATAGACAAGGAAGACGACCCACCACGAGCCCAAGCGAAATCGAAGTCCAGATGAAGGGCAGACAGAGGAGGACCCTGTCCCCAACATCCACAAGACAAGGAATGACCGAAGCCAGGGCCAAAGCCGAAGGCAAACCAGACCCCGCCAAAAGGACAGAACCGCGGGAAGTGAAGGAAACCGCGGAGCGTGAGTGCCACACATCCAGGCTGGGAGACAACGGGAGACAAATGAATCCGTCCACCCAGAGAGCCGTGCCAGGCATCCAGGCTGGGAGACAACGGGAGACAAATAAAGGGAGACAAAGGGAAACAAATGAATCCGTCCACCCACAGAGATGGGAGACAAATGAAGGGGAACCAAGGGAGACAAGTGAATCCGTCCGCCTGGAGAGCCGTGACAGACATCCAGGCTGGGAGACAACAGGAGCCAAATGAAGGGAGACAAAGGGAGAAAAGTGAATCTGTCCACCAAAAAAACAGTGCCAGGCATCCAGGCTGGGAGACAACGGGAGACAAATGAAGGGAAACAAAGGGGTGCCAGACATCCTGGGAGACAAAGGTAGACAAATGAACCCGTCCACCCAGAGAGCCGCGCCAGGCATCCAGGCTGGGAGACAACGGGAGACAAATGAAGGGAGACAAAAAGGGAGACAAATGAACCCGTCCACCCAGAGAGCCGTGCCAGGCATCCAGGCTGGGAGACAACGGGAGAAATCAAGGGAGACAAAGGGAGACAAATGAACCCGTCCACCCAGAGAGCCGTGCCAGGCATCCAGGCTGGGAGAGAACGGGAGACAAATGAAGGGGACAAAGGGAGACACATGAACCCGTCCACCCAGAGAGCCGTGCCAGATCCAGGCTGGGAGACAACGGGCGACAAATGAAGGGAGACAAAGGGAGACAAGTGAATCTGTCCACCCAGGCATCCAGGCTGGGAGACAACGGGAGACAAATGAAGGGAGACAAAGGGAGACAAAGGGAGACAAATGAACCCGAGCCGCGCCAGGCATCCAGGCTGGGAGACGAATGAAGGGAGACAAAGGGAGACAAATGAACCCGTCCACCCAGAGAGCCGTGCCAGGCATCCAGGCTGGGAGACAACGGGAGACAAATGACAAAGGGAGACAAATGAACCCGTCCACCCAGACTGGATCATCCAGGCTGGGAGACAACGGGAGACAAATGAAGGGAGACAAAGGGAGACAAGTGAACCCAGGGAGACAAACGAACGCGTCCACCCAGAGAGCCGTGCCAGGCATCCAGGCGGGGAGACAACGGGAGACAAATGAAGGGAGACACAGGGAGACAAATGAACCCGTCCACCCAGAGAGCTGTGCCAGGCATCCAGGCTAGGGCTTGGCAACAGGCGAGCCACCTTAAATGAATTTAGAACCCCTCACAGTAAACTGTTTGGGGAATGATGAAACAAAAATGCGCAACAATCTGACAGACATATTAGGGCCTGTTCACGTTATCGAACTGCAAGAGACATGCAAGTGGCATTCCCATTTTTGTTACAGTTTTTAGATTGCATGAGAACAGAGGGGAAATGCCTCCATTCAAACTACCATTCCTTCCTTTCCTGCCAGAGCGAGCGTTGCTCTGTGAAGCCGTCAAATATGTCATTCTTTTGGGGGGGCGGTGCTACAAAAACCCCACACACCTATGACGCCCATATCCTCCCAACGTGGGCCAGACTGGAGTGTTTATCGACTAGGTCCTCCAGTAGAGAGGTTAGAATAAGGGTAGCCTTTTTTCTGTATTCTATTTTAGTAGGGGAACCCTCCCAACCAAAAAGTGGTAAAGGGGCACCTAGCTGGGGGACTTAGTCAAGACCACTGACTCGGAGAGCCGCACATGGAGAGAGACGCCAGGGCCCCGAGCATTCGCCACAAAGGGACCCACCAAAGACTTGGCCGCCTGGCGAAACGCAAAAATCGGTGGTTGGCTTAAAAATAGGTTCCCTTTATCTCACTCCGTTCCAGTGAGAGCTGGTCCCTGAGTTATCCTGCCGCTCGACATCCCGCTTTCACGGATGTGAGACGGGGAGAGGTCTGACGGATCGGGAGACATGGCCGTGGTTGAATAGGGCAACCCCAAAATGGCGCAAGCCCTGGTAAATGGAAACATGGGCTAAAATATGCGGTTTTCCTGGTGGCTCCATTTTGACCCATGGCCACACGGAGACCTAAGGTGTACATGTGGAAAATTCAGTGGAGACAAACAAGGAAACCCCTCCATTTGCAGAGGTTGTCTAGTCGGGAAAGACTCAAGCAGTGTGACGGCCTTCTCAAATTCTGCAAAGGATGCTTAAGATGCCAGCTTGGCTTCCCTTCAAACCACCCAAATGGGTAACTCGTTCTGATGCATTTTCCAACTAGGAGCAAATTGAACCCCCCGGGTGTCTTTTTGAAATGCATGCAGGATGACAAGGAACAGCATTGCCAGTTGCCTGGACAACGAGTGTTTGAACCCGGGTTAGTCCCAGAATCTTGAGTGAATAACTCAGTGGTGCTCACAGGGAGCCTGCCTCGCACAAAACCAGTAAAGGGCTCTCCTCAAAAGCCACCAGACCCCTCTGGGAACAATCACTCTGACCCCCAATCTCTCCCTCTCTGCAACCTCAAACAGAACCCCTCCGATGAGAACCTCCGCCCAAAGGCCACCCTCCCGACTCCCGAAATGGCAGGTGCAGAGCTCTTGATCACTCCATGCAAGTGAAGCCAATCATAATTCATAAGCCATGCCTAATTAATTGTGCAGCTGATCACCTTGAATGCTGCCAGCATCGAGAGAACATTGCTCATGACCTATGCCTATGAAGTGACATTGAAATTAAATACGCGTCAGCACCCTTCTTCTTAAAATACTCTTCGCAGTGGATTCAATCCGCACATTCCGGAACTGAAAAGCCCGAACGAAGGGATCCAAGTAAAGGACCTAAATTCTTGACCCCATATGAATCAACCCCCAGTTTCTGATGGGTTCGTATGTTTTTACGCCGTTGCCAACCCCGGAACTTTGAGGAGGGGCTATGTTTCGCCGGAGGGAACTGCCTGTTTTGACTAGACTGGACACACACCCAAAAACTAATGGGGGGTTGGGATTTTCCCTGGGTTTACTGGGGACTCCGACGCCCCCAGCCCATGTCCCAGGCTCTCCACGACCGTACCACAGCCTCGCGGACCGAGGCGAAGGCGGCGACCAGGATGAGGCCGCCCACGGGGAACCTCCGGAGAACGGAGAGCGGCGCGCGCCGCGCGTTTCTCACCCCGTGGGAGGCGCGTCGGGTGGTTTTTTTGTGGCTGGTCCTCCAGATTTGAGAGGTTAGAATAAGTTGGTACCCGATATTTTTCTTTGTCTATTTTAGTAGGGGAACCGAATCTCCCCCCAAAAAGGGGAGAGAAGGGCACTACTGGCGGACCTGGGTTGGGAAGGGGTGGGGGTGGGGGTGGGGGTGGGGAGGTTTGGTGTTTTGGATGGGGAAGGGGCAGCTGGTGATGGTGAAGCGCTGGGATCAAAAACATGTCCAGTAGTGATAGATTCCTTGTAAAACCAAGCAGGGACGATAGAACAAATCTTCATTTCAGCAAATTAAGTCTCTGAAAGGGACTCGTCTTTTGGAGGGGTGGAGGGGTGGAGGGTGGCGGGGCGGGGAAGGGGTGGAGGGGGGGGTGGGGGGGTGGGGGGGTGGGGGCCACCCAGAAATGCACGCTGTCCCAGCTGAGGTGTTTGGAGAGCACTGCTGGTGTACGATTTGTAAACTGGCTGCAGCCAGAGTGCAGCCCAAGCATAAGAAATGCGGATACTGCGAGTTTCGGGTCGCAGCATTCTGCTGCTTGTCGCTCACAAGCAAAACACTTGCAAAGAGCAGGCTGCATTCCCAAACACAAGACACGCACCCTTCCGACAAGCACACACAACTATTGCTGAGGCCTTATGCACGAACGCAGTCGGACAGAGCTGTCTCCGTGCCCGCACCCGTGATCTTGATTCATGTTGCGGGCTCCTAACTGTTGCTGTTTTTGCGTCGCATGTTAATTTGATCGCCTTGCCTGCATGTTCAGGCAAGGGCGCAACCCGACAGATTGAAACGCTACTGCCGAAACGAGGCCAAACGGAAAGCCATTGAGGATGCAAAGGCCCTCACATCCTGAGATGTATATCTGCTGAACAAGTTTTGAAGTGTGGTGCAAAACAACAAGGGTAGGGAACGATGAAATTTGCGGGTGACGAGTTCTTTATGCTTGACATCTCATATGAACCCCGGCTTTCAGCTTGACAACCCCGCGCCTGCTTGCCAAGTAAACCGTGGGCCCGGAGCCTACAGACCGACCAAACAGGATGACCTGCTCGTACCTGGCTCTGCGAAGCATTGACGCTCAAAAAAGGCAACGCCAAATGGGTGTGGGTCAAAATTGAACCACCAGGAAGTAGGACCGCAGGTTTTAGTCCATGTTGCCATTTACCGGGGCAAGCCATTTTGGGCCCTATTTTTGACAACCACAGTCAAATGGCGACCCCGCAAAGGAGCCACCAGCGACGTCTCATGTGCTGCGAACCCGGTTGCGAAACCCTCATTCCGTCGCTCAATCGTAGGAGTGGACCTCGAGACACTCTGAGTATACTGAGTATAATGAAGGGCCAAGAGATGCCTCGAGTGACCTTGGATTGCTGGAAATCACAGCAAGGACGCTGGAATTACTCAGTTGTTCAGTGACCCTGGTAAAAAAGGGAACCCTTTTTTGGGAAGACCATAGTGGGGCAGCCACCAAAACAAAAGGGAAAAAGGGTGCCACTCAACAACTGAGATTAACAATGTTATGTTTGTTCTGCCCCGAACAAATTGAAAGATTGGACGGTCAACTTTTGCAAGCGCGTGAATGGGAAACAACCCGGCTTCCTTGCCACTGCGGAATCTACGGTACATGCGTGTTAGGCACGGTGCAAACTTACTCAACTAGAAATCAAACCCTGGTATTCAAGCGGTCGACCCAAAAACAATGTAGATAATTCAAAGGGCGGCCGCGCCCAAATCATGGCTGTGGCTATCGCTTGCTAACCTTCTACCTGGGTTCTGCTTGTGGCTGGCGTGCTTGGTCTCTCTGCCACATGTCCTGCACTTGCGTCCCACGGACAGAACTAGAACCGAACCCCGAGCTCCAAGGGCCTTCAAAGCGCGCTACACGAAGAGCCCCGTGAATCGATGCCCCAGGGTGACAAGGCCTGAGATATCCCGTGCCCCGGCGCCCGTGCCCGGCGACTTCATAAGGCGAGAAGACTCGCTCAGATTGCGAACCAGATCCAGAAACTGTAGACAAAAAATGGGCATACAGAAAGAGGACCAGGGCAAATTGGGTCGTAAGCAAACGGGAATGCCATGGTGGAACTGAGAGACAAGGAGTCGTACCCAAAGTTGACTAGGTTGGCTGACGCCGTGCATTTCAGCTTCAAAATATCTCTCCGGGCCCACCGCAAGTGTGGCTTTGTGGCTGATCTGATCTGGGGTAAATCCGTGGCCGACAAATCACGCAATGCCTACAAATGCGATATCATTGAACTGAATGAGCCGCCATTTGCCATTCATAGGCCATGGAAACAAGGTGCTAACACCTTATCCCTCTGATTCGAGCGACATACGTCAAGGGATGAAATCAGACATCTCCCCTGCTCCCAAATGCTTTCCACAAACATGCTGAGCAGCTGATGTTTGCTTCGGGGTTCATATCAAGCTTGTACAGGTGCTTGGGCAAGTCTTCGCTTGGTGCCAACTGTTCGTTTGCGACGCAAACGGATGACCTGCGGATGGGCCAACGTTCCCGGAATTGTAGCCCCGCGTCAACGGCACCTGTGGGAAGGTGGCAACCTTGATAGTGGACCCGCGGACAACAGTCTTTGTTCCGCAGCCGGATATGACGGGAACACTGGGTTGCCCCTGGTTTTGTGAGAACATAGGCTGAGAAAATGGGATTGCTCCCCCTGTGTCCTCCCTGAACTGTATAACCGGGCCAGTCAACAACTTCCATTTGCTTAAGTCCCCTGGAAAAAAAAACAAAGTATTTCCAGTAGTGATAGATTCCCTTTAAAACCAACAGGGAAAAATAAACAACACATTCTTGAGCAAATGGAAGACAAAGAGTCGCGCCCAGGCTTTGGACGCCGCACGGGCGATCAGAATCCACTCGGACGGCGCACGCGACTTTCAGCTCGTCCAGGATGAAGCGGAAGGCGGTCAGCGCAACCTGCAGAAAGGGGGGCGGATCCCACGCCCCTACGTCCTCCAGTAGAGAGAGGTTAGAATAAGTTGGTACCCGATGTTTTCTGCTTTCACTAGGGGAACCCTCCGACTACAGGATAAAAGGGCACTACTGGGGAAACATGGCGGACAATTTGGTGGCAAGGTGGGAAATGGGCAGGTAAAAACTTGAAGCAAAAATAGGCAAGGCAAACTGTGACAAAGTCATGCTCCGAATTATGTTCCGAAACACACCTCTCTTTTCGACCATATTTCTCGTGCCCCAAATGTCTTAGAAGTGTCCCCACCTGCTGATCCTGAGTTTGGGTTCTGTACATCTTGGACTTCGTCTGTCCAAGCTTCTCCACTTCTAAAGCTTCGTCATGGCCGTTAAAAGCTTGGTTCCAACCAAAGCCTAAAGACGACCACCAAATAGAAAATATGCTGCAACTGATCACCTATCCAAACAAATGAAACAATATTCAGAAACCAAAAGCACACACACACACTGGCCAGGACACAACCACTAAATCTACCAGATGCAAATTTAATACAATAGAATGCAGGTGAGAGAACTTCCCAAAAAGTACATTAAGAAAAGATAGAGGCAAATACGACAATTCTTCCTGCATTCTGCATTAATTATTTGACACAACTTTTAACGTAGCATATTGGCACACATTCGGGTAATGTCCAAATGGGATTCAAAACATTGCAGGCGGAATAAAGACAACGGGGGGGCCCTAAAAAATAATAAATGCACCTGAAATAAAGACAAGCCCCTGCCCCCCCCCCCCCCCCGCCCATGAAAAAGACATGTCCCCAAAAAACAGTCACAAAAAAGTCGCAGAAAAGAAGAGAGAAAGAGAGAAAGGAGAGGAGAGATAGCCAAGCCAACACCTGGTCCTTGGATTTGTGGTACCTTGTTCCTTAAGTCCAAAACTGTCAGCTTTACCAAACCCATGTTTTCTTACATGTCTCTTGTTTAAAACCTGCCCACAATCAAACCCACAAAGGGGGTAGCACTTCAGCCCCCAACTTGACATTATTTCAGGGGCCCCCGAAATAAAGTCTTGTTGCCTGGCCCCCTGAAAAATACAACCTGCCCAGTGCAATTGCCTCTTAGCTAGTCAAGTGATTAGACAGCCTAGGTGAGGCTGGCAGTGCTTCATGCTGTGTTGTTAGATTCGGGCCTGCTCCTCAAATCCAAAATTGCCAGCTTTACCAAACCCATGTTTGCTTACATGTCTCTTTTTGAAAACCTGCAAACAATCAAACCCACAAAGGGGGTAGTACTTCAGCCCCCAACTTGACATTATTTCAGGGGCCCCCGAAAAAGTCTTGTTGCCTGGCCCCCCCAAGAAAAACAAAAAGGAAGCTCCAGCAATACTAAATCAAATGGAAACTCAAGTCTACCGATACTAAATCAAATGGAAACTCAGTTCCAAATCTCAAAAGGAAGCTCCAGCAATACTAAATCAAATGGAAACCCAGTTCCAAATCTCAAAAGGAAGCTTCAGCAATACTAAATCAAATGGAAACTCAAGTCTACCAATACTAAATCAAATGGACACTCACTTCACCTGGATCTCAAGATACTATTCTAGATACCCCCATCGTTGAGGGGGGGGGTCCCCCCTTTACTAATCCCATTTGGACATTACTGATGTAAAGGAGTTAGTAATCCACATGCTTACAATTTATAATGATTATCTGCATGTGAGAAAGAAGAGAACCCCGAGGTCATTTCAAAGAGATGCGGCTAGATAACTAATATATGTCCAAATGAATATTTACTAATAATGCAAGGACACATGCAGTGTTCTCGTTTGGTTGAACAAATTCGACCAATTTCTAACAAGTTTAGATAACAGTGCTGCTCAATCGAAAGAAGAGATTAGACAAAATGCTTCTGAGCTTCTGGAAAGTGAGGTCCCAGACATCTGGAGCGAGAAGTTTCGTCACATCAACTTGGTCAAATGTGGCCAAGCAAAGGGCCCCAAGCATAGGTGTCCTTTTGGTTGAACATCATGATGGCTTTCCCTGGTAACTGGATGGCAGGGAGCAGCAGAAGGATTTGTTGTTTCACCAGACTCACCGATCCTCACTTCCTGAGTAGGTTGGCCAGAAAACTTCCATTTTTTTGTGCCACTAAAGTCCGAAACGGACCTCAGGGAGTGAGGATCACAAGGACGCCCCAAGGGCCCGCCGTGGCACCTCCTTCAGCGCAGCCTCGGAGGACCGTGAGATGCCGTGCAGCAGGCCATACCCGGGGTACCTACGAGGCGCGAAACGACTCGCCGCGCCTGGGGCTTGGGGCGGTGAGTGTCCTAGGTCCTCCAGAATTGAGAGGTTAGAATAAGTTGGTACACGATGTGTTTTGTTCTTAGTCTGTTTTCTGTTTTAGAAGGGGAACCCTCCCAACCAAAAAAGGGTGGGAAAGGGCACTACTGGCGGACCTAGTGTCCCATGACCCAGAAATGATAGATTCGGACAACCTAATTTCCATTTGTTTTTAGGGTTCACTGCAAAAAATGAGAACCTATGTCCAGTAGTGAAATCATTCCTTTTAAAGCCAACAGGGGAATATAAACATATTCATTTCAGCAAATTGAAGCTAAAGGAATGGTAATGCCTAGCAAAAAAAAAAACAGCATGCTCTGCAATCTCAACGGGCTTGTCCGCACAAAAGAACTACAGCTTACAACAGCCGAGCACAGCAACACCGGAGCTCGCACTTCAGACGTGAGATCTTGCCAGCGTTCCCATTCAAGGGAGACCTATGCAATGCATGCGCCACCCTTGCATTCCGGAAATGGGATCAAGATCATCTGCGGGGAATCTATCATTGATACGGCTTCTGAATAGGATAGCTCCAATTCTGAGACCCTTGCACCATAAGTTGGACCGGACTAGTTGCTTTGGCACGCAAAGCAAACCGGGCAAACCCACACTTGTGGCCCAGATGTTCCTTCCACTGACGGAATTCTGCACCAGCTGGTAGGTGGTTCAGGCGGTTAATGCCGGTTTTCATGGGGTTTCATCCATCATCCTCTGCCTCGAAACGGATTTTGAATCCATCCACCGGCTCCAAAAGGCCACTCTGGTCGCTGGTCACTCACCTTTCCCAGGGGCACTCGACTGCCAAGACGTTCATCTTGAACTGGTCCCGCATATGCCGCACCTCAGCTCTCTGACGGCAGTCACTGATATTTGCGGGTTCTCAGTAGGGGGTTCCCCTTCAGTGATGATTCCCCGCTAAACCCCTGCTGGACACCCCGAACGGGTGATGAATCGGGGGTAAACATGTTGGCAGCCTAGGTTACAACCCACCTTACAAGTTCCTCTAAGTGGGGGTAACAATGTCACTAGTGGATTGTGACCCAAGTGGCTGACAACTTACAAACTTGGCAACGAACACCCCAGAAGGGAATCACCAAAGGGACGGTTGTGACTTGGTTGGAATCCCAAAGCCGCACCGGTCACTCATGAGGCGCAAGTAGAAATGAGGGGGGGGGGTGGAGCGGGCGCTTGTAGGGGAAGCAACGTTAGTAACTGAGCTAATATCAGACAAAGGTGAAGAGGTCGGACATGTGCTCGCTTCTCTGTGTGTCCTTCCCTTTTGCAAGGTTTGTGATCAGTGGAGCCACAGGAATGCCATCAGTCTGGGCAAGGAAACCATGTGGATGGTGGTTGTCGGGGTCATTCCAACTCAGAGATGATAACTTCTCTCGCAAGACTCCTTACACTTGGGTGTTCGAGTCGAGTTGTTGGTGACCTAGGTCATAACCCACCTATACTAAGTGGGGTTAGCCCAGGCATTCGTAGGTTATAACTCAGGTGGCTAACCACATACTAACCTGGCCGCACATCCAAGTAGGTGTCGCTTTGGACAAATAGATGGCACCACCAAGCTAGAACCAAACTGACAGGTGCCATCCACACCTATGGTTGAACTCCTTGCTCCTTGGCAAGAAAACTTCTTGAGGTTTCCATTCTGCAGTGTAACTTCGAGCTGAAGACAACTTGCAGGTGCTCAGGGAATGAGAAACGAACCGGAAGAGGCTTCCCGAAAATTCTAGAAACCACCAGCTGGATGGATTCGCTTGCGTTCATTCCATGACTCTCAAACCCTCTGCATCTCTCGCAGCGATCGCAAGAACCAAGGCCACGGAATGAGGGAATGAACAAGTCGGGGTTCTCGAATAGAGGAAACCACCAGTTGGATGGTTTCTCTTGGGTTCGTTCATTCCATTTCTCGTTCTCTGCTAAGGCCACGGCGAAGGGGAAGCACATGCCGAGATCCTGCCAAGTTGCCCCGAAGCCTTCGCCTCTGGGCCTTCGGCCTGCACCTTTGACCAAAACCAACGCTTGGTATGGCCGTGCAGTCGCTGTGACTTTTCGCACGGCCCTAAAATTGGACAGAGCCGCAACAAACCTCAAAGCGTAATGATTTCGCAACCCCTACTAAAAATGAACAGAACCGAACAACCTAAAAGCCCAAAAACATGCCAACAACTGTGAAGTCCAAGAAAACAACAACTGAGTGAGTTTAAGACTTCTTTTGACAGTTGCCACACCGGGCAAGCCGCGAGGCTTCCGTAAGCTTCCGCTTCCGGTCGGCTTGGCAGTGTGTTTGGCTCAAACCAATTGCTGTTGCCGCGGCTATTTTCCGGACGAAGTAAAGCAGCTATGTATTCGACGCAAACACGACATAGATACAAGTGTGTAGATATATTGCGTTGTAGTTACAGCTTCAGCGGCCTTTCGCAGCGATCGTTGCACTAGCGGGAACCTCCACGAGCAGAATCCCATGCACCAACGATTCCTCGGGTGGATCGCTATCGCTCTGACAGCATCCGTGCCTTCCAAAAGGTGCATTGGAAGCATCCATTGAACAACTGCGGCCGCTCTTCCATGAACGGTACGTGAATGGACCAGGCGCGACTACACGCCGAGGAGCTTGTGATGGGCGCTTGAAAGTGAGCGAGCACGGGTTCTCCTTGGAACATCTAGATGGTAAGTTTGAGAACGTTCGCAATGGACCCAGCTGTATCTGGTAATTGTTCTCCACCTTCCGGCACGACCCCATCCAGCAACTTCCAATTTTGCTTAAGCCCTCTGGGAAAAACTGCGAAAATATGTCCAGTAGCGAAATCAACACCAACAAGGGAAAATAACACATGTTCATCTCAGCAAATGGAAGCTAAAGGAAAGGTAAGGCCTAGCAAAAATGACATGCTCTGCAATCTCCACCGCCTTGTCAGCAGCTCACAACCACTGTAGCACGGGAACTCCGCAAGCAAGGCGCTCGCTCAGTGCCGGCCGCATATGACGCCCCTTTTTGCTCTGCTTCTTTCACCTGGGCTCGCGTCAGGGGTCGTCAGGGGCAATAAAACTTGCTTGCTGTAACGACCCCTCCGCAAAAAGCTTCACTTGCTGTGGGTCCAATTCGGAAACTCCGAGCTGTTTCCGCCAAAAAGTTGAAATCCAAAGACCCCACCAAACGGCCACAAGTTTCATAGCCATCGCCTCAAGTGCGATTGAGTGTGACAGTGCAGCCAAAATGATGGATTTTTTGTTTGCGGCTTCTGTTGGGGTAAAATCATTGGAATAGCTGATTCCACGCCTGAGCAGCTTCCTTGATCAGCTTCTTGGGTAAGAAAGATACCTTGGAAAAATCCTGATTCGCCGCCTTCGCATCAGTGGCCTCCAGGACCTCGGCCTTGACTAAGATCTGTGGGAGGCCCTAAGATCTGTGATAAAGTGGGACCAAATTACTCGGATGTTCGGCTGCAAGTGATTTGTGTTTTCTAACCTCAAGTGCGATTGAGTGCGACAGTGCAGCCAACATGATTGATTTTTTCCTGGTGGCTTCTGTTTAGGTAAAAACAAATACTTGAAAAACAAAAAACTGATTCGACGCCTTCGCATAAGTGGCCTCCAGGACCTGGGCCTTGACTAAGATCTGTCGATGGGAGGCCCTAAGATCTGTGATTGGATGTGCGGCTGCAAGCGATTTTTTTCTCACCTAGGTCACAGTCCGTATTGGGTTTGTGGTTATTCCGACTTGCTTCCCGAATGCACCCCACGGACAAAACATCCGGATCACTGGATTAAACGCCATGATCTGATGCGACGAGTCAATGCCGGCAAGGCTCGCACACGTCAGCTTTGGACACGAGCTCCACGATACTGCCTGACAAGTCAGGAACTACAGCTCCCAATTGAATTGCCTACGGTTTCATGAAGCCCAGTTACAGTAAGCAGAATCCCTGGTTGATTTTCATCGTAGAGTGTCCCGTTTGGGAGGGAATCCGGGTCACCAGGAGGAACAACTCCCGGGTTGTTCATCAATCAGGGGTGAATTCCTCCGGGATTCTCCTTACAGATGCCTAGGCAGGCAATACCTCTTGAAACGGCCCTGAACCTTCAAAATGAAGGGGGCGCTTGATTTCCCCCACGCGTCAACAGAAGACAAATCCTGGTCTTGGGTTCTTCTCGCAAGAACTAGCAGTGCATGACAGGAGTTTACGCAACTCGCTGCGGTCACGCAACTGAAGGCGCTGGCCAGAAACTGTCTTCCATTTGCCTTTTCGTCCCCTGGAAAAAGAGAAATTTGTAGTGATAGATTCCCTTAAACACCCAAAGATGAAAATATCATATATGTTCATTTCAGCAAATGGAAGCGTTTCGCAGCAACTTGGCGCTCTGCCCATCTTACCCTCTGTCCTGTAATGGACCAAGCTCCGATGCGATGGAACCCCATGGAGTCCGTTTCAAGGGAGCAAGTTCGCTGAAGCCAGGTGGCTTTCTATGCAGAAACGCTCACGAAACCCCATGTGTAGATGTCCTGGAAGACGAGGGCCGAGCCTTCAATGGGTTCCCTATGCTTCCCCTGTCGGTTAGAAAGAAGCATCACCGTTATAGAGCCACTACAGCTTCCTGGTGGCTAGGTCCTCCAGTAGAGAGGTTAGAATAAGGGTACCCTTTTCTCTGCAGTCTATTTTAGTAGGGGAACCGAATCTCCCAACCAACAAAGTTGGTGAGAAAGGGCGCTGGGCGCTTCCTGGTCAGGTCCTGCTTCCAAGGAAAAAAGCTGAGGCCAGCCTGCTCAGTAGCCCATGCGTTCCGTGGCAAAGCGGATCATCCTGGTTTTGGGCTCCATGTTCAGTATAATGTTGACCCAGGATTAGTAATCCCGTCCCAGTATTAGGGGGGTGTTCCCTCCAAAAGTGATGGATCCCCACTAAAAGGGGACACGCCCCTATTAATCAACCAGGGGTTTATTCTTACGGGGTTAACAGAATGTACCGTGGACATCCCCCCATCCCCCATCCGGGGGAGTGAGGTTGGGGGGTCCCCAATTCCATTGATCTAGTCTAAGGGAAAATGGGTTCCCATCAACGGAGATCTCCAAAAAAAATCACCTTCCGATCCGTGGAGCCCTGGATGGCCGATGTGTGACACCAATGACATGGCTGAATTGCAGCTTCCTAGTGGGTGGGGATTGAGAGGTTGAGGAGGGATTTCTCATTTACCCGCTACAAGGACCAGGGTTCAAATCCCCGAACCCATCCAAACCACCAACTAGGTCCTCCAGTGGAGAGGTACCCTATTTTTCTGTAGTCGATTTTAGTAGGGGAACCCTCCCCCTACTAAAGGGTGAGAAAGGGCACCTATAGCTGGGGGACCTAGCCAATTCGGGGCTTCCCGGGGACAATTTGGACCCCATGCCAAGTTGCCTTGAGCTATATCATCAAAGATGCCTGCGGACAGGTCGGCCCACGGCATTTGCTGACCGCAGGGTCGCTTGTTTATGTGGGTCTTGTTTGTTGTGAAACCCCATTTTGGGTTGGCTTAAAGGAAAATAGAAGAAACCCACCAGTTTCGGGGAGGGGGGGGGCATGAAATTGAGATATGTCACAGAAGAGTAGTTAAGTCTAAGTTGGTGGGCTAGAGCTGACTGCATCAATGCATGCACAATTGATAGAAGAAACAAGGACCAAACCTGCATGGTACAAAAACAAACAAAATGACAAACAAACAAACTGACAAACAAACGAACGAACGAACGAACAAACAAACAAACAAGCAAGCAAGCAAGCAAGCAAACAAGCAAGCACGCATGCAAGCAAGAACGCAAACACAAAACAAACAATAAAGGAACCCGAAACAGACTAAAACAAACAAACAAACAAACAAACAAACAAACAAACAAACAAACAAACAAACAAACAAACAAACAAACAAACAAACCACAACAATAGAACAAACAATCCAGCAAACTCAACGAGACAACAACAGAACAAGCTTCAAAAAAGACACAACAACCAAACCAAATTTACAAGAAACTAAACCCAACAAACACACTAAACCAAGCAAACACATGAACAAACAAACGAAACAAACAAACACAACGAAACAAAGCAATCAATCATACAAACAAAACTCACACAGAAAACCAAGCAAACAAACACGCAAACACAACAAACTGTAGTTTCTTCCAAAGAGCCCCCCAACTGCTTCATGAATAGGCGGTCTAGTGCTCAAGGATTTATTTACCCTATGAACATTTGTGAACATTTCGGTGGGACTTTTGATTGGAGTGGGAGGGATCAAAGGGCTGGGCTCTCGTTAAACCCATCCAAAATCGCAGAGAGTTCTTATTCTAGGTCCTCCAGTAGAGAGGATAGAATAAGGGTACCTTTTTTTCTGCAGTCTACTTTAGTAGGGGAACCCTCCCGCAAAAAACAAAAGGTGAGAAAGGTCACCCATAGTATTCTAGGACCTCCTTGCACTTGGCAAGCCGCCAAAATCCCCCAGAAAGAAGGCGTGGGCCTTGCAGCCGCCGGTCGAAGGTTTCACGCGAGGCCGGCGAGGCAGCAGCCTGGCGGCGGCTGGCTCGACTGTCCTGGACGGTCCTTTTTGGGGAATTTCTTCCGAGGGGTCCAAGGAAAGAGGCTTCCCTAAGAGGTCCTCCAGTAGGGAGGATAGAATCTTTGGGTACCCGATTTTTTGTTCTGTCTATTTGAGTAGGGGAACCCTCCCCCAAAAAAAGGGGAGAGAAGAGCACTACTGGGGGACCTGGCCTAGAGGTTCAAGGGATTTTAGGGAATCCCCTCCAAGGGAAGAAGGTTCTCTAAGACTCTCTGAGAAGCAAGGAACTGTCGGGAACCCCTCCGAAAATCCACAATCGGTGGTTCCGAGAGGATCCAACTGGATTCGAAAATCCGACACAGAACCCCCTGGCCCACAACTCGACCAAGAATGGGTCGGCGTGTTCCAGAAAGCCGGTGTGTTTGGGTCTGTGGTAGAAGCAGCTTTACCGCTTTGTGACACAGAAAGCGCTGTTTGGTTGGGAAGGAGACATTGTGGTCACTAAGCCAGGCTACAACCTGTGACTCCTTACCATCACAATTGAGCTGTAAACAAATTGGAATGAGTGAAACAACGAGTTCTAACAAGAAAGCAACTACAGTAGGCAAACCAACCAAAAACATCAGAACCATTCACCATTGAGGTTCCTATGAAAGGAGCCTAAATAGCAGGCCAAGCGCACACAGCACACATGGGGAAACTGATTGGCAATCAGGCGTAATTATATGGAAATGATATCCTTGGGTCGATTTGTAGGTTGCTATGCTTAATCTAAATGACTGACTGCCCCTTCCACATTTGACAGCCCGCAGTTTCCTCCGGGTTTTGCTGCGAGAATCAACTGAGATCAATCTGGTGAGGTTCAGAAAAAAGAAGAAGAAATGTGAGCCATCCAGAAGCTACTCTAAAGGGCTTCATTAAAGCGGTTTCATCCCGGCTTGAAACTTGGGGCATCTGCTTTTGCGGATCTACAGAACATTGAAGTAAAGAGCAATAAAAGAGTACCAACATGGAACTTGGAATTTTAGGGGGGAAACCGCCGCTTTCTAGATTTGGGAATGGTGGCACCCGGAGATGTTGTAAATCAGCTGGTAAAAGTGTGTGATTTCTCTCAACTGGCCCCAGCTATCCCTTCAGCCTTGGATTGTGTCTCCGCAAGCCACAAACCCGTCCTTTACGTCAGTTCCTCAAAGGTCCCAACAACAGGTGATCACCTTTTGGGGCCCACTCAAAATGGCTGCCAAATCAGCTGCCAAATCACCAGAAGGTTTTTCAGGTCGATTCGCTTTGGGCAAGTTCCGGTAAGGCCCCTCTGAGACTCCGTCTGCTTCTCGCTGCTTCTCGCCCCCGAGCCCCCGAATCAAAGCCGCCTGGGCTTTCAAGAGCTGCTCCTCAAAAGATTCGAGCCGAGCCCGGCCCCGGAAGTCTCAAAAGCGAGCCGTCGAAATCGTCGAGTCATGGATGTTGTCTCTGAAGTCGGGAATCTGCACTGACACATGGCATAATTAACACATCTAAACGCAGGTTCTGTATGCGCAAACACGCGCAGCGCACACACACACACACACACACACACACACACACACACACACACACACACACACACACACACACACACACACACACACACACACACACACACACGCACACACACACACATACACACGTGTGCATATCTGCGTACTTATACCATGGGGCTCCTTCACCCAACGAAAACATGACTTCCGGAACCTTCTGTACAACTGCAACATCTGCGACAATCAACTAAGAACATCTGCGCCAGCTGAAAGAGCGACGTCCAGCAAAACGTTGGCATCCCCTAAAAATGTTGCTGGCTCCTGTTTAAACTGTTTAAACAAAAAACATAATTTAAGGGAGGGCCTGTAAAATGTGTTTAAACGTTAAATGTTTAAACTCTTTGATCGTTTAAGCTCGCTTATTCCTTTCCTGATATCCGCAACAGCAAACCCCCGGAACCCTAGCCGGCCTAGCTGCTCCCAACTCTGGAGCTGATCTGATCGACGAAAGCCTTCCGCTGAACAGCCCGGGCGAGAAATGGTTTGGGGCACCAAGGGAAACCGAGCAAACTGCCCAAGACAGGGTCCGCGGTCCGCCACTTTGACCAATTTGGGGCCATACTCTTTGGAGATGGCAAAATAGGAATAAGGCATGCCTCCAAAATGCTGGCTTTCCGATTTCCGTCTGCTTGAAACCAACCTCGGGGTATCCTCACAGCACAAGCCCAAGAAGACGGGACTCTTGCAGGTTTTGCTTTAGTACACTCCCTCAGACTAACCTGGAAGCTCCCAGAGGGCCACTGTTAATGGAACCAAGTCTTCCAAAGTAGTCCTGGGAGCTTCCATGTTAGTCTGAGGAAGTGTACAGGGCCGAACCCAGGGCGTCGGGGGGTTCTCAGCATAGGAAGCCCCGCACGACACGCGGTCGCGCCCTCGCCCCCTCCTTCAGAGCCCCGAAGAGCTCAGGAGAGCTGGCGCCCAGGATAACCCTGGAGACATCATGGAGAACCCTCGGGCAGTTTCCCTCTACCCCCCAACCAAAAAGGGGGAGGGGGGGATGCGCGGGGTTTCTGCACCAATTCCATGGATCTGGTCCGGTCCCCACAGAAGGGACATAGAACCACAGATTGTGTATCCCAGGCGTCACCCCGCCCCAATTCAATTTATAAGGGAGTGGGGATACAAACCGCTCGAAAACGTACCTCAAAAAGATACACACCCGTGGACCAAATCCACTCTGCACCGGGTCACCAAGAAAAGAAACTCTATCAACAATACAGGGATGAGCCACCCAACTCTTTCTTTCCATGCAGGTGAATTGGAGTAGCCTGGGGGATGTCCTTGGCAAAATAGATGGCGCTAAATGATTAGAACCAAACTGAAACCAGTGGAACCCATATAATCAAAGATTCCCAATCTACCACACCCCGAATCGCTTTGATATTTGGGAGCCTCAAAACCCATCGATCGCTCCATGTTCAATCAAACTCATCCTCAAGGATCGCGTACGCGAGGGTTTCTGGTGCATGTGACTTGTTCACCCCCACAAAGTAGATGTGTTCATGCTTTTTCATGAAACCAAACCTTCAACTTCCCTCTAACTTATGTTTTGGACAGGCGCTTGACCAAACCTCGTATGCGGAAGGGTCCAACAGGTCATAAGCATGTGTTAAAACTAGTAAACCGTTGCAATGGTGTGTGTGTGTGTCATGTTGACTTCATGTTGAAATGAACCACGGCAAACAGGTGTTCCAGGTTTTGCTAACCCTCCCATCAATACGGGATAGCACGGGCATGTTGCCTTTGGTGGACATGATGAGGGTGTTCCAACCAGTTCAATGAATGGTCATCATATCAATTTGGGGTTGTCTCAAAATGGGGAACTCCAAAACGAGCGGTGTTCGTACAACAACACCCCTACAAACACACCCATGGCACCGGCAGACAGGATCAACAAGCTCCATTGGCGGAAAAGTCCCGGGAAGAAGAAATTCCAAGTGGTAGATAAACCACTACGAGCCTTTCGGGGTCGATCGTCCAAATTCATAGCTTTCAGCTGTTGGTTGTTACCCAAACGGAAAATCAGACTGGGCGGTCTGTTTTCTGATCCCCTGCTAAACCCAACCACTCAACCAACTCAAAAGATCCAACAAAAGTAAGCTTTTAGTGGGTTAAGTGAGAACTCAACCAACCAAAAAGATCTAAAAATGTTCATTAAGCTTTTAGTGGGTTAAACGACCACTAAACCAACAAACAAATGCAACAAAAAATAATATTTATTTTAGTGGGTTTAGCTGACCACTAAACCAACTAAACACCCCAAAAAAGACTGAGGAACCTGACAGCTGGTTTCGAACCGCCCAGTATAGAAAATGGTTGTTGAACCAAACTGACGACCCAACGCCGGCGCCTGCAGCGAGCGGCAACGGCCGGCAGCATGGCGACACACCTGGCTGAGCGACGGACGGCTCCTTGGGGATGACTCATTGCATCACCAGTGTCAATCAATGAAATTTACATATATGTATACATATATGTATATATGCATAAATAAATATATATATATATACGTACTCGGTTGCTTTCTGCTCCCCTGCTAAAAGTTTAACTTTAGTGGTTTCATGGAAAGCCCACTAGTTGGCAAAAAGTTAAAGTCTTAACATCCAAGCAAAATGCACCAAAGTATATATATATATACTGGGCTGCCTCGGATCCCCTGCTAAAAGTTTGATATTCAGTGGGTCAAGTGGAAACCCCACTACACCCTAAAAGCTGAAAAAGCTAAGGGAATGGCTGGGAACCACCAAGTCTATATTTTGGTACGAAAGCATACTACTGGATATGTCGGTCGAGTCAAACATATACAGGGATCCTTACAATATACACCTGAACATTGCCTTGTAAATGGTGGTGTCCCTTATTTTGGTGGAAAAAGCCATGTTTCAAATGGGCAAAATGTATCTTTTAAGGAGCCCTGATATACTTCACAAATTCTATATCACATGTGTCAAAGGTTGTACCACCAGACTGGAACATAACCCTCAAGAATTTGCCAAACAAAAGAGAGAGCAAATTGGGGATAAACGAGTCATAGACAAGTTTCGCTTTCAGATTTCTTCTTTGGGGTCTGGTCTCGGGGTCGCTGGGGGAGTGATTCTGCGAGGTGTCACCCTGCTAGATGCTCGCCTTTTTGTTGGTATACGATTAAAAGCCTGGTCTTGAATGGTAAATACGTCCTGGACTAGTCAGCGGTTGACATCCATACCCTAACAAAAAGTGGCCACTGGGTGCAGGGACTGGTCGTGCTGTTGCCACACGTTCGATGCCCCTTTTCGATGGGAGCCCAATTTCCATGCTTGGGCGCAATGAATATTGGCTCACCATAGAAATCAATCACTTTGAGGGTCTATTCTGGAGACAAACCAAGATTGCTTGGGGATGGTTTGGGACGGTGAATTGAGGCCATGCCGAGAACATTGCCTGCTTATCTGGTTGCCAAATGGGTATGCGTCAACATAGCGTGATGTCGACCCCTACAATGGTGACTTCCCTTGTGGTCTCCCTTTACCTGCAAAAGGGCGCCCTTAACAACCCAGACACCGAAACTGAAAGTAGCGACCAGCACCCCCCAACTGACTTTTGGACAGTGCCAAGGGCATTTGGACATGGTTGAAAAAGCAGGCAAGTCAGGAAGTTGCTGGGACATAATCCTCTGACAGCGATCTGTTGTACATGTTAACTATTTCACAATCCGGTGTGACCCGGCAAATGTGCCTGATTTCCTCGCGGGTCAAGTGTTTGGATGGTTTTTTTGAAACGCTCTGAAAGAGAGAAGCAAAACAAAAACAGTTCGCTGTTGTTTCATGGTTGTAATATTCTTCCTGTTTTTTTTTTGTGTGTGTGTGTGTGTGTTTTTTTCTCCGTGGGGCCTTCAAAGGAAACAGCCAGTGAATCGGCGTCCAAGGAAATCGATTGTATCTGCGCTCCCATGTTTGCAAGTGTGCGGCGCAACCAGTTTGCAATATGGTTTGTCTCCAAAATAGGGACCCCCAAGTGCGAAGGTGGTTGATTTCTATGTTCCAATCCACAAGGGCACCCAATCCCTGGAACACCCATCTGCCAAAACGTTTCAAGACAACATGGAGAAAGCCATTTCCAAATCCCCTCACTCTGGTTCACCGAGCCAAAGCCAACGTGTGGGCCTTCAAAACTCACTTGCCCAGGCACCTGGACATCTCCTGAGTTGATTGGCAAGAAGAAGTCCAAACTGTTGACGAAACCAGCGAAATGGTCTCCAAAAAGTGACTAAAGCTCCAGGAGCTGGGTACGTGAGTTGAGTCACCTTTTGGCTGCCACCAAACATGGCTGCCACAGGACACCAAAAGGTTCAAAGGTCGATTCGCTTTGGACTGAGAAAACCATTGACGTCTTTTAGTGTCCCTTTTCAACTACCTCAAGGGTGAGCCAAAACACCAAAATACACAAGTTTCCCCAACAAGGGGGGGAGGGAGGGAGGGTTCTGAGGCACACCGAAAATCTGCAATTTTATCATGCCCATTTTTGAGTCAACCTTATACTGTGTCTAGGTCCTCCAGTGGAGCGGTCAGACTAAGGGTGCCATTTTTTCTGTAGTCTATTCTAGTAGGGGAACCCTCCCAACCAAACAAGGGGTGAAAAACGGCACCCAGCTGGGGGACCTAGGTTTTGGTTTTCCCTTCTTCTTTTTTAGGAGCCATCAGTAAGGGGGGCGCTCTGTGGACTTGCTTTTGGGTGCCCAGGCTCACCTTGTTTCTGACCCAGCAACCGGCTTCCACCGGCCTCTCTTCGAAGCCCGGACTTGCCTCTGGGAAAGATTCGGCTCTCGGAGCCAAGTCCCAGATCCATTCGAATGGCAAGAGGAGGTATATGGCTGTGGGTCAAAAATAGGTGCCCAAAATGGAATCGTGGAAAGTGGAAATGTACTAAAACCTGCGGTCCTCTGGTAGTTGAATTTTGACCCCTACCTATCTACGAAGTAAACTCTCAACCCCCAGAATCCGAATTCCCGGCTTGTGGTTCATAAAACGCGAAAGCCTGGCGTAAACGCGGCATTCATACCACCTTTTTCGCTGAGGGGTTGACCTCATAGCCTCACAAAAAGGTGGGTATGGATTGGAGGCACCAATTGCCGGATTCCAAGGCTCACTGCGCCGCTGGAGTACAGGTCACATGTCAGGATATATATATATATATATAATATGGCTGTGGCTCAAAATTAAACAGGAGGGGCAAACCGCATGTTTTGGTCCATGTTTCCACTTACCAGGGCAACCCATGTTGGTACCGGTTTTTTGAGCCACAGCCATATATACTCATGGCGACTCTTCTCTCGCTCAGAGGCCAAAGCCTCTTTCTGGTGTTGGTCCATGGCTTGTAAGTTGGAAGTACCGGAATGCTTGACTTTGATGTTTGATACAAACTCTTTGAGATAGCTTAGCACTATTTAGCCCCTCATATTATCCAGTCGAGCAACAATTGCTGAAATCACCAGAACCTGGTGCTCTTCAACTTGTTGAAGTAATAGATTGCTTCCTGATGCAAGAGCTGTTGTTCAAATAGACTCTCAGATCCTCATTTGTCACTTTGTCAGCGAGTACGATTGCTGTTTGGTTGGCTATTCGGTTTCTTGCTTCGATGGCGATGCATTCAATTAGCAACTCGCTATCCTTTGGATTCGCTGTTCTAGCACCTTTTTACTGAGCTACTCCATTCATCTGAAATGCGCAATGCAAAGGTAGCTTGCTAGGCGCTTCGGTGGAACGGGGGGGTTTAGGGGGTTTAGGGGGGGGGGGGGGTGAGGGTTAGGGCGCTGGAACAAATGCTCTCCTTGTTCACCAGCCATTTCTACTGACAGCTTTGACTCTGACATGGCTGTTGCAACCGTCAGTATCATGTGAATTCATGCTCGGAGTGTTGCATTTAGCTTGGTGTTGTTACATCCGCACATTGCCGGTGTGGTGCTTACTTGAGGTCATGAACAATTTGCACTGTGCTTCATCTGAATGTTCCTGTGCTGACAAACGCCATGTAGTACATGGCACGAGTAGGCATCGTCAATGTACTTTCCATGCAGTGACTGGAAACTGCTTCGGAAATGCTGTGTTAACCCGTGACATACACCTAAACTTTCCTGTACTTGGGTGAGCTACCCAAACATATCTTGGTGTATGTGTGTCTGTGTGTGCGTCTGTAATCTGATCGTGTTCGGCATCTCCATACCCATCCAACATGGTTGCATTCCAAGTTCACCCTGTCAAAACCGTCATCCGCAGCAGTCGTGGCTTGAGGGGCTGCTGCTAAGAAGCTTTGAGCTGCTTACCAGCTCAGCACGGCGACCGATCACATCTCCAAGTCTTTCTTGCGAGCAGCCTGTGGTCCAACGCTGCAAAGCCAGTTCTTCATTTTCTGAAAATGGCTCAGGCTCACCATGTAGGTGCCACTTTTCTATAAGTGAGCACAAAAGCAGCAAGCACGGCATGCAAACCACGCAAACCACGCAAAGCAAAGCAAGGCAAAACAAGGCAAAATAAAGCAAAGCAAAGCAAAGCAAAGGCGAGCACTTCATGAAAACACCCAAGAAATCCCCCCCCCCGAAACTTGAATGCATCAAAATCCCAAAGTCCCGTGCTTCCGTCCCCAAAGTTGTGCGCCAGAAACCAAGGCCCGGGCTGGCTGCAACTGCAGCAGAAGGGTTTCGAGCAGCGAGTCACAGGCCTCTCAACGTTGATCGAACGATCGGTTGGTCAGATGGATGCGGACTCGAATCTAAAAAAAGGTCGGACACAACTTGGATGTCGTTTTGTTTTCCCCCCAAGAGAGACCAACAGAACATGCCGAGGCTCTAAAAAAGACACCCTCAACCAGCACCTGATTCGGTCCCAACGACTGCTTTTTGGCTACCGTACCAAGGTGATTTTGGCCATGGGAGTTTGCCAGCTAATTATTGGGACCCGGGTGCTGGCCACGCTAGGTTTCACTTCCCAGAACTTACAATTAATTGTTGACCCTCCTGTCCAACATAGAACCTGACGTTTCGGTTGGAAGTCATGAGGGGAACGCTTTTTATATTTGCCGGTCGTCCGATGGAACGACCGCAAAATGAATTCATTTCCCACCAATTAACATGAAACCTGGCAGGGGTGGAAGACATTGGAAGACCATGTTCCGTTTAAAGGGACCATTTCCTGAGCGTCAGGTTCCAAAAGGGCGGCCCGGGTATCCCTTTGGTGTCCTTGGGATCTTTCTACCCAAATCCCGATTCCCTGCGTGTTGCTTACGGTCGGGTTGGCGGAGGACCTGCCGTGCGTCGACAAGATGCCCCGGTTCCAAAGAAAAAGAAAGTTGATAGCAACCTCTGTGATCTTCCACCCTAAGAAAGCAGGCCTTTGGCTGATTTTGGCTGATTGTCCTTTCTCAACCAAGAGCAAAATCAAACAGGGCCCAGGTCATGACCCGCTTCGTTCTCAGGGGTCAATCTTGTTAGTGGGTAATCCAAATGGCTAACCACTAACTTGCCCGAACATCCAAGCACCCTCAAAGAACACCACAACCTAGGGGAATGTGTATTCTCACAAAACGGCGCTTGACTCCCCTGCAAGGATCCATATCAATCTGCAGAGCATTCCCAACAAATACGAGGCGAGAATTTTGGGTGTGCCATAAAGGGACCCTTTTTGGCTTGATTTCAAGCACATCATTTTGGTGGAAACAAATCCATTGATATTTTCGTTTGTGCATCCGTCAAATTTCAGCTTGGTTGCCCCTATAGCCCCAGAACTCCATCCTTTCTTGGACAGCCAGCATACCCTAAACAGGTTGGATATCTTCCATTCCCTGTAAAAATAAAATGAGAATGAAAAAATGTGTCCAGCCTTCAAAACCCAAGGGGAAAATGAAAAAAACAAATGGAAGGTGTATGTACTTTCTGCAAATCAAATCGGTAAAAAAAAACACATGTTTCTTGTGAAAACAAGGAAGTGGAAGGTACAAATGTTCAGCAAATAAAACCAGAAGCAAAAGAATAAACCAAACAGAAAAATACAATGTTTTGCTAAAGCAAGGAAGGCCCCCGCCTCCTTCCGTCCACGTCTTAAGTCGCGCAAGCGCAAGCGCGCAAGGCGCGCGCCTCCCGCAGGCTCCGGCGCCAGCGCGCGTGCCGCTCGCCGCGGCTCTGCCGCAGCGCGGCCGCCGAGAGCCTCGCGGGAAGTCCGGCTCGGGTGGCTCTGGGGTTTGGGGTACTTGGGACTTCTAAGTTGAAGGATGGAATCCGAACGGGTCAAAAACCGCCGGATGTAAATCTGGGCTGTTCGCAGATCCGCTACAACAATAACCTTTTGTTCCCAGGGTTTTGGTATTACGCCCTGGGATTGCGCCTGGGAAATGACCCCCATTTAGGCATCCGGGATAAAATCATGTTATTTTGGACCATTTCCCAAGGGTGCAATCCCAGGGTGTAATACGACAACGCTTAGATATAGGTGGGTACCCCCGAGCCCAGGCTATAAGTAGGTTATAACTTAGAAGTGGGCCTTATAGCCTGGGCGACTAACAACTTGCTCACTTTGGCTTTTTTGGAGTTGGTACCCCTTTTTTTGTGGGGTAACAAGAGGACCATCACCATTCTGGAGTTGGTACCCCTTGTTTTCTACAGAATGGTTTGGATGTGACTTTTGCGGATCCACCTCTGGAGATTAAAAGAGTACCAAACAAATCCTAAAAAAGAAGCAACGTGGGGAAGAACAGGTGATTTGTTTGTGGGTTTAAAGGGAAACCAAAAGGAAAACCACTATTCTGGGGGCAGGTGAGTGACAATAAAAAAACTGGTACCAAAACGGTGAACGCAAAACTGTGTAAAGACACCCGTTTGCAGTTGGAGTTTTCCTTACTAACCTTCAACTACCCATGTAGGTGTGTGTGTGTATGTGTCGCTTTAGAAGTACTTTGATGTTCGGCCAAGCTGCTAAGTGGTTAGCTTTCGCTATCCACTAACAGGGTTTGGCTCCGCTTGGAGTGGGTTATAACCTAGGGGCGCCTCTCTTTGGGGGTAGTTTAAAGAGAAGCTGAAAGGAAAATCACTATTTTGAGACCCATGTTGCTACCCTGTTGCAGAACTCGTGGCAGCTCCGTCCGGGATCCAGTCTTCATAACAAGTGAGCCACAGCCCAGGAAAATTGGTCGGCTTCTGAAGGGACCGAGTGAAGAGAATGGGGACTCAAACCTCAGAAACAAGGAACCATAGAGATGGCCGCCGGGAACTCCATGATCAAACATCATGGATGGAGCTCAAGGAGCTCCTGGTAAGAAAGCTGCAGGCCTTTTCATCCTCAAAAAGGCGGTCCACATTAATTTGCACAGTAAGTCTAAAACGCGAAATCAAGACCAAGGACCTTTGTGAGCTTGTAAATGTTTAGCTTCCCTTGCAAACAGCCTCGACTGGTTCCTCTCAAATTGATTGTTCGTGCAGCAAGCAAGTGGATGTGCCTTGGTGTAGTCAGGGTGTGTGTTTTTCTGTTTTTAGCGGGACCCCAAAAACGCTTTCTTTGCTTTGGCTTCCCCTTAAAAAAAGACAGGCACATTTTGCTCAGTTTTCTCAGATATTTTCGGTTGAGCACAGGCCTGCGTTGCCAGGTGAATAAGTGGCCAACTCTGGATTAACCCCACATTTACCGGGGATTTATAAGTCGGTTCTGACCGAACGCTTACCGGCAACTGGCTGTGGGTCGAAAATAGGTATCCAAAATGAACCCCGGTAATTCGAACCAAGGACTAAAACCTGCGGTCCATATCCTAATCATCACTTTTGGAGGGGCCCCATCCCCCTATGAATACACTAGTTGGTTGATTAATAGGGGGTCAACATTATCCTGGTCATAGCTGTCCTTTTACGGGAAATCGATGGCCCTGGTAGATGATTAAACCACCAGGTAAACCAGGAATCGCCATCTATTTTTCTAGCAAAGCAACCAAAAAGGACACCTATGATCCTCCTGGATTTAATGTTGACCCATTCCCAACCCACGAACGGCAACGAACACCAAATCAAGCGCCGGCCCGGGAGAGAACTTTGGCCTCTCATAGGCAGGTAGTCCAGCAAAGGAGGGCGCCTGGCCATGCAACTTTGGGATGGACACGGATGCCTTTACGACCCTTACGGGCTTGCACAACAAGTTGCTTTTTCGCACCCCCTCCCCCCCCGGTAGAAATGCATGCCCCCTGGCACCCTGCCGTCAATCTCGCAAAACTGTGCCCGCACCGGCACCTCAAACAGCACCCCCCCCCCCCAAAAAAAAAAAGAGAGCCATCAATCTCGCAAAAATGCGCACCTCAAACAGCCCCAAACAGATTCCTCAAACAGCACCTGCGCCAGTACCCCAAACTGCACTCCCCCTAGCACCGTACCGTCAACCGTCAATCTTGCAAAAATGCGACCAGGCCGTCAACCTTGCAACACTGCACCCGCACCACCAGTATCACCTCAAACAGCACCAGAACCCAAACTGCATGCCCAAAATCCTGCACTGTCACAAGCACCTCAAACACAGCACCCCAAAACAGGCACCTGCACGAGCGCCCCAAACCGCATGCCCCCGCCACCCTGCCATCAACCTTGCAAAAACGCGCCCACTCCGTCACCAGCACCTTGCACCAGCACCTGAAACAGAACCCTAAACCGCACCCCCCAAAACACCTGCGCCAGCACCCCAAACTGCATGCCCGCTAGCACCCAGCCGTCAATCTCGCAAATCACTTTTCCCTCTTTATTAGAAGTTAGAACCCCTATAGCTTTCAGCTATCTGGGGAAAAACCTGAAAACATGATCCAGCAACAGTGAAGATCCGGACTCGAATCTAAAAAGTAGGTCTGTCGTTTGGACCCCCCAACATGGATTTCAGTGTTCCGGTTCGCAAAAGAGGTGAACAAGGGGTACCAAGGCTCACCCCCAATCAGCACCCCCCCCCCCTTGGACAGCTTGTTTTTGTCCCGTAGAAACATCCTTGAGCTGATCAGGCCTCTAGATACTTGCAACTCCCAATTTCGAATGATTCTAATATGCAAAGCGTGCTGCCTTCAAGCGTTGGCAACTAAATCATGATACCTAGTATGTGCCAAGTCGCCTTTCGGAGGAACCCACGTTCGATATTTGGGGTGTGGCTCAAAGTCAAAGAGCTAGGGTTACACAGGTTTTAGTCCTTGGTTTCCTTTACCAAGGTGCCATGTTGGTATGTTTTGAGCCACAGCCATTTCACTTGTTGTTCCCTTTGGCTTCCCTTCATCACTTCCTGAGTGGATTGGCCAAAAAAGCCTGAATTGATTTATTTAGCACCAAGACTCGATCTTCCTAAAAAGCGGCCAAAGTCCAGGAACTCAGGGGGCTCCAGCCGGCACCTTTCGAGCCAGCAGGCGCTCCAAGGCCCCGCGCTTCGCCGCCCGAAGGCCCTGCCTCCGCCACGGCGTCGTCCTCAAAGGCCGCCAGCTGCTCCCAGAGTTCCAAGTTCTGGCGCAGCAGCACCAGCCGCGAGCACCTCAAGCGCTTCCGAGGCGGCCAGGGCGGCGAGGGCTTCGGTGGCGCTAGTGTTTGGTGGTGGTTGTGTAGGAACCGGATGGGAACCAAATAGAATGACGGGGGTTTTCAGAGGTCCTATTTTTTGTGGTAGGAATTGGACTGGGACCGTTAAAACATGGGCGGTGTTCGATGGTGCTTTGGTGAAACCTGTAACCCAGCCAGAAAAGAAAAACCCGCAAACAAATGACGGGGGGTGTCGAAAATACTCACTTCTGATCGACTGGACAGGTCAAGAGAAGCTTCCAATCGTTCTTGTTTACCACTAAAATGGTCGTCCCACAAAGTGACTACTTGGATGTTCGGCCAGGTTCGTAAGTGGATAGACACCATGGTTCTAACCCACGAATGACTGGGTTAACCCCACCGAACGGGGGATTCAGTGGGTCATGACCTTGACCGACTAACTTGGCAACGAAGACCCTAGTAGTCCATGAACTCAGGTGAGCATCTCCGGGCCAGTGCCTTCTTGGACCCTGCTACTCCCCCTTCCACATCCCCGTCCCGTGAAACTCGCTTTGCGAAAGCCACGCCTATGAGCCAATCAGCACAGGATGTTCATTGCCATTGGGGGCGAAACAACTGGAAGTACAAAGTAGGTTACCACCAACTATAGCCACAAGCAAAGTAGGTTGTCCCAGCTACTTTGGGTAGCTGCAAACCAAGTCGCAGGCTGGTTCATAGTAAAAACTTACAAGGATCAACCTACACTATATACCTAAAAGCCACTCACGAGAGTTGACCCTGTTAATGTGTTACACCTCCGACTTCCTCAAATTGACCTCCGATGATCCGATCCCACCGTTGCCATGTCCATCTCCATGTCGTCCTCACCTTCGTGAGTGACTTATCTGAAGCTGAGCTCCACAAAGATTTTGGGTGCAACGAATCGACCTAGCATCGCAGACGCTGGTCAAAAACATGGGCAAACCATAAGACGAGTTACGCCATTTCCATACTTCTGGCACTGGGCATAAAGGTAAACCAAAGAAAGCTGTCATCACTACTTAATTAACAGCTCATGAAGGACCCAACAAATGCTATGCGTCAACACCAATATCAGACCCCTGCAGAAATGTCACTGGTTGCTCTTTAACAAGAAGAACGAAGCAGCGACAAGTCAAAGGGGGAAAGATAAGTCTCGCAATGACAATGCCGTGTGTCTTGTTTTTTCTTTGTTCTTCGTCTAACGCGGGCCCCTTTCTTCCCATCGAAGCCACCTTGCTGGTGCTCAGTAGAGAATGACCCTGCCGGGCTTTGGGAACAACCGGAAGGGGGTTCCTTTGAAGGAAACCAATCCGGGATGGGTGTTTTGCGGGGTCATCGTTCTGCGGGTTGATTCCAACCATTCTGTTCAACCATCGTTCTTTTCAAAAACCAGCTGTTTCCCCAGGATTGTGGGTGGTGTTTTGGAAAGAAGGATGCCTGGAAAGAATGGAAATGGAAGTGTCCCCTAGAATTATTGGCCCCTGGTTCTTGTAGAGGCTGAATGGGAACCCCCTCCAAACCACCAATCCAAACCGAAAAATGGAAATGGAAGGTACCCCTCGAATCGTCTGCCAACGAGCCAACGAGAGCGCTCGCTCTCCAAACCGAACACCGAGGCGCAGGTCGTCCGGGTCCACCTCCTTCCGCCAGGCACCCACGTGGGAGGCCAGCGACTCAAAGGCGGGCGCCTGGATTGTTCACATCGCTCAGCTCCGGGAACTCCGGCTGAGGATATGGGTGCGGGTCAGAAAATATAGCCACAAGAGGACCGCAATTGCTTGTCTTTGGTTCCATTTACCAGGGTTCCATTTTGGGGACGCATTTTTGACCTCCCACCTAGGTCCTCCAGTAGAGAGGTTAGACTAAGGGTAGCAACATGTTTTTCTGTAGTCTATTTTAGTAGGGGAACCCTCCCAACCAAAACAGGGCGAGCAAGAGCACTACTGGGGGACCTAGTATTAAATGAGGATGTGAGTCTGTCTCTTTCTGGGGGGGGAACCCCCCCAAAATGGGTGGCGTTCCTTTTTGAATCCCCTTTGCAACCAACCCAAAAACAGGTCACAGTCAACTTAAATGTATGTTTCGCCAGGTTAGTAGGTGAGTCGCCACTTGGGTAACCCACTAACAGGATTGACCCCACTTGGGGGGACTTGTAAGCGGGCTCTGACCTAGTTCATCGACAACTTCCTAACTTGGCCACGAACACTCAAGAAGAGGGGTTTTGGGAATGAATCATTGGGACCCGACTCGAAAGACCCTCAGAGGAAGCTCCTTCGGATCACCATACTCCTTTGAATATCAGCGTGGCACTCCCAATTGACGATGCCCATGCGAACACTGGTCAAACTTGGCGTACGTTGCTTGCGCAGCCGGTGACTTCCGTGCCTAGCAAACCACACCTGCGGTGCTACGCGTTTGTCGTGGAAAGGGCTGAATGGTTTCATTCCAAAGAATTGGTGTGTTTTGTCACAGAGATCAATGAACGAACTGATGACGTCAAAGCAGTGAACCCGCAAGAGAAACTCGGTTGCGAAATCTGCTCCCCTGCTAAAAAAATAACTTTTAGTGGTTGAATGGAAAACCTATTAGTTGGCAAAAAGTTAAAGTCCTAACATCCAAGCAAAACGTGCCGGATAGACACTAATATGTGCTTCCATGCTCTGGATAATTAGACACAAATGGCCATGGGTCAAAATCCCGTACCCCAGTGAACATCCCAATCCCCACTAAAATAGACTAAAATGGGTGGTGCACCTACCCCAAAATGGTACCCAAACGGTTTTGACCCACAGCCAAATAGGTGCCGTCCAAACAGGCCCGCGCATGCCTTCTGTTCGAATTCACATTGTTCAACCTTAATGTCACTTTACTCTCCATATGTTCGCAGCGGGATAAAGTCGGACACCCAACCACCAAACCAACTGAAAGGAGCTAAAAAGCTCAGTTGAACCGGACTGCTGGGCTTGAACCCCCAAGAAAACACAGACCCGAAAGGCTCAAAAAACCACACCGCCTCACGACAGCGGCGAGGCCCGAAGCCCCGCCTCCAGCACTCCATAGCAGGCCGCCAGCACCTTTAGCGCTTGATCCGCCGCCTTCGTCGGCGCCTGGCGGAAAAAATATATATAATGAAACAAACAAACACTGGGGGACATGACGCCCGGAACAAAAAACCAGTCCCTCCATGGTCCTAAACGACGAGTCGACTGCACCAAAGGTCTTGCTTAGATTCAAGGGTCGTTGCGCCGAATCCTAAACTGGACAAAGTAGCTGGGGTTTGTTTGGTACATGGATGGCATGAAACCCACAGCCGGTGGAACCTATTTTTCACCAGGCCCCATGAAAAAGGACACCTATGTTCCAGGCCCTTGCCAGCTCGGGGGGTCTCTAAAACCATTTTAATGTAAAAGGGACGTGGAACCAACTCAGTAGGGAACCATGGGCTGTTTACCTCTTCAGTTTTACGATGGGTTTGCTACTTGCTTCCGTAAGATAACATGGTATATTCCCCTCCAGCTTTCACACGATTTCCACCATTTGGAAACTTGCTATCATGGCAACTGGAACCCAAATGTACTCGTGATCATGTGAGGCAAACGCCAACTCATCTTTTGTTAGCCCCTCATACTATCCAGTCGGACAAAATTTGCTGAAATCACCAGAACCTGGTCCTCTTCCACTTGTTGACTCAATAGCTTGCTTCCTGAGTGGGTGAGGGGGCGGGGGCCAAAAAGTCCAAAGGCCCAGACCCAACCAGAACAAAGTCCATGCGGAAGCCCGAAAGTTGTCCAGGATTGCATGAATCCCCGAGTTGAATTCCATGTGCGGGTAACCAAATAATACTAGGTCCTCCAGTAGAGAGGTTAGAATACGGGTGCCTTTTTTGCTCCAGTAGGGGAACCCTTCCCCAAGACAGGGGAGAGAACACTACTGGCTCTTCAGTGCCCAAGTCCATTCAGCAACCCCATCACCCAAACCGAGAAATACCCTGGGTCTTTCGGGCTATACATGATTTTCCTACCCACAATGGAAACACAAGTGGGGAGTAGTAGAGGTAAGCCCAAGTTCCATACATTGCTTCACCATCTCCACCAAAAGAGTAGGCCTCATTGATTGGGCTTCCATGCTAATCCTTTGCTGCAAGTTGTGTTTCAATTACTGGGCTGTATCACTGCGCACACACACACACTATTCCCTTATGATTATGACTCTATTTGGTTTCAAAGTATGGTTTCAAAGTACCCCACGACCCCATTCCAATTGTTAGGCTTCATGTTCTTGCCTTTGTGTTGTGTGTATAGCTCGTTGTTCTACAGTGGTTCTGAGACTGTCCTCAAGTTCTTTCGTGGACTTTCGCTTCAATTGTTTAAGTATGAGTGTTGCTAGCGACTCCATGAAAAGCCCGAAAACTCAGACCACCGCGCTGGGCCTGCGCAGCCTAACACTTTTGAGGGAACCCCCAGACACAAATCCACTGCTTAGGCTGGTATGATGTTATGTCGGTGCTCGAAAGTTCCCTCTCGCTTTATTTGCCGGTTCGATAGGCAGGGAATGAGGGAATGACCCCTACAAACAATCCCGTATAGATTCCTTCAAGGGAAACCCTGGATTCATTGCCAAAACCCGGAACGGTCATTCCTACTGAGCACCAGCAAGTTTAGGCATCCTGAGAAGAAACCCAAACTTTGAGGAGAGTCAGCTTCCCCCTAATTGGTGTAGTTTGGTGGTTTGGACGTTGTGGGGTACCTGTGCGATTTGGTCAAAAGAAACTGGGGTTCAAATTCTAATCCGAGCCAGCAATCTAAATCACCAATTAAGGGTTACCTGAGAGAGGCAACAAACAGGGCTTCCCAAAGACGGACCCCCATAAGGGGTGAGATTCTCTTCTATCACAGCGGGGAAAAAACCCAGTGATCCCGCAACCCGTGAGGAGAGGATACGTTTCTTCGCTTGGGGCACTGCGCCCACTTTGCCTCCAGCAGCCTCTCTGGTGTCGCATCCTCAGATTGAAACATGAGCCACAATCAAACCTCCCAAACCCGTAAGGAAAATTTCAAGGCGGAAAAATCCGCGCCTACTTGCGGCGACTGGACCTTACTCACCTTCATCTACACAGGTTTTGATGGCTCACATGGCGCTCAGATTTGCCCGTGGCCATGGGGAAAACCGAAAAACGGGGCCCGAGGCAATTGGAATCTGAAGGGAGCCCCCTCCAACAAATGGCTGTGGCTCAAAAAGCCGGTACCCAAAATGGAACCCTGGTAAATGGAAACATGGACCAAAACCTGCGTAACCCCCCCAGTTTATTTTTGAGCCACAGCCAAATGGAAAGTGGAAGCAAGCCAAATGGGAGTTGATCCCAAGGATGTTGAAGTCAAACTAGGTCGGTTCCACTCTTCGCATTGCCACTATCATATCCCAGCGCTTCCAATTGAAGTCTATGCAACCAGGAGAAACCGTCCTGTCAAAGCTAAAGCACAAAAATAACTAATTAATAGCAGGTCCTTTTGGAGAAACAAGTAGTAAACCCATCGTAAAAAATCCAGAACTAAGCAACAAAGGGTTTACCTGTAGCGGAGCGGCGTGCCTGGAAGATGAAATCTGCAAATACAACAATTCTCAGACCTGAAAGAAGGAAGCCCCAAGTAAACCTGGAGTCTGCATGACCCTTTAAAAATGGTTGGTCATTACCCAAAATAAAAGGGGTCCACACGACCCATTCTTATTTGGGGTGGAAACTTCAGGAAGGATCTTTACGGCTTTCGCTCGTTTTACCGATCCCCGAATCGGTGAATCGGGCCTTCGCTCGCCATGTTTCGAGGGGCAGATGGAATCTCGGCCGGTCCGAGCCCCGACGCCGTTTTGCCCCGACGCCGCGTCCAAGGCACGGAGAGCTCCAGGCTCACTTTGGACCTCAGTGACCCTCTTGATTTCGGTTGACCTTTTCGCTTGAGGCATGAGAAATGGAGTCTGACCCCTTTTAAAAAAAACATACTGGGTTTACCTTTTCGGTTGAGGCAGGGCATGAGAAATGGAGTCTGACCCCAATTTATCACCATACTGGTGGTTTCAGAGAATCCCTGTGGGTTCATTCCCACAGTGTTCCAGCAGGACTAGCAAGTTGCTCACCACTAAATCTAAGCTGGCTCGGAACCGCCCTGACTGGTATCGTGGTAAGGGTCTCACGCAGTTTGACATCAAGGCAATGCTTGGGATCTGCCAAAAGTGACGATAACTTTCGTGGCTCCAAATGAGTCCTAAGCAAAACCCGGTACAAAAATGGTTACTCAGCGACTCAGCGATCTGTTTCTTGCCCCAGCTCACCCCTCGCTTGGGTCCCAGCTCACTCTTTGGCGAGGCGTTATGGACCTGAGCATCTCATTCGACATACCTAGCACGTATCAGAGGGGCACAGGGCTCCACTGGAGACTGCGACGTGTCCAACTTGATTCACAAATCCGGGAGCGAGAAGTCATAGCCCAACTCCGACTCCAAGCCACGCAGCAGCGCATCGGCTTCTTCCTCCTCGGCTCGGGATTCGACATTCACCAGGCCCTCGCCCAGATTGTGCACCTGAAGCGTGCTGGCGACCCGCTGCCGGTGCTTCTCCTCCGCCTCCTTCAGCAGGAAGGCGCTGCAAGCGCCGTAGGGTGGAGGACGATCAAAGTTCTTGCCTTCCACGGCTGAGATCATCTGGTGCACCTGGCCGGTCTCCAGCAGGTTGCGCCAAACATCATAGCGCCAGCGCCCGGCGCCTTGCAAAAACGCTTGGTACTGTTCATCCGCCTGAGACTTGAGTTGCTGCTCTGTCAAGCCGCGACCTGTCAAGGAGCTCCATTCTTTGCGCTTCTTCACAATGTCATTCTCGTGCTGCTTGATGCGCTCTTCTTGAATAGGCCTCCACATCGGATTTTGGACCGCTGATCGCACCAACGGAGACCGCATCTGCTGCTGCCGCCGTCGACGCGCAAAGGTTTGCAAGCGTCTAACCGCCTCTTCTCGCTGTTGCTCGCCGACCAGCTTTACCAGCTTCTTCTTGGCTCGTACCGAGCGCCACAGGTTCTGGACCCTTGTGGCAGCTTCGGCCTCCTGTGCCTCCGCCCAGCGGCCCACGAGACGGTGCCCCGCCGGCATCGCCAGGCGCGACTTCATCTCCTCCACGGCCGCCTCGGCCGAGTAGACCCGCTGCGCGATCTTGCGGCGCTCGTCTAGGAACTTCCGCCGCCGCCGCGCGCGGTTGATGATGACCATGAACCTTGGTTGCTTGAAAAGCTCCCCTCTGCAAAAGTGAGCCACTTTTGGGGGGTTGACTGGAAAACCCAACTTGATTTCAACCAAAAAAGCTGAAGTCTACAGATCTCAGGGTTGTGGGATCAAGGGGGTTATCCCCACTTCTGTGATACAAGGGAATCCCCTTTTTACATGGGGGGTTAGTCTTTGGAAAGCCCTTTTTGTTGTATCACAGAAGTGGTCATTTCCCACAGCCCTGGAATCCAACCCAACAGTCGCCAAGGAGCCTCCGGTGCCTCGCCTGGCCGCGGTACCAGCGCTGGAGCCGCAGCGCGGCCTCTTCCGGCAGCGGCTTCGGCCGCGGGGGCGGCGGCGGCACGAGCCCGGCGTGCATGGCTGCACTCGGTTGCTTTCTGCTCCCCTGCTAAATGTGTTGTTTTTCTCTCTTTTTTTTAAAAGAAATAACAATGAAATAAAATAAAACAAACAAATCTAGTGGTTTTATGGGGAAAACCCAGGTGGCAAAAAGTTAAAGTCCTAACATCCCTTGGCAAAATGCAACAAAGTGCACTCTGTGCTGAGCCCTTTGAGCCAGCGATTCTATCCAAGGCTTGACGTGGCACAATGTCATCTACTTCCTCCAGTGGAGAGGTTAGAATAAGGGTACCACCTTTTTTTCTGTGGTTTATTATTTTAGTTGGGTTTTTTTCCTAACTAAAAAAGGGGTGAGAAAGAGCACCTAGCTGAGGGACCTAGTCATGGGCATGTTCCCTTCAGGACAGAGCACTGTCACATCTCTGACTGCAGGATGCCAGCACATTCAAGTTTTGTTGGCGTCAATTGCAATCAGGAAGCTTGCAACAAGCTACTCAAACCTGGCATGACGGTGACACTATTGGCATGCTCTCAAGCTGCAAACCTTCATCATGGCAAGCTCGCTTTACGCCCAGATAAGTTCGTCAATGAGTGAGAGTATCTCCAAGGCTTCGCGCAAGCTGGCCTACCTGCGCTTAAGATTTCCGATTGTTGATGAAGCCCTTCGTCTTGAAAACAAGCCTTCCAATCGGAGTCCCTGCCATGTCAAGACATCGCCAAAGACCTAAACATACACATTTCCCCGTGGCTTAAACAAAAAGTGTACAAATAACCTCGAAAAACATCTCAGCAGTGGACCCTCTTGTTAAACTTTGGTCTGCTTGCGGCTTGCCCACTGCACTTTTGAGGTGAGGTGTTCGCTTGCGTTGATTGCACCAGACTTATCTTGTCACGCCAATGTGCACGCTTTTTCGCTGTTCATCCCTTTACCCAACTGAAAGCTACTATGATAATGCGGGACCCTTCTGCTAATAGCAAAGCCCTCTTATCTTAATGACAATGGGGCTGCCTAAAAGAGGGGTCAACAGCCGACAACAATCAGACACTGAGCCTACCCTTCCCCTCGCACCCCATATGGTGTACACTTTGGATCTATTCATGGGCAATTTTGCGGTTCAGGTTTGGGCCTACGAACTAGTCATTCTGCATGTCCATGGCACTCCCCACCTCCACGTATGGTTCAAGGTCACTCCAACTCATCCGAGCACCACCAAGTTCATGCTACTCATTTCCCCACCCACTCCCGCCCTTACTCCCCACCCCCAACCCCCAACCCCCAACCTCCACCAACCCCAACCTCCACCCACCCCACCCACCCCACCCCTAAAATCCTCAAAGTTGGGTAAGGCTTGCGGATTGCAGTTTCTTCCCTCTGCTCAAGAACCTGCGTGGTTGTCCACTCCCCCCCGTGCTGCATCTGCTGGGCGCCCCCGGCAGCTCCCGCCGCGCCGCCTCCTCCAGGCGCGGCAGCAGCACGGAGCGCAGCATCTGCTGCAGCGCCAGCCGCACCTCGTCGACGCCGACGGCCCAAGGACCCAAGCGCCGGCAAAACAGCCGCCACAGCCATGGGCGGGCTTTTGTGGAAGTTTTGGAGCGGGGGAAATGGGTTTCTTCTTCTCTCTTTTTTTTTTGGGGGGGGGACAAGACAAAGGTGTTTCGTGCGTTTGAGGTGGGAAACCACAAGAATATGTGCATGGGCTCTTGTTTTTGAGGTGGCAAACCGGAAGAACATGCGCATGGGCTCGTGTTTGGGAGGTGGGAAACCGAAAGAACATGCGGGGGGTTCTGGTTTTTAAGGGAGAAGCCAAAGGAACATGCACCAGCACCAGGGTCCCAACTACTGCTTTGTGGACAGTACCAAGTTTTTTTTGGACATGGGAAGAAGCGGTTGTTCCGGGGTGCTGGTGGGCGTTTCTGGTGTTTGAGGGTACCCTGTTGAAGGTTGGTTCAAGGGAAACCAACGGCAAGACATATCTTGCTTTTGGGGTCGCCCCCGATTTTGGACACATATCCGACGCAAATGTCGGCCAACAGATTAAGTCACATTTGGAGAATTGCGGTTGGGGCAAATGGAGTCCTTGCAAAAAGGGAGAGGGGGTTGACCCGCAGCCATTCAGAGTGGTATGCTTTCTTCTCCAATCCATCGAGCCCCGTGTCGGGGAGCCTTACAAACTTGAGCCAGGTGCCTTGCGGATTACAGATTTCAGTGTCGTTGTTTGGGAGGGTTCATATTGAAATACACGGTTTCCCAAGGCAAATATGTTTTGATTTTAGGTTTCAATTTGTACCGGGTTTCCCATGATAAATACATTCTTGTCAGTGGTTGATACCATTAAAGGGTTGGGATTAGGTGTAGGGCGTAATTTGTCCCGGGAGTCACCAGAGGTGAAGGGGTGTTGAGAAGCTTAGGAACATTCAAAGGGGCGACAAACGTGATTTGAGATTTGAGATTTGGCGTTTCCCCCTACCTGCCTCAAACTACCCATGAATTGGGTTACTGCCCCCACAAGACTGGGGTGATGTCCCTTTTTTGATGTGTAATTGGTGAGTTCCCATGTTCCTTCCGAATGAACTTTAGACTACGAACATGCTATTCATAATGCACCGTGGAAGGGGACGACAAGGAGGAACACTTCATCATGGCTTCTGGGGTGGCTGCCTGAGTGTTTGACAGTAGTGGTAGTACGGGGGAAGACCAGCTTCCCTTGCAAGAGTCAAGGCTTGATCGGACCGAGATTGAACAGATCTTGTTGGAAAATGTCGCTGAGAGATTGCTCAGATTTGCCATGGGACGACCAGAAGTGATGCCAAACGGCAAGGGCCCAGGAGAGAGCGAAAAATCAAAGGCGTGTTTTGACTGCAGAGAGGCCTCACCCGACAAGTGAAGAATTCCGGAATGCTTGCTTCGCCTTTTCAGGCAAACGCCGCAAATTGAAACGGGCAACTCACGATCCGATGGTCCCACAATGTCGTGTTGTACCTCACTCGACGCCCAAAACCAATTGATTGCTATGATGGTAAAGGATGTTTTGATGCATCAGCAACCCAATCTTGGCCAATGCGGTTTGGGCCGCTGATATTTCGCAAAAGTGCAGCCGCCAACACCTCCTCCCGGTGTATAAATTGCCCTAAGGAACTGAAGACCCGAATGGACAACAAGTATCGCACGAGTTCTTCTTATTGGTGGCTTGCTGGGTGTGGTTCCCCATCTACCCTCCCCCAAGAACCAAAAACAACAAATCCCCACACCATGAACCATTGGACCATCCCAATGGTGGCGATCGGCAAAGACTCCCTGCCACTTCTACGACTGCAGGTAAATCAGCCAAATCCCTTTGCCACAATTGGCGCCTCAAGCTTCCCCACTTAACCGCGGGCCCAACTCTGCCGTACACTACACAAATATAGCTTTCAGATTTCTCTTCCTGTTTTGGTTAGCCTTAAAACAACTTAAGGGGGGGTGCATAAGAACGGGCGACGGGGACCCCCCCGAGACTGGATGATGTCCTTTTGGCTTCCCTTCAAACTAACCGCAAAAGGGGGTATATACCCTCAAACACCGACGGCTGCCGCCCCCACAAAACACGCGAGAGCGAAAGAGGGGAGGCGCCGTGACAATGCGGCACTCCTGCAGACAGGCCTGATGTCAAGCGAAACGAAGCACGAGTTCCGCTGTGCAAACAAATCCTTGACCAGTTGGGATTTGTGGTTTATCAACCAGTATTTACAGTTCTTCCGTCTCTGCTGGATTTGCAAATTCTAAGAACTTCCCCCCCCCCCCCCAAACTGCCTGTTCCCAGATGCAAAATCCCATGTACTGTATTGACTGAACAAGCCACCAAACTGGCACTCCAAGGTGGGGGAGTTGTGAAAAGGTATCTGTAAAGCTGGCACAAAGGGGCCTTCTCCGTGTGTTGTAAATCCGGGTACAGTCTTGGGAAAGTCTGCTTGTTTTGACACATGCCTTGGTAGAACTTGAGCATTGCAGCCGAAACCTCAAAGCTTGGCTCAACCCCACAGTACACCAAATAAACATAACGTTCAGAATCTGTGGCATATTCGTTCAACCTTCTCGAAAACATATGGGGGGGTTCTCAAAATAGGGGACCCCTTTTAGAGGTTTTAAAGGGAAACCAAAGGAGACCACCTACCTGGATGGGGTGTCCAGTTTCAACACTATTGAAGGAGACCACAGAACCCCCGCCCCCTTACAGTCAAAGGTGCACTACAACCGTAGAACCTGCAGTTTCCTTGAGCCTGCAAAACGCCTGCAACTTCTCCTCTCAGCTTCCATTTGCGTTTAGGCTCCCCTGGAAACAAATGAGAAAATAGGTCCAGTAGTGATCGATCCCTTCAACCAACAAGGGATTCTGTTCTTTTGTGGTTTTTGTTTAAACAAAAAACAATATTTAATTCAGCAAATGGAAGTCACCTCACAAAACAAAAGCAAGGTGGGCGGCGTTTGCTTCACATTTGTCTAGTGCTCGCGTGCGGGAGAACGGCAATAATTCAAGATATTCCTGGGGTCTGCATGCATCCCACGATCAATACCAAGATGACCCGTGCAAGATAAGGGACTCTCAGCCTGTCATCTGGGTTCCATGAATTCGAGCGTGTATGTCTGCCTCTCAACAGCCATGTTTCTTTTGGGGCTGCCAGTTGTCAGATGTCTATAGCTATTTGAGATGTCTTGTCGTCATGTGCATCTTAGATATGGCAGAACAAATGTGCTTTCGTAGCTGCATATGCATATACATAGACACACACACACACACACACGCACATGTGTGATACATTGTTATGATATACAATATACGTACACACACATGTAATATACAAACCTCGCATTACCGTATGCACATCTATGCACAACTGCATCTGCAAAGGCGACCTGACATCAGAACCCTTCATTTCACTGCGTTCTGTGATCGCACTCCAGGCAACACGCTCCTAAGCCCGTATGGTTGAGGACAATCTTTATGGTAAACCCAGCCGTCAGGATGTGGGGGACGCCCTCTTGGCTGGATTCAATGGAAGACCAAACCAAGCACTTTGGTGGTTCGAATGGCGAACTAAGCGAGTGTATTGGTACCCATGTTTTGCGTAGCAGTGGAGGATAGCTATCATGTCCCGTGTTGAATGGTGGATGGTTGCGAGCCATGCCGACTCAATTCTTTGAAGGGGGGCCTGCGCCCATTTTTTGTGGGGAGGGGCGTCGTCTATAGATCCACTGCGGAAACCCCAGCACTGAATCTGAAACATCCAAAGGCCGAAGAAACCGGAGGGTGGGTGGAGCCAAGCAAACGCGGCCGAAAGGCTCGCTTTCAATAAGCTTTCCCCCCAATCCGTTCTTGGCTTACCTCTCAAATCAGCTTCCCTTGGAGGTTTCGACAGCTCAACTCCCAAACCACCGGCTCCAAAACCAGCCATTTGGGTGAATGATAAATCCTTCACCAACCTGAAACTTGCGGTTGGGGTGAAGTCGGTCGTGTGAGTTTGGTCGAAATAAAACTCACCCAGACCAATCAAACCCCGCGCCGCTGGCGCCGCTCGCGCCCCCTCCGCCTGCAGCACCTCCGCGGCCTCCGCGAGCTGCGGCCAATCCTCCGCCGGAGCCGCGAGCAGCGCCTGCGCTCGGGTCCGGGCAAAGCGGGAGCAAAGATGCGGTCCAAGGGAAAGGTAGGTGAACCTGAAAGAGAAGGGTTTTGGGTGTTTTGAAAGTAAGGCTATTTCGTTGCATTCGGTGCTGATTTCCTTGCATTCAGTCTTGAAACTTAGAGCGGTTTCAGCTGCCGTGCTGGCTCAGCGCATGCAATGCCGGTCTCTAAAAGTGACAGGCAGAAGCTTCCTGGCTGCATCCAGCGCAGGTACTTATTATGTTTTGTTTTTGCATCACTTGTTCATGACCAGGTATTTGCGCTCCCTGGCCACCAACGCATCGCCTGCTTCTCGCCAGCCGGTCGCCTCGCCGAGTTCCCTATCACCGCGGCAACGCTACTTTGCTGCTTTGAAGCAGCAACAGGGGTTATCACCAGCATCAACACCGCCAGCGCAGCCAGCAGCATCATCAGCGGCTGGGTCACCAGCATCACAGCTTGCGGCAGCTCACGCAGAAGACGCTGAACCGAATCACGGGCTTGGAATCATTGATTTCAACTGGGATGCTTTACTAGGCATTCAGGAGGCGCTTCTCCTAGAGGCGGATGGTAAGCCTGCTAGCACGAGCACAAAGCGTTCGCGTCCAAACTATGACAATCGCAAGAGGGCAGCAGCGAAGAAAACAATAGTCAAATCAAAAGCGTATCTTGGCTGACCCGCTTGGTGACTGTTGGCCATGAAAGTAAATACGTTTTTCCTCAATCCGTCTTTTTGCATTGAATTGATAACGCCTCTTACTGTTTTTTGTTGCGATCCTCAACTTAAGGCAGAAACAGAATGGAGCCAGTGAAGCTCGTGTTCGGCGTTTGCTGGAAACTTCCTGCTGCTGCGGCCGCGAGTGCTACAAGCAATTTGGGGGTAGGGCGCAAGAGCTGGTCAGGTTCATCAAAGGTTTTTGGAATCTTCACAAGCTGCACCAAGACTTGCTCGTAAGAAACTCAGATTTGACCAGCACTTGCACATGCGGGGGTGCGCTTGTCTACAACCACAGGTTTTGGTTGACACCTAGGTACGGCGCGTTGGAAAGAGCGCTGATGGCTGTGATGAAATCTGCTGGAAATTTCTTGGCAGTCCTATTGGTGGGAGTTGCTTGAGTTCCTTGATCGGGGTTGGAAAAGCCAGATTGCGCAGTGCTGCGAAGGGGCAGGTTGACCGGCGATTCAAGAAAACTGGCCACGCTGCTTGGACCATCGCTGGGTTGTAGAATGTTGAATTGAACCAATTTCGGTGACCGCCATTGCAATCCTATTCTTGTCCTAGGTTCATGTTCAGCCAGCCTTGAAATACCGCGCTGTTGACAAGTTCCTCCTCTCGCTGTATGTCGGCGCTGGGGGTATGTTGCCTGATTCGCTGCTGGGCTGAGTTGGACAACTTGACTTTTTTTCATCTCTCCCTCCCATCCCTCACTCCCAGGTTTCAACGCGCAGCTCGCCGCCGTGGCACGAAGACAGGCGGTGAGACATGCGTGGCCATGATTGGTGGTGCTCCCGTCACAGAACCAGAAAGCGCCTTTGCAAAGACAAGCACTTGTGAATTAACACAAACTGCTGATCCTGTCAGTTTTCCAGACTTTTTTCCCATCAGCCAGGTGACAACAGCCAGGAGTCTGACACAAACAGTGCAGACTATTGCGTTGAAGGTGAACGTATTCAGGATGATGAGGAGTTGAAGCTGTTTATCATGGGCGAAAAAAAGGTGTACACCGAGCCGCCCAGCTAGCCTACTAATTGACAGGACGGTTGGCAAACCAGCAAAGGGCATGCTTTGTTTCGAGAAAGGTTCCTGCGAAACAAGGCTTGTGGAGACCAACTTCGGCACAAAACTGGATCGGCTTCCGACAAGATACCTTCCCCCGGGCAACCTGAAGATGCTGTGGTATCAAATGGGCGGACCGAAGAGTGGTGTTTCGTTTCTTGGCCAAAGGTAGCCTCACGTTGCGGCTCATCGTCAACCGTTGTTTCCAGTCAACCCCGTGCCCTGCCGGACTAAGATACAACCACTTCTGGAGGCGCTTTCGCTCAAAGTGGTGCAACATTCTTCGTTTCCTTCCTGAATCCCAGCATGCAGCGTGTGACGACTGTTTGGACTTCAAAGAGATGTATGACACTGCAAAGGACCTTGAGCCCAATATGTTTCAGGCCTCCCAGTGGCGGTGAAACTTCTCCCACCACTCTCAGGACTTGCAGGACAAGTTCTCAGCTGCCGCTGCCTTCCAGAGTCACATCAAGGGAGTGGCTGCTGACAGAGAGCTAGAAGAACACCTACAGGCTGGGAATGTGGGTTTGAGCGGTTGGGTGATTAGCGCTTTGTTGGGCAGGCCTCCGACCCCTTCACCACTGCAACCGTCCTCATCCATTGGGAGCTTTGTCTCTTTTCCACACGTTGTTAAAGGAGTTTGTCACACCCCCCTCAAAAAAAAGACAAGCAACAATTTACAAGTTTTTTCCCGGCCCTCGTCAGAACGTTCTATTCTATGCTGTTGACACTTACGAAAGACCCTTGAGCTTGTAAGGACGGTATGGACCAGGCTAAATGGGCTTTGCCCAGGGCAAAGGGAGGCAAAATGGGCAAAGAAATGTCATCCTTTCAACGTCCACGGCTTAAATTGCAGGCTGTGTGGATACACCACATTACACTTCAATTCTTTCTTGTGGACCCCCGTCTGGCGGGGGACCCGAACATGGTGATCGAGTGCTGTGCCCGCTCATTGGAGCACATGGTGCAACGATGTGAATCTCTGGCCCTACCAGTCCCCACGCAGGTCTCGGTTTGGGACCCTCGCCAATCTAAAGTTGACCTTATCCTGCGAAGTTGAGTTCATGTTTTAGGTATCGCCTATTTCGTACACCACCCCCAAGGTGTTGAGTTGGCCAGCACAGCTGAGGCAGACAATTGCTGCCGGGAAAATAAGAACCAGGCAGTGATCAAGTACTTATCAGTATTGCTGGCAAGACTCAAAATGAAGGTGACTGCGTTGCTGATGAGCCGCGTAGGGCACACGCACGGCCCAATAGGCAACTGTGCTGAAACTAAGACATGACCTGTGTTGCTTCAGGAACCCGTGCCTTGTCACATGCGATTGCGGCTTCTGCCTAGATCAAGTGTTTGGAGTTCTTCGAGCAGCCATGCGCTACATTGACGTTATGGCTGACCCCCAAGATGCCTGCCAGCCATGTGCTTACACTTGGCCCCCGCCACGCCTGCAAATGCCAATGGCCTGCCAGCGAGCCCAGGAAACTTCGGGACATCACAGCCCGCTTGAACTTGCAGGCGTGGGTGGGGCTGAAGTCGGACATTGTGGTCACTTACCTTCAAGGGGCAAGAGACTGGAAGGAATGGAAGCTAGCTTGCAATCAGCCCCCAACGAGGGGGGGGAGTCAGGGGCAACTACTGCTGCGCAATCTGATGGGCTTAGGCTTGCCGCCATTCCTGTGCGGTACGAGGGCGGCCTTCGAACGGATGCCTCAGCAATGCACGCGTTCGTGTTCATGAGGCGTGCGGGCAACTTGGCTGCGCGCTTAAAGGGCATTTCTTGGGTTTGAGCTTCCCGTGAATTTGAGCGGGAAAGGACACCTGAATCAGACATCAGCGTTTAACCCTGAACCAAGCACATTTGGCTGCCAGTTGCGGTGGAGTTGTCACTGTAAAACAAACAAAGGGGCAGCCTTAGGCGCACTGCTCAAAGGGTATCTCAAATTGGATTTCTCAACAAGTTGAACGGCTTCTTGATGCAAAATATTTTAAAGCCCAAAACCTGTTGAGAATTGCCTGTAAAACATTGTGTAACCCTGCTGAGACGTGCCTGCAAACATCAATGTGGCAAGCTTTGGGCGTGGCGCCAACCTGGTGGCCCCACACGCGATGGACATCATTGGGTTTATCAAGCGGTACGCTTCAGATTCAGAACTTAGTCAGGACTCGGGTTCACCAATCACAAGTCAAACCCCGCTTTCGTCAAGTTGCGCCAGGAGCCAATGCTTGTCCTGCCCTTTCAGTGTCTCACGCTTTTGAACGGCAGCGTGCCGTCAAAGCATGCGCCCTTGATCAGCCCAAAGTGCGCAAAACGCGAGAAATGGCTGAAGCTTGCCCAATTGTTGATTTCCAAAGCTGCGAATGCTAGCAACGCAAGAAGTGCTGAATTTTTGGTTGACCTCAGCACTCGTTTGGATGAACATCCGCTTCCGAATTTGCCTTGGCACGCAAAAGCGCCCGACTACAACAGGGAGCTTGGTGTTGATATCAATGCACAATCGTTGAAGGTGTTGGCAAAGCTAACCCCTGCTATGATGTTTAGGGCAGTGATCCAAAGGGAGCGCTGAAAAAAGAAAGCTGTGTATTGTGCTAGTGAACCGTGAGACAACCCCACGCATGTGCAAGACACGCATCTTTGATCACGCCACCCTTGTGTCAGTGGCTTGAACTGCGTAGTAGGGGGCCTGCCGGCCCTGGACTCCATCTGGAGCCGCTCTGTGCCCCAACACGCACTTGTGAGTCTCTTGAGTTCCCCCATTTACCTTTGCCCGCTCCCCAGGACAATGGACTCGCACCCTACGCTGACCCTGCAGGACGCGTGTGAGCAAAGGCCGGCAAGTTTGTTGAGCAGGGACCATGGTAGAAATGGAAAAAAATCCAACCCATGGCCTTGCAACTTCATTGCTATCCTTCAAAGCCTTCCAAATAATTGGGGAACAACCAAACAGAATTGGGCAGTCTGGTGCAACTCCCACCCCTGACCGCCCCATCGCCTTGTAGGCCAGCCATCGTGGCGATCGACTTCAACCTTGAGACCAACAAGCGTGGCCCTACAAGGAAACCTCACCTTGTAACGTGCTTCTTCAGCTTGCTCATCATTTCTTCAGAGTTGCTAGGACTATGGGGCTGACTGCTGGTCGTGACGAGCTGCAGGCCGCCCCGACATTGAACAGTTACTAGATTCAATAAGAGCACTTTGAAGAGGCTTCCTGTCAACAGCAAACATCACACACACACACACATTCTGTCGACAGGAAACCCGTTCACCATGCGCTTTTTGAACGTTTTGACAGGACGCCGTTTCAACGTGTGCTATTTGAATTTATTGAGTGTGATGTTTTCTGTTGCCAGGAAACAATTTCACCGTGCGCTAGCCGAATCTGTGATGCTCGCTCCCTTCAACGCTTCCTATTTGAGCGTGGTTTTTCCGTAGACAGGAAACTCCGGTTCATGATGACATTGGAATTTGTAATGCGTCCGTTGGCAGGAAACCCTTTCAACGTGATGCTTGCTGTTGACAGGAAAGCCGTTCCAGTATGAGTCATTTGAACTTTGCGTTGACAGGAAATCCTTTCAACATAGTTGACTGTGATGTTTGCCGCTGACAGGAAACCCTTTCGAGGGAACGGTCACCTCGCCCAATTCTCCGCCGTGGATATGCAGTGGAAAATTTTGACGAGGTCCTGGCTGAACAAACGCAGACTTCAATCAACACTTCAATTGACTCAGCTGAGTCGGTTATTTCTGTGCAAAGTTCATGCAGGCGGGGGCGGGGGGGGGTTATGAGTTCAGACATTGCACCCCCCATCAATTGTCTAGCGAAGCCAAGCCTCCCAGGTATGAGATCTGGGAAGACGCGCAACCTCCCTTCTAGCAAGCCTTGACCTCGACCTGACCCTTTTCTTAGCAGCTCAGAAGCACCATAGCGGGATTGACTGTGACAGTGTCAGTGTGGACCGGGCTCCCGTGCCTAAGATTCGTGCCTGGCAACGGTGGAGGAGCTGCGACTGGGGATCGCAAAATACATGGTCAGCGTTGAGCTTGCTGCCCTGCATGCCATGTTCCAGATCTTAGACGCTCTTTTGGAAAGCCTTTTGCGGATCAAGTCAGAGCCACAATTTCGTGGGCTCGTTTGAGGGATGAAAAGGCCAGCCTGACTAGCCACCCTTCACTGAACAAACCGGCAAATGGTAACTTGCGCCAGGCCTGCGATTTCTCTAGCCTCTGCCATCAAGAAGCTGACCAGCAAGAGGAGTCCATCGAAAACTCCTGGCCGTGGTAAGCGGGCAGTCCGCAAGGACAAAGTGGTAAAACAGACGCTTTCCGAAGTTTAGTTTGGCCTGACGACTGGTTTTGCTGAGTAAAGGAAACGTCACATACCGTCAGCCGTGCCAAGGAGAAGGTATCCCAAAGTCAGCCTGGACCCAGCTGACAAGAACCGCCCCGCCGGTCCAAAGAATGTCAACCAGTCTTTCCAATGGGCAAAGACCTTCTTGCAACTCTACAAAGACGCCAATGGGGAAGCTGATTTGATGCGCGCTCTTAGCCAGTGGCAGTGGGACGTGGCGACCTGCTTTAGCGGAGTTGGATGCCCCGAGCAGGCCTGTGTCAAGTGTGCTGGTACATATTTGTATATATAGCTTCAACTTCATCCCTTCCCAACCGCAACTCAATCCTTTCCAGCATCCAGACCTCAAACTTCGAACAGCCCCTTTCAAAAACTCAGTGCCAGGCGACTCAGGCCCTCCCAACCTTCCCTACCCTGCCCAACCCCTGTCTTTGCCAGGCGCTGGAGTCCTTGAACAACGCCGCGCTGGACTGCCTCTCGGCCAGCCCCGCAATCACCAAGCGCCCCGTGGTCAACATCCACTACAACTGCGACAGTGACAAGCATTGCCAAAAGGTCTTGTCCAACACCTACAATGTTTGCACCTTTGGGGATGTGGCCGACCTCAAAAGCAAGCACGCTGCGTGTGCCACCCACCAGCGGAATTGTCCCGTTTGGCGCCCCAGCAATTCCACTCGCAGACCCTTTGCTCAATTCGAGAAAGCTTTCAATGTTGGGGTCATTGCATCACGCTTCGCTGGCCATCTAAGGAATGGCTGTCAACATTTCTGGACCGCCTTGCACCCCCTTCAGCGCTATGGGGAAGAGATCTGGCAAAATGCACAGAGCCTACGCTTCGCATGGGACACACTATGACAATTGTAATGAGGATGAATGGGATGTTGTGATTGTTGAAAACGTCACAGAGTATGGTATGCGTCACGTCCGTGCCTACTTCAAGCCCAAGACTTGGGGAGTTCAGGCCGTATGCCTGGACCCACGTCTGTTTGGGAACCCGGTTGCGCGAGCCCGATTGTTCTTGGTGATTTGGAACAAGTCTACCGTGCAATGGCGGCCAGGGATGGTTTTCAAAGAGATCGTTGAGGCACTCAAGCTTCGAGTGGTCATGCCGCCCTTGAACTTCTACTTCCAGAACCTCCCAAGGGCAACCCTGACCCCGTCTTTGGATTCTCAACTGCAAGCAACTGAAGCAAGCTTGACCGGCTTCCAAAACCCCGTTGGTCTTGTTCCTTGACTTGAGGACACGAATCTCGAGCTCTACAAGGCCCGCTTCCCCGACAAGAAGTTCTACGACTTGCAGCAGAAGGGCGACTCCAACCGCCGCAGGCATGAAACCGCAGATGGCAGCTTCCCCACTCTGACAACGGCAAGTGGCAAAGTCTTCAGCGTAGTTTCTCGGTCCAACACACTTGCAGAACCCTGGCCAACCCTTCTTCAAAGAAATCCCACGCCAGCCTCGCCGAGGCTCGCGGGCGATGCCTCTCACCTGAGGAGGCGTTGGCAGCTAATGCCCTCCCCTTGAACTCCATTCAGGCCAAGGCTTGTGGGTCAAGGCAGTTGCGCATGGAATCCACACCGAACTCCCAAAAGTTTCGCATGGCTGGAAATACCATGCATTGCGCTTGCATGGGCGCAGTATTGTTGGCATGCGTAGTAGGGCTAGAGCGGCGCTAGATCGCATCATGCCAGAATGCAAATCGCTGCAGCTGCAGCAAATTCGAGAAGCTTTGTGCTACCAATTAGCTCAGAAGATTGCAGCATGTGGACCGTGGCTGCTTCAGACAAAACGTGCTTTTTCGTTAAACCTGTCCTTCTGTGTGCAACTTGCTCTCACATGAATGTCCTTCTTCACCTTGAGTTTGTTTTTACTTTGCCTCAGGTGCGGCTCAAGCTGAGAGCCATGGGGGCCAAACGCAGGTCCGATGTGAAGAAGGAGCCAAGCTCTGCCAAAGCACTGAAACGCGAGGGTGGGCCATGGTGTACTAGGCTGATTGCAGCTGCAGAGTATCTTGACTTGACCCTCCAAAATGCCACAGTTACTTTTCCTTCTGCAGTACACACAAAACAACAAAACTCCTGAGGCAGTTTGATGCGATGAAAGATGAGCACCCTGCCAAGTTTGCTGCTGAGTTCTTCAGCAAAGAAGGGGCGTACCAGTCGGTTCAAATTTGGCTGGAGCAAGAAGCGGGGAACATGACGAGCCCATCATCAGTTACGTTTCCAGCTACTTGACAGGGATTTGACTCCTTCAAGGGTCACACCGAAGAGCCCCGCTTCGATCTGAGGCCACTGCGCGAACCGCTCCGTTCACATTGCCGCTGACGAGCCTTGGCCTCACGGAGCCGCAGGACGGGTTTCCAATCCTCAAGGATTGGCTGCTCAACGCTTGGTCGATTTACTCCGGGGGCTTTGAGAACTACAGAGAAAACGTGGAGGTGACAGCCGCCGACAACCAGCTTGGGAATCCTTGCGGTTTTGGATCAGTTCAAGCAGCAAAGGGGATTGGGCGTGTCAGCATTTTGTTGTTCTCCGTGGCCTACACGTACAGCCACATCAGCAAGTCCTGGGGCGAAGGGGAGCAGGAAGAATTTGGCAGGACGCTCGCCGTTTTTGGGGAGGAAAAAGGGCTCCAAAAAGGACACACCAAAGAGGGCGGGGGAAGGTTGCTTTTTCCAGCTTGGTTTGTAAACCCCCACATTAACCCTGGTGGCTACCTTGTAGCTGACCCTACTACTCTCTACTTCGAACTTCTGGCTACCCTCCTTTCTGGCTACCCTTGCCGACCCTTCTAGCTTAGAGCTTGTGGGCCCCTTTTATTGGAGCACCCTTGGTTTGGAGTCTGTGGCTACGGAGCTAGTGGCTACTCTCTAGTTGGGAGCTTGTGGCTCGAGCCCTCTACTCGAAGCTTGTTGCTATTGTCTTGTTGAAGCTTGTGGCAACCTGTGTCTTTCTGCTCCAGCTTAATCCCCCAAATGGTAAATGGCACCCCGTCACAGGAGGGGTCAGTACTGCTGGTTGGGAATGTGACGGGGGCTCCGCAAGGCAAAACCATCGCCTTTTGAACATCCCAAGAGTCCAAGTTGGAAAGGTGATGGTTTGGTCGAAACCGTCGCCTGTGGCCCTCAGATTCTGAAGAACCAGGCTTGAGGCTTTCAGGGTGGTCCTTAAGCCGTTACGGGAGGTGTGATTTTGGAAAAGGACCAGAGGTGAGGGTTTCGGCGAAACCGTCGCCTTTGGCTCTGAGGGAAGTTTGAACATAAAAAGGTGATGGCGGTGTTCTTCTTTGCTCCACACTGCCACTTTCACCTTGGAACCGTCACCTTTGCTTCACCCCGAAACCGTCGCCTGCCTTCACCCCGAAACCGTCGCCTGCCTTCACCCCGAAACCGTCGCCTGCCTTCACCCCGAAACCGTCGCCTGCTTTCACCCCGAAACCGTCGCCTGTCGTCACCCCGAAACCGTCGCCTGCGTCTGAGGTGGATCAACACGGCCACGAGCCTCAACTGCACGTTCCTGAAGCTGGACCGGGCGAACATCATGTACCGGCGAATGCAGCTCACGCACCAGCAATCGGAGAAGCAGAAAAAGAATCCGGTGCAGGTCACGATGATCTTCCATAGCAGGGCAGAGGATCTGATGAAAGAAATTTGATTGCACTGTATAGGAGGCAAGGCAAGAGAGCTCATGTCACCACAACGCAAACAACTCCATTGATGATGCGTGTCATGAGGTAGGCCACGTTCTGGCACCACCATAGCTCCATTCATTCAAGATACGTGTTGCGATATCACAGAGTCCTGATGACACTGTGGGTGTGAGAGACAAGAAAACAAAACGGCAAACGCTCAAATGTTGCGTGTCACGCAACACAAACTAGTTTGGCAGCTGGATCATAAATGGTCATAGTTTTTCGTTTTTTGTTCGGTTGGCTTTGACTCATATGTTAGAAGTTTTTATGATGGTACGTATGTTTTATCTCATGGAGCCGTTTTGCCAGCGCACAGTTCTCCCAGCAGTTGGCCGTGTCACAAAGAAACATGTTCGCGTTCGGAGCTTCTGCACATTGGGCCAAGTCGCATTGGGCCAAGTCCATTTCCAGGAAGCGGGGAAGCGACCCAAATAATTTTTGCTTTGTCCAACCAGGGAATTACGTTTGTGTTGTAGCAAAACTACTGGAAATGTGTAACACTAGGCATGCTTCTATTTTTGGACCACTGCCGGGAGAATCAAGAAGGGCATGGTTATAGGACTAGGATTTCTGGTGGTGCTGGGGATGTTGCTGCCCCCTAACACCATTTGAAGCTCCCACTAGGTGCCGTCTTGAGCTTTGAACCAAAAGTCGGGTTTGTGCGGTTCATTCATCTTAGGACAATTGAACCGGGGTGATGCTGGGGAAATGGCAGGTGATGTTGGGGATGCTGCTGTTCCTTTTTCGGTTTGGTTCAGAAATGGCTTATGGCGGAAAATTATATCAGGCTTTACGGCTGCTTTGCTTTTTTGCTAAACGTGGGGGGGCATTATCGAGTATTCCCCATTGTCAGGTCAACCATCCTTCTTGTAGCGGCTAATCAGCCAGATAAGTCCAAACATATGGGAGCAGCCCATCCTGGAATTGCTTGCCCATCCCAGGAACGTGCCATCTCCAACCCCACGATGGAGCAGTGCAAGCGCGCCTTCCTGGACTCAGTGTCTGAGTACAACAGCTTCGGGGTGGCGCTGGCAAACCCTCGCTATAGGATCGACAGTGCTGCCGCAGCGTCGATGTTTGGATTCAAGGAGGGGCTTGGTTAGTTTTGTTTGGCTTTCTCCGCAAATCTTGCGCGCCAACAAGATATCATGAACTGGTTTGCAGTAATTAGCCGCCAGTGCCTCTCCGCTCGACCCTCTGTCCTAAATGTCAACCCCTGAGAAAAAAATCCACCCCCACCCAAACTACTGCGATTTGTCTCCCAGTTCACCAGCAGGCAGTCTAGCTCTACTACTTTGAATTGCAGTTGCAGCGGTCCGGTAAAATGAGGAGTTTGTCCTTTGTGTCCTAACTCCAGGAAATTCTTCGAAAAGGGCAATTTTACAACTTCTGAACAGCTTTTTGTGTTGAGATACATTTTCTGAGACCCAAAACATTTGACTTTATTTAGGGGGCGCCGTGTTGTTTCAAACAGGCGCAATGTGCTTCCATATTTAGACCTATTTCCAGGCAGTGACTTTGCAGAGTATATCCTTGGCTGATTGAGTGTTTTTGAAAAACGCCACAAGGAAACGTGGGCTCCAACATTTTTATAGTTAACCCTTCGCAATGGTGCCAATTAGTGAGGGTCAACAATGTTTGGGGACACCGCACCCTTAGCACTATTTGGCGCAAACGACTTTGTGGGCGCACCCTGCACTGGTTCTTCAATAATGCTTTGAACACAGAAACCAACTGATTGGAAGAGCTGGGTTCGGTCCCAAAAGCAAAGTGGGGGTGGTGATACTCGGCTTCAAAGGTGCTTTGTTATCTAGAGTCGTGCTAATCTTGGGTGATTACAATTCCACGACTGTCAGATCAACCCATCATGCCCTTGTTCTGTCAACCGTCGGTGCGCCTTCTCCGTGTCTGCCTGCCAGGTTGGCTGCGCGGCCGATGCCTGGGCAATCATCCAGAGGCACTTCCACAAGTTCAGGGCCGACGAGTCAGGCAAGGACTCGGGGGAGGGAATTTTAGTTGGGCGAACATTTCATTCAAAAGATTTGAACTCTGCTCCCTGCAGCCTTCCACAAAGAGACTTTGTTGTCAACGCGATGGCTGCTCAAAGGGGTGATGTATGGAGCTTCTGAAGGGATATGGCATCAAGTGCTACAAGTCACGGCCCGCAAGCAAACCATCTTCTTGGAACGCGTGATGTACCTGCATGAGATCTCCCTTCGCCGAAGAACAAGCAAGACCCAGTTGTGTCGCTTGCAGCCGACAGAATGGGACCGGGAGTGCAACTGCATGTGCGCTTTGACATGGGTGGCGGAGCAAATGCTATCGGCCAAAGACGTCGAGCGGAACAACAGCCCCCTTTTCAGCGAAGACAAGGTTGAACTTGCCTTGAATAAGGTTGTGGAGGGGTGCCTTTGGCACGTTTGTTTTGGTTTTGTTTTGTTTTTTGTGTTTTTGTTTTTTTTTGCGGAGCTGTTTAGAAGTGAACTTGCCAACCCACAATTGTGCACCCCACTCCTAGCTAGGGACTACAATGATGACATCCAGTGCCACATTGACGCGTGCAACGCCAGCTTTCAGGCCTCCCATTGCCAAATGTGGCACGATTTGCTCCCCATGCGATCCATCGACCAAGAAACGTTGGATATCGCAGAGAAAGAAATTTCCCGCTTGGATGAAGAGGCTATGAAGCTTTCGTGGGACCAGGACGTCCTGAAACTGAGCAAGGACGTGGCAACCCTGGGCCGCCTACTGGAGAAAGGGGACCAGTGCGAGCGGACTAGGCATCTCAAGAAGGTACTTCACTTGAAAGCCCAGAGCCTGGCCAGTTTTAACATTTTTGTGACGCAAGGAGTTCAATTTATTCCAATGAAAACTTGGCGTCATGTTGTCCAAGGAACAGCATCGGCGCTTCAATGGTCACCCAACATATGGGTCGCTGGATCAAGCATGTCCATGGGGAGCAATCCCAACTTGACTGCGCCATTTCTCAGGCCGCCTTGCCAAAATAAAAATCAAGACAAATCGGATTTGCGTGTGATCTTGTTTGCCCCTGCAGTTTCTCGCTGACGTGGACAATGAGCCCATCATAGCAGTTTTGGATTACATGAAGCATGGAAGGCTCTCCAACAACACCTTGAACGAGACGTTTGACTTGATGCGCCGCGCTTTATCTCGAAAGCCGGAAAGCAGCGTGGGTCTCATTGTGTGCCCCCACTTGACCAGCAGCAAAATCAAAAATGGAACCAGAGGCGAAATCAGGCGCATTGGGAAACTGCCATGATGTTTTTCATGAGCAACTAGACCTGGCCGGTTTCCTTGAAAACCCTAACAGGAGAATCGAGGACAAGGCTGACGGGAAGCGCTTGTGGACGCAGGCTATCATTTTGAGGATGGGGGAGCCGCCGGCCAACAAGCAAGTCCCCATCAACTTCACGGGCTGGATTTGCATGGATGAGGCAACGAAGGAGCACAACATCTTTGCGGGGTGCCCCATGGCCATTGATGGGCCCCTTGCCTGAACAAATGAAAATGGATACACCACGACTCTTTGACGTGTGGTAGCCTGTTGTGTGGACCCTTGCGCAACACAGTTCACCAACCAAGGGGGAACAGGGAGCCGATCCCCTGGAACCCTGAGCGGGAGTATGTGATACCCAGCTTGGGAAAGGACTCGACGCCTTCAACCGCTGAAGGCTCCAGGCGAGGTGTCAAACTTATAGGGAGCGCACCCCACAAAAAACAAACATGTTTGATTGGGTTGGTATGAACCCACCCTAGAAATAGATTCGCACAATGCTCCTAAACGTCCTTGTCACTTTGGTCGTGCCCCGCAAAATTCGGTATGCTGTTCAACTTGGTTTCGAGCCGCGAGTGCCAAGTTTTTCTGGACCAACCCTCTGCACCCCGCCTAAACATGTTCCTTGATTTTAGTTTTGCGACTAAGACTTGCTGCACCTTGCAGGGCCATGAGCGATGTGCAGGAGACCGCCCAATATTTGAGTGGCGATGGGTTCCCTCGGGCACTGCTTCATGGGCTTTTGGGTAATCTCAGTTTCAGAAACTCAGTTGTCCAAACAGCCGGCCGTTTTATTCTTCCTACATCTTTATTTACCATTGCCAAAACTAAACATGTTAACCGCCTTTTTGTCCTGTGTTCCTTTGGGAAACTTAGGAAGCGCCAGGGTTCTGAATTTGACACCCTACGATGCCGCCCTGGAAACCACTGCCATGAAGTGGCACTTGGCCGCCGACAAGAGCCCGATGATCAGGTCGTTGTCCGTGACATCGGTCCTGGAGCACGGCAGCTACAGCGAGCAAGTGGTGGCAGTGCGTCTCATGCAGGACTTGGGGTAAAATGCAGGTTGCGTCCCTACTGTTCTGATCACCCAAGAAAGTCATAGCAACTGTCGAAAAAGAATTGAGGTTGGGTTGTTGAAACTGAAACATTCTGTGATCCAAAGGATTGGAAAAATGGGGGCCAGCTCCTGAAGAAGCTACCTGGCTACAAGGCCTATGAACGCGAGCCAATTGATCTGCCCGACTCTGTGGACATCAGCGATTACCCCACAAAGTTTGTGCAGATTGCGGTGGACAACAGCAAGAGGGGCTTGAGCAAGTTTGAGTTCACTCTTCCTACTCAGGTTCGGGAGCTTCACTGCAATGATCCGGTTCGTGGTGCAGAATGGCGCAAGATGTGCCAAGACTTTGACAAACAGTGACTTGGACTGACTTGGCCCCCCCTTTGCGCTTAACATCCTTCAACATACCACGGGCTGCAAACCAAGGTTCGACAGAAACCTGGCCCGCGCACAGTCAGCTGGCGAGCAGACGGAAAAACCCAAGCTCACACCAACTAGCCCGCGACTGGCCTTGCAGGATGCCCAGAACACAGACAAATTGCAATGGCCTGAAGAGCCCACTACACTTGATCGGCTCACCGAGAAGTATGATGTGGTCGCAAAAACCCCTTCTCGCACAAACGGGTGCACCCTGTATGTCACGAAGGCTATCAACAGGGCTGGGGAGGAAAGCGACGTGGTCCCCGGACAAAAATGGAAGCTCTTCATGGCAACTTGGCTTTCATGTATTTCATTTTCTCAAGGTTGCCCGTCGACCCATCCATGTAGCCCACTGTCCATTTCAGGGGATGCCCAACTCCAGGAAGCCGAGTCTTGCGGAAGGTTTGTTTCAATAGTGGTTCTTTTTTGGTTCATTGCCTAAAAGCAGAGAAGTGTTTTGTATGGCCGTCACAGCCCTGAGCCCGCCCCAGAACTGCCTGCCAGGTCTGCCACACTGCGGCCACCGTCAGCTCCTTGGAGTTTGTCCTGAGCCACGGGCGGAGCCAGTTTCTCAAGGCGGAGAAGGTGGAGAAGTTGCTCCGTGACAGCGCCGGTGCTTCGCTCAGTCTCCACTAATTTGAGAATGAATGGGAATTTGATGAACCGCGATGCAACCATGTTTGCAGCAAGTTGCGCTGCGACTCCGCCCCGTCCGCCCCACAGCTGTTTCAGGATAGCCTGATTTGCGCTTTGCAGAACAGCCCAAAACCGCAATGGATTTGGATTTGCTGCTCTCGCAGCAGGGGTTCAAACAGGCAGGAACTTGCTGATTGATGTCGGCCATCAGCAACTAAGTTATTTTATATACTAGCCTGTGCAGGACCTCGACGCTTACTTGGAGTCTTCGCCCAACATGGCCGTTACCCCTCCTACAAGGCAGCCGGTTGTGATTCGGGATGACTCTCAAAGCAGCAATGACACCTGAAAGCATTTAAAAGTGAGCTAAATCATTTGCTCTTTGGGCTTCCCACCTCTTGGCGCTTGGCTGGAACCACCTGTTGCCAAGGACTCGGAAACCACGCTTCGCCTGGACATCCTGTCGCCCTACAATCCTCGCCCCACACGAAAAGCCAATGAGCCCAACAACAAGTTACCAATGACCTCCGCAGAGGCTTGCGCTGAGGTATCTGACAAAAGGGTTGAGGCGCTTTCAGCCAAGGTCAAGGCCGGGCTGAGAGATTTGAAAAAAGAAGCAAATCCTAAGAGGGACCCCAATGATCCAGATGAAGATGAATGTGAACAACCGCCTACCGATGATGAGCCAGCGGCAGCAGCCAAGCCAACCGCAGCCAACACTGCGAACAAAGATGCCCCGAAGCCCAGTCTGGGCATCCACGCGGTTGCCGCTCGAATTGCCTTGGCACGGGCTGGGGCGCCAAAGGCAAAAGCAAAGGCGCACTCAGCAAAAGGAGGGCAGGGGCGGGGCCGAGGGCGGGGGCGAGGCAGGGGCAAACGCAATGCAGATGCAACACCATGCCCAACCCTTGAAGGTCCCAACCCTGCCGCCGTTCAAGGCACTGAGGATGCCAACCTAGCGACACCTGCCACCAATGAGAAAGCGCAACCGACCCCAGAGCCGAAGACTGAGGCTGCCAAGAAACCTGCCCCCAAGCCGAAGGCCAGATCCAAGAAATCAGCAGCCGGTCAAAAAACTGAGGATGCCAACAAAGCGCCCCCAGCCACCAACAAGCGAGCTACCCCAAAGCCAAAGGCCAGGTCCACAGCAGCCATGCCTTCAGCTGCCACCAAGAGAGCTGCTGGAGCACCCAAAGCCAAGAGCAAGGGCAAGGTCAAAGCCAATGAGCAGGAGCAAAGAGTCGAAATGAACATACTGTTTTCTTTTTGATCATCAACAATCGCTGTCAATTAACCGTATCAAGCAGACCCTTTCAACCAACCCCTTCAACAATCCCTCTCAACCATGGTTCTCAATCTGATAATCAACCTTGCCAATCAACTCTTTCAGTGAACCCTTTTAATCAAGCCTCTTAAGCTGAACCCTTGTTCAACCCACCCGTATGATCTGCCCTTTCAACCAACCCTCTCAATCAGCCCTTTCAATCATTTCGAACAACCAACCCTACTGAACCCTTCAGCCAACCCTTTCAATCCGCCATTTCAATCAATCGTCTTCATTTGGCCCCCGCAACCAACTCTTTCAATACTCCCTTTCAAACAACTCTTTCATTCAACTCAAGCAGCCCTTGAAACCGCCCCGTTTCAACCAACCCTCTCAACCAACGACTTCACCCTTCCATCATTCAACCCTTTGTGGCGCCGCGCCGGACCAGGACGATGACAAGGAGAAGCTTCAGGACCTCCGCTGCGAGTTCTGGAAGTTTGCCAAGACTGAGACGGCTAGGTTGAAGGAGGAGGGCATGGCTCCGAAAGAGGCTTTGAAACGTGCTCGTGAGCTGTGCCATGACAACAAGATAAACACTTAGCTGCAGCTCTTTTTGTTTGTAGGTTTCAACCCTGCCACCCCTATCCCTAGCAATCGCAAAGCCAAGGTGGCAAACGCATCCGATCCGCGCCAATGCCATTAAGAATATGCCGGAGCAAGAGCAGAAGCGGAGGAAAATCTCGTGAGCTTTTCGGGCTGAATCAACTATTTTGACATTCCTGCAAAATGACAGGACGTGGGCTTTAGCCTTGCCGGTAGGCACGCTCTTCAGGTCAAATCAGGGGATGCGAGTTACAAAGCACTTTGAGCTCAGTGAAAGGTCACATGCAATGCTTACAGAAGGTACCTTCAAAAGCACATCAGCCTGAGGATAGGCCTGAAGCGTGCTATAGCCAAGGCAAATCAATAGCAATGTAGCGGGGTAAAAAAGGCCGCTTCACCTTCATGTCAACTTGGCGAGTTTGATATGCATCACGCAACGTTGAACTTGAGCCGCAACATCATTGCATGAACGACCTGGGCCTAGGTGATGAAATTCCCAATTTGATGACGTGCCAATTCACAGCCGACACCGACCTTGTGATAATGGAGGTTTCGGCCGAAGGACGACAATCCTCATATGAGGACTCGGAACCTGCTTGTATTCGTGAAGTCTTACACGAGTTAGAGTCCGCTGGCCTCGTCGACGTGTCCATATGCGGACATGTGTGTGAACGCCCGTCGGCGGTGGGCGATCGCATCTCACCTGTAAATTTGCTGTTATGCTTGGAGTTCCCTGTTCGAAAAGCGCTGCTTTCCATAAGGTTCGGGCGATGACTATTTTCGAGTGGAGCCCAAAGCTACCAAGCTGCACTACCAGTATGTCATGACGGGAGAGGACAACATTGGCTCGTGCAAGTATGGCAACATTGCCAGCGCTTTCCCGAACAAGGCCCTTTCGTTGAGTTTAACCATAATTATTGTTTCTGCTTTTGACCAACCAGGCCTTGGAAGTCAGTAAGACTCTTCAGCGCCTTTGGCGTGTCAAAATGGCGTCGGAGCTTAACGAGATTTCACCCCGCGCCTGGTTTGCACAAGTTTGTAACAGGTTGTCGGCGTTATAATTATATCGCTTTGCATCATCAGCACTTCGCCGAGGCAAGCCTCTCTACTTCGTACCGACGGATTTGGAACTTGCTGATGGTCAGGTGTTGAGGTTGTTGTGAGCCCCGCACTGAGCGCCGGGCAATCGCAAGGCTGTACTTGCCGTAGAGCAGAGTTTTGATCAAAGTAGCAGCGCGGGCGCGGCCGGCCAAAACACAATGAGCGAAGGGTTGCCAGGGGGGTAAGGGACAAGGCCGAGAGGGTGGCCTATACTGCAAGACTTTTCGACATAGTTCAGAAAGGATGGCTATATGAAAGGATGGCTATATGTCATGAAATCGTCCCCAAATGCCATGAAATGGGCTTAAGTTTTGATTGGGGGTTTGGGGTTTTGGGGTTTTTGAGGGCTTTGATTGTGGTTTTGGGTTTTTGAGGTTTTTGAGGGTGTTGATTGGGGTTTTGGGGTCTTGTGCGGGTTTTGATTGGGGTTTTGGGGTTTTGTGCGGGTGTTGATTGGGGTTTTGGGGTTTTGGGGTTTTGTGCGGGTTTTGATTGGGGTTTTGAAGTTTTGGGGTTGTGGGTTGTTTGAGGGTTTTAATTGGGGTTTTGGGGTTTTGGTTTTTGGCTGTTTCAGGGGTTTGGGGCGTTGGTGGGCCGAAACAAGCTCCCAAGCCTGTGTGTTTGCCACATTTCATGGTCTTCCCACAAGGTTTTTAGGGTCCGAGGACCCAGGAAGTGAGCCCAGCTGAAAGGTTGCTGGCCCTCCAACCATTTCAACGGGTCCAAGCCGCAGTCTGCGCTAGCGATTTCAAATGATTCCACGCCGGGAATTCCCAACAGACCCTTGAAAAAGAAACGTACAGTCGTTTTCCCCCAGTTCACGAGGAAGCCTTCCACGGTCGCAGAACATATCTCTCGGCGATGTTCGTTTTGCTGCCGTAGAAAACTAACACCTTGTTGTGATTCGCCCCACAAACAGATCTGCATTGAGCTATGTATGGGTCACTCGCACCAGCCCGGGCCCAAAGGTATTGATTCCCGCGCAAGACCTCGGCCGAAGCAGAGTTCCCCTCCAAACCTCCGAAGCCTTCCATCACCCCGAAAGGTCCTCCAGATTTGAGAGCTTAGAATAAGTTGGTACCAACTCTTTTCTGTCCATTGAGTAGGGGAACGTAATCTCCCAACCAAAGGGGTGAGAGCTCGGGCACTGGGGGACCTAGCTATAACATCTCCCACATGCTGTAGACACCTGGCTTGCTGCCTTGAGTTACTGGGACACCTGGGCCTCCAAACAAACAACTCAGCCTTCGACCCCGAAAGCTCTTAACCTTTCCTCTCAGCTTTCGGGGCCTCAAGTTGTGAAGCAAAAGAACACCAAAAACGCTCTGCGCCGAAAGAGACGGATCCCAAAGTTCAACTTGTGTTTTTTGTGTGCTTCCTTAAAAAAAAAAAAAAAAAAACTAGACCCCCTGGAAAACATGAGAACAAACAACTTGAAGTAGTGAAAACCATCCCCTTGAAAACCAACAGGTGCGCAGTTTTAAAAAAAAAAGGAGAGCAAAAAACAACACAAAAAGCAAACAAACTAATTTCAGCAAGCAGTTCCGGTGAAAAGCGTTCCGCTGAGGTTTTCACCCAAGTCGCCTGCCGGCAGCGCTCGCAGAGCCGTCCCAAGATGAGATCCAGGGCCTGGCCAAATGACTAGCCATGATTAGCCTCGCCAGCCAAAAAAACCATGGGGCAAATATTTACTGGGCTGTCCTTTTTCAGGTCCCCCGCCAAAAGCGACTAATCTTTAGTGGGTTAAATTCGGGAATGCCCCACTAAGCACACTAAAAGGCTAAAAGGCCAAGGAACAGCCACCAAGTATAGGGGTCCCTCAGACCCCCATAAAGCTTTGCCTTCAAACAATTCCCAAGCCGACTTCTCTGCAGTTCTTAAGCCCAAAAAAGAAGAGCTGACTCGGCTCTGGAAGGCCATTCCGCCAGTTCCTCTTGGTTTGCCGATGAAACCATCCGACAGGTCGAAGCAGCAACTTTCGAAAGGGAAAGCCTCACCACACCACGGCTTTTTCCCACTCCGGCCTTGGCTGGTACCACCAAACAGGGTTACCTTGGCGGTGCTTTTGGATCTTCTACTTCACAGCTCCCTAGACCAAGCGTGGGTTTCCTGGCCTCCAATCGGCAGGGCGAAATCCGTTCAGCCACCCTGGCTTCTGATTTGATTCGACGAAAATACCAACAAACACCCAAGGGGGCCAAGGGGAGGGAGGCGATCCCTTCATTTTCGTGCTACTTTTATAGTTCACAGTGTTTGTGGCTTGCCAGAAAGCTGTTTATTTATGGTAAAAGTAAAAACAACACAAAAACAAAAACTTGAAACTATTTGCTACCAATTCACCCCTCAAGGCCTCTCGCTCCAAACACCGCCGCAACTCCACCCGCGCGTCTCTCTTTTCGTCGCGCCTGGCGGTCCCCGCGGGGGAAGAAGGCCTCGAAGCAGCAGAGCTCCCGGCCCGCGCGGTCCAGCAGGTAGCCCACGGCCTGCCTGAAGTGGGAAATCACTAGCTGCCCAAACCGTTTCGAGTATGGGCCATGGGTCAAAATTTCACCACCGGGAGATCGCAGGTTTTAGTCCTGGGTCCCATTTCCCAGGATTCCTTTTTAGGTACCTACCACTAAACTCGGTTGCTTTCCGCTCCCCTGCTAAAAGTTTAACTTTTAGTGGCTTAGTGGAAAACCCATTAGTTGGCAAAAAGTTAAAGTCCTAACCGCCAAGCAAAGTGCATCAAAGTAAAAATGAGGAAATCGCGGCATTCGTTTGGGTAGCTTGAGGGTCCAGGAAACGATCATTTTTGACCCGAAGCCATGGTAGGGAGGTACGCAACGTATGCTTCTCGGGGTACCTTCCAAGCATTCTGTCCCGGGGATCCAACAAGCTTTCCACCAAGCTCCGGAAACCAAGGGAAAGCGGCTCCGGTTCTTTGGAAAGAATTCGTCGGCTGAAAAGAATACGGAAAAGGAATCGAGCCCTGGAGGAAGTGGGAAGTCTCTGTATTCACAGCTGGCTACTTGGGTCAGGGGACCATTGAGAGTTGAGTCGCTCAATGAAAACAAGCCGCCCGCCTAATGGAGAGGTTCGGAGGTTTGGCCCCAAACCTCTACTTGATTCTTGGAAGTTGATATTTGGGGGTTGATTCAACGGTCCAGATCAAAAGGATGACCATTGCTTACCACCAAAATGAGTGATTCAACCACTAAATGGGAACAGTTACCCATGGTCATTTGGGGCCAAGGGAATTTTGATCAGCCACCATATAGTTCGAAAAGGACATTTCCGCCAACGCTCGTTGTGTTCAAGGAATTTCGTTGGAGTTTCAACGGACTTCGTTGGGGTTGCAAGGGGACTTGGCGTTCAAGGGAATTGGTGGTTCTAGAGAGTTACATGGGTCGGAGTTGTTTGGACAAACCACAAAGAAACCAATGATATTTTGGGGGGTCTCCTTCTTTCACACACACACACAAATATTGGCCCAAGCGCGCTTCTGAACCGCTCTCATGAATAGACGACCTGGCGATCCCAAGCACTTCAGAGCGATTCTTCCACGAGAAACTTGATGCAAAGGGAGGCAAACACTTGATCCACACCTCTACTTGACACCTGAGCGACAAATTGTCGCCCAGCTTTTGCGAAAGTCTCAGTGAGGCTTGTGACGAACACTACTTGGCACTTCTCAGCGATACTTCTGAGCAACCTTTGCGCGTCTGACCAAGACTTGAGACCTCCGAGCAACATGTCTGACACGTCCGAGGCATACTCCCAAGCGTAGCTTCTGAGCGATATTATTGACCGTCACTTTCACCGACGCCCAGCGGACTCTCAACAGACTCTTCTCATTGAGTGCCATGGCCTCCACTCTTGCATTTGATATGTTCCTGACAGGATGGCATCCAGCAAAAACAATATGCCTCCAAAAAGCCTCTCATTTTGTTTGTCCCTTTTGCTTCACTCCGAAACTCCAAAGTGGGTCCATCAAAAGAGACGCACCCAGGTTTCCCTCTGGCGGCGCCTCACCAGCTCCGGCAGTGGCCGCACCGCCTGTAAGGGGGAGAAAAAGAAGCCAACCAGAAGAAGAACCCCCAAAAGAAAACGCATTCATAGCTCTTGATTCTGGGGAATAATTGTGGATTTGTGTGTTTGGACCTTTAGATGGGCAATTTCCAAGATATACACGCTCCATAAACCCCAAGAGCTGGCACGGAACCTGCTCAGGGTTCTGATCCAAGGGATCGAACCTTTCGGAGAAAAAAAAATCGGAACCCCTATGGGGGGCTCTGGGGGGGGGGAGTATCCCTGGATAAGCCAAGGATAAGCCCTTACTAAGGCCTACTCAATTGGTAAATAACCATGGCCCTCCCTTTGGGGGTCCCTAATTCGCCGCCTTCAGAGGGAGCTGACAGAGAGAGGCCGCCTCCATTGGCATATGAGGCGGCCCTCGTCCTTTTTTGGAGTTGGCACCTTTTTGTTGTTCCAGGGGTTGATTCGAAGGCCTAAAAAAGACACAAACCAAGAGGAAACCCAGTATTTTGGGGGGGGGGGGGTCTCCACACAAAATAGCCCACACACCTCTAGGGGTTGATTCCTTTTCCATTGTTTTCAACCATCGTTCTTTTCAAAAACCGGCCGTTTTCCCCTGGGTTTTTGATGGTTGCCTGAGAAGACTCGGATCCCTGGAAAGAATGGGGAAGGTACCCCTAGAGTTGTGGGTTTGAAGGGAAACCAAAAGGAAAACCACCATCTTGGGCTGGCGTCTCCGTTCTTTTGTCATAGTCCATCCAAGAGTCATTCTAGGAGAAGCTTCCATTTCCATTCTTTCCACAGGATCCTTCTTGTCGCAAGACCATTCAAAAAACAAAACAACAAATGAGAGAAAACAGCGGGCGTTTGAAAAGAGCCGGAGCCAACCCCCCCCCCCAAACCAACTTTACAAACCTAAGGATGGCGAATGGCCAAGACATCTAGGTCCGCCAGTAGATAGGTTAGAACAAGTTGGTACCAACTTGTTCTTTTTAGTCTATTTTAGTAGAGGGTTCCCCCAACCAAAAACGGGGTGGAGGTCGGGCACGACTGGCTGGGGGCTCCCCGTGCCGAATTCGATCGTCATGGGGGCTGGGGGGAGGTGGGGGGGGAGGGAGGGGAGGGGCAGGGTAAAAATGGCCTTAAGGGCTTATTTGGGGCTTTTTACGGACTTATTCTAGGTCCCCCTCCCTCCCTTCCCCCCAACTCCCCCCCAGCCCCCGTGACGATCCATCCCCCCGTCCCCCCGTCCCCCATCCCGTCGGCTCGTCGGCTCCGAACGCCTGCAAGGCCTGCCAGTGGGCCTCGGTGTCCAGGCGCAGCCGGAGCTGCGCCAGCTGCTGTGCTGCGCTGTCCAAGGCCTGGCCCTCGGCGACTCGGATCGAGCCAGCCGCGATCCCAGCCGCTCGAAGCTGAGGGCCCAAGTGGTGAAGCCCGAAGTTCAACTGGGGTTGATTCATATGGGGTCAAGGTGTCCATGGTTGGTGAGTTTGGAGGAAGCTGAGCCAGACTTGAAAGCGAGATAAGCATTTGGAAAAGCTTGGTATTTGGTACTTGGAATTTGGTAGTTGGAGACATCGAGAGCTGAGGGCCCAAGTGGTGAAGCCCCATACTCTCCCCGAGGTTTTGGGAATCCAGGATATGAATCACCTCCCAGATTTGCTTAGGATCCAACCCATGTGAAGAGGAAATCCCAATAGGTGTCATTTGTCCGGGGTGCAAAGGTTTGTATGCGTGTGTTTCTGCGACTCTCTTCCATATGTCACCCCCAAACTGTAAAATATGGGGGAGGGGCGTCTTTTGTTGGGGCCAGCCTCGTTTGTGGCTTCAAGGGGAAACCAAAAGGAGCACCACTAGAGACATACTGTTAACCCCATATGAATCAACCCCAGCTTGTTAATAGGGTACTTTTGTTTGGGTTTAGTGGGGAGCCCGAACTTAATCAACTGGGGTTGACTCATATGGGGTCAATGTTACAGGTGTCCATGTTTGGTTGGTGAGTTTGGTTGAAAATAGACGGGTGTATTCTAGGTCCTCCAGTCGAGAGGTTAGGGTTTAGGGTACCCGATGTCTTTTTCTGTTTCGTCTATTTTAGTAGGGGAACCCTCCCCAAGAAAAGGGTAAAAGGGTACTACTGGGGGGACCTAGTAAGGGCGCAAGTGGTGAAGCAGCTACTTAGGTCGGGCGGCTCGTTTTTGCTTTTTTGAGGCCTATAACCGTTCTGTAACTTGCGATCGGTGCGAGAGATGCCGGGAATGAGAAATGGAATGCCCCCCCAAACAAAACATCCAACTGGTGGTTTCCTTGAAGGAAATCCCGACTTGTTCATTCCCTCATTCCCTACTGAGCACCAGCAAGATAACCATTCTACAGCTCCTCCCCTAAACAAAAACAAACTTCGATCAAACACAAAACAACTTATGACTTAAAGCAAGCAAACAAGACAAACGACAACAGCGCCAGACACCGCCTCACGTCCGATCGAGTGGGGAACATGAAACACATAACACACAAATGAAAGGATGTATCTCACCTGCCAGCACCCTCCAACCACCTCGTTTTGGACAGTACCACCGGAACCTCATTTCCGGAGTGGCTTGGCCCACAAAAGTCGCGTGGAACTGGTAATATTTGCCACTAAAAATTCGGAGGCCCGAGAAGTGACTAAAGTCCAGGAACTCAGAAAGTGGGCATATGACCATATTTGGGTTCTGCACAACGGGAAGGCGACATCAACAATCCTTCAACCACCTCAACCTCAACCTCTGTGGAGAAGACAAAAGACCTGAACACGAAAGTGAAGGTTTGAAGCTGGTGGTGTTACTTTCCGCAACTCAGGACCCCTTTTTCAGGGCTGCCCGCTTTTCAGATCTGCTGAGAGTTTGACTCACTTGTGGATTCGCAAACTCAACCGCTAAACCAACGAAAAATATCGTCTAAACACCCTATCTTTAACGGGATGGCTGGGCTTGCCACCAAGTTTCAAGGGGTTGACATGCCACCGAGGGGAACAAGCTGGCTGGTGCGATAGCTAGAATGACCGGGGAGAATGAACCGATTTGTGGGGGATTTCCGAGTAATTGGAACCAAATCGGGGATGGTTTATATATGGGGGTGGGTCAAAATCAAACCACCAGGGGACCGCAGGTTACAGTCCCTGTTTCCATTTACCAGGGTTCCTTTTGGGGTGTGTATTTTTGACCCACAGCTATATATAGGCATCTTTCCATTTCTCATTCCCGGCATCTCTCGCACCAGTGAGCAAGGACCTCAGGTGGTTTGGGGGATTGCGGCCTCTGGCTTTTGCGAACCTCTAAACCGGCGGGCTCCAAACCACAGTTCGGAGGAAGCTCAAAACCCCCTTTGGAAGGGAAGGGGTCGACCTGTGTTTGTGGGGGACAACTCGGACCGAAACAAGCAACTGGGACCTTATCTGCAAATCTTGAAACCTGAAACAAGGGACTTCCAAGCAAAGTATGCTCGTTTCCCAAATGGGTGTTCCTTTCAGTTTCCCTTTAAAAGCATAAACTAGGTCCTCCAGTAGAGAGCTTAGAATAAGAGTGCCAACTTTTTCTGTTTTGTCTATTTTGGTAGGGGAATTCTCACCCTCCCAACCAAAAAAGTGGGTGAGAAAGGGCACGACTGGCTGGGGGGCCCAGCAACTACTCACCTTTTGGTTTGTGGGTCCAAAAAGACGGATGGTTGGAGAAACGGATGGTTTTCCCATGTCTCTCATTCTGGTGGCTACGAAGTAAAGACACCCATCATCAATTTCTGGGGCGCGTCGTCTCATGAGTCCGAGGACTCCGAGGCACATATTGGGAATGCAAGTGCCGCTGCCGCTGCAGAACCTCCAAGGCCGGCCGCACCGCCCTCGCCGGAACTTCGCGCAAGTCGTTTGGGAACGAGAGTCCATTGGGGCCATGGGGTTGATCAACTAGGTCTTCCAGATTTGAGAGGGTAGAATAAGTTGGTACCAACTTGTGTTTCGGTTTTGTCTATTTTAGCAGGGGAACCGAATCTCCCAACCAAAACGGGGTGAGAAAGGGCACTACTGGGGGACCTAGTCAATATTCCATTTAGGAGGCGTTGTCTTTGGCGCGTTTTGCAGACTTGCAAATCACGTCGGCTCGACCTTGTCTTTAGTTAGCTGCCTGCAGACTCGCCGAGCCCTAAGAGAAGATTCCTCCAAGCCCATGGTTTTTCGTCTGAATTTACAGGGGGGTAAAAAGCCACTCAGATGTGGAAAATTCACAAAACTACTTCTGAGCGTTCAGTGGAATGAACCCTTCTGTTGTGGCTTTTTCATACTAGTGGCTTATCTAAGAAGCCAGCTACGTGGAATTTGTACAAGTTGCAAGCTGGCCAACACCTCTGGTCATGGCTTTTTGCCTAACTCATTGGAGGAATTTAGCTGTTCTTACCATCCAAGCACCACATCCCCCAACCCGCACCAAACCAATTTCCTTCACACCTGCAAAGGCATACTGGGATTCGGGCAAGTGCTGGCTTTCTGTGTTGGCTGCGAGGCACAGTGTTGAGTGTTTTTTTTTTCAGGTGGGTTGAAAGGGACACCGCCAGGAAAACCCACCTTTTGGGGCGTCCCCCATTCTTGGGTGCAGGGTCTGGGCCTTTGATTTTGACACATATCCCAAATGGAAACTCGGGACATCCTCACCCTCTCAAAAAAACCGGGCTTGGGGAGGGAAAGTTCCCCAAGGGCAAAACTGGGGGCCACCCATTGGGCGACTGGATCTGGCAAACAAGCAAAACAACAAAAGATAAAAGATCAACATCTGTCTACTTGGGCTGGGCTCTTCAAGCTGCCTTTTGGATTACGGGAGACTCACTAGCACCTAGCAAGGAAACCTGGCACCGGGCTCGACCTTTGGGACCGGACTAAAAGGGAAACGCAAAAGACACCATTCCGACGGGTCGGCTTTAGATGACACCTGGAATCATGCACCACATGCACCGAGCGAAGTAGATCAATCCTGAATCGCCCGAGGAATTTCAAGGGGGCTGGTCAGGCGGTCTTAACAACAACACAGTGAATGGACAAAATCCTGCACGAGTGAGTTAGCAGGTGATCTCGTGGTCTCTCCCAGTATTCAAAGGGCTGTATACATTCCAACTCGTGCATTTCTTTGCCTATCCAAAGTAGGTCTTACAACTAGAGTTGTGCGTCACCCAAGCCTGTCAGACGCTGCGAGGCCGGACATAGTCAGAGAAAAGGGCAAGACATGATTGTACGACGTAATCCTTTCTGTGATACCTGCTAGGTCCTCCAGTAGAGAGGTTAGAATAAGGGTACCCTTTTTTTTCTGTAGTCTATTTTAATAGGGGAACCCTCCCAACCAAAAAAAGGGGTGAGAGGTCGGGCACGACTGGCTGGGGAATCTAGACTGTCTCACTTGTGTGGATTTTCCTCGAAGGTATCCCAGACAAGGAGGGCCCATCTGAATGCTTCCCGGGAGCGACGCCGCCAGGTGGAAAGCAGTGTAAAAGACCTGAGTGTCCACGGAAGACTCCTCGCTCTCCTCCTGGCACAGGCGGCTCCGGGGTTGCTTTTTGTGCTTTGTTGGAAGGGTATCCTTCTCGAGAACCATCCTGAATTGGCTATCCCCAATGGTCCTCATGACCGCTCAGTCGACTTAAGCGGTGAAAACAAAACAGCCAGCACAAAGCCCGCCTGAGCGGGCTAATCTCAGTGAATTGGTTGTCCACCACTGATATTTCCCCCTAAATGGGAAACATTTCCCATGGTTCCTTGCGAAGGGAATACTGATCAACCCTCACACTTGCTTTCTGCTCCCCTACAAGTTTAACTTTTGGTTTAATACGGAAACCTCCCAAAAGTTGGATCAAGTTTCAGTCCTAACCTCCCTTGCCAGAATGCGCCAGACAAATTTTGGGGGGAGATCACCTTGGTTTTTTGTTGTTGTTAAACGAAAAATCCTGGGCTCGGCCTGCTGCCACAAGATCTCCTGGACCTGCGACTCCGCCGCCTGCCACACGAGAAAAAGGCGTGAGACGCGTAACGCGGCGGACGAGGGGGGGGGGCGCTTTCTTCAGATGCCGGTCAAAAAGCGGCAACTGGTAGGCATGTGGACACCCTAAACCCTAAAACCTGCGGTCCATATCCTGGTTTTTGTTTTTGAGCCATACCTAGACAACGAAACAGAATTAAGATTCTCTCTCGGTTACCCTTTTTTGAAACCACCAAACAGAAATGGGTATGGGTCAAAACTAAACCACCAGGGATCGGACCGCAGGTTGACATGCCCTTTCCATTTACCAGACCCTGCGCCATTTTGGGGTTACCCGTTTTTGACGTAACCCAAATACCAACTCGAAAGACCAAAATGTCCGGAACAGTCGTCCCTACGACCTGGAGGCTAAAATTGGAGGGCGCCCAGGGCCAATTGACCGTAGGAAGCCTAAGCATAGGGATCCTGAAATATGCACCGATCGAACATTGCAACTTGTAAATGGTGGCTTTTCCCAACTTTATTTTTGGTGGAACAAAAAAGCAACATGTCTCAAATGGTTGCAAAATGAATTTCTTTTAAGGAGCCCTGCATAGGTGGCTGACCTTTCGGAAAAATAGATGGGCCTGGTAAATGGAATCCCTGGAAATCCACGACTGTTTTTTAAACGTCCTTTGCACCTCGCCTGTTTTTTTGCAGCTAAAGCCTGTTTTTTGCACCTGCAGTGAGCCATGGCGTGGTATTTGATGGATTATTCATGCTGTTGCCACGTTTAGATTGTACAAAGCCAGTTCCACCCCAACATGTCTTGACACAACAATTTTGGTGTGAACATAGCGGTCCGTCATGTACGCAACAGTAGCGTGAAATCACCGTGAAAATACCGTGAAATTGGCGTGAAAGCCTGTTTTCCAGCGTGAAAGCACGTTTTCTGCCGTGAATTTTGACACCGGTGAATCTATGTGTTTCAGCCTGTCCTTTGATAATCCCTCCGCTTGTTTTGTGGGAACGGAGGTCAGGTCTTTGCACACTTTGGTCCTGAGCACGTGCGGCGCCCGAATTGTTCAATGATATCAACTGAGCTTGGACAAAACTACTTCTGGCAAGAAACCGCCTTTCACAGAAAACATGCAAAATAAACCGCCTTTGGATCCCCAGGGGAATCAGACCCAGCTAAAGCAGTGGAACCCATCTATTTCCAACCAAACTCTCCAATCACAAGGACACCTATGCTCTCAAGGTAAACACATAAACAGAATTTAGGTCCTCCAGTAGAGAGGTTAGAATAAGAGTACCAACATTTTTCTGTTTTGTCTATTTTGGTAGGGGAGCCGAATCTCCCAACCCAAAAAACAAAGGGTAAGAGGAAAGGGCACGACTGGCTGGGGGACCCAGTAACAATTCACCGTTTGGTTTATGGGTCCAAAAAAAAACGGATGGTTGGAGAATCAGGGTTTTTCCATGTCTCTCATTCTGGTGGCTACGAAGCAAAGAAGTGAAGAGAAGAACTGGAGAAAATCTGCTTCGAGTCGGCGCTGAGCCCGGTGAAAATGGCTCCCGCGGGCCCGAAGTCACTTTGGATGAGATATCCGTGTGCGAATCCGCGGGAAAGTGAAGAACTTCGAAATGACTGCGTTGGACCAGGCGTTTGTCTGACTTTGTTTAGTTGCCAAAACACAACTTAAAGTATATTTGCCCTTATTGGATGGGTCTTGTTCACTGTTAGTGGGTTAAATGGAAATGCAACCTCTAAAAACCCTAAAAAACGCAAAAGGGCTAAGGAAACGGTGACACCGGGGGCGACTCCTGGGCTCCGAGTGGGCGCCTCGAGCGCGTGCTGCAGCGTGCTGCGCACCAGGATGCACACCTTTCGCGCGAAGGTGGCGATGACCGGGCGAGGACCCTGGCAAAAAAAATTGGCATGGGTTGGCCCCCAAAACGAGTGGGGGCTCCTCCTGACAATCCCCGCAAAAAAAACGTGTCTGTCTTGTGTACGTCTTGTGCTGTAGATGTTTGCTTTGGATGCCCTTACCAAGAATCAGAAGTCGTTTTCACCCATAGCAGCGCCTTCATGGGCTCGGTGGGAGAATGAAGAGGCCTGTACAGACCCCCAGAAACCCTTCATTTCTTCCGGGGGGTCAGAAGGGTTTACCCTGCCAAGTCGCTCGGTTGCGGAGATGATCGAAGTTGCTCCTTGCAGCGAAACTCAAAGATCAACGTGCCGTTTGCCATGGTTTTAACATGCGCAGCCAAAGGAAGCTAGTGCAAGAAGTAGCTTCCGAAACATCTTCCTCGAGTCGGCAGTCCGCGTTGCAGCTCCCTTCATCCACCTTCCAAGCCCCCGTGAGTCCCTCGCAAAGGGGCAGCTCATTCGCAGCGCGCCGGCATCTTCGTCGGAAGGGTCACTCCAGGTGCGCTACGCCGATTCAAGACGCATTGAATGGAAGCCAGCTGGCAGGACCCAACCAAATTGACAAAGGTGTTGCCCTCGTCTCCACTTGGCTGTGGCTCAGAATTAAACAGGAGGGGTTACGCAGGTTTTGGTCCATGTTTCCACTTACCATTCCATGTTGGTACCGGTTTTTTGAGCCACAGCCACTTGGGTAGAAAACAACAAGTCAAGTCACGCCGTTCTAGCCATGGGCAATCAAACACCAACGGATGCACACCCCAACCTAGAAGATGCCCCGGAGGAGAAAGCCCTCTCAACCACAAAGATGTTGGGTTCTGTTGCCCCGTTCCCCACTTGTGCAGCACAACAAGTCCAAGGCGATCAAACACATCCCAAACGGATGGGTTCTTGTGCACCCATAATGTTGCGAGTTTCAAAGTCGGTAATGTTGACCCAGGATTCAAAAACCGTCCCACTATTAGGGGGGTGTTCCCTCCAGAAGTGATGAATCCCCACCAAAAGGGGACACCCCCCTACTAATCAACCAGGGGCTCATTAATCCGAGGTTAACATTAAACAAACAAATGCAACCAACCTCACCAACCTCCCCAGTAACAAACCTACGACTAGCAGCCCTCTCCGAAGCGCAGTGGCCACAGGAAAAAGACTACCCTTTTATTTATCGCTTGCTTTTTGCAGGAACCCAAAACGAAGGGACACATGCCTTTGGCACAAATCCAAAGCTTACCAACCTCCCCAGCAAAAGAAAAACTAACAGCCGCCCAACCTCGATGGAGCAAAAAATAAATGCATGTGCTGTGCTACCAAGGTGGGCCATCCTTGTGACGCCGTTATCATTTTCAACGGGATTGCCCCAGGGTATCACTGGGTGTCTTTTTTAGGGAACCCCAAAAAAATGGCTGCGCTTTTCATTTGGTGGTCCTTTAAAGCCAACGAAGAAGGGTACCCGAAAAAAAGAAAGAAACAAAAACTGATCCAGTCAGCACCCCCAACAACTGCTTTTCCCATGTCCAAAGTCCCCTTGGCACGGTAACCAAAAAGCACTGCCCTAAACCCCAACATGTTGTGGTTGTCCTTCTGGTGTTCCTTTACAAGCAACGAACAAGGGTCTCAGAAAAATACAGAAGCAAAACCGCCCAGCTTTCAATGAGCTCATCGCCTAACTCGGAAGCTTTCGACAAGAAAAAACCAGGTCCTCCAGTAGAGAGGTAGAATACCCTCCCCCAAAAAAGGGCAAAAGGGCACTACTGGGGGACCTCAAAACGGCGACGGCGCGTTCGTTCCTGCAGCTCTTGGCGTCGCTGAAGTCGTACCTCGACTCCACGTAGGCCGCCGCCGCCTCCAGGCCTCGATCGATCTGAGCCACTCCAGGCTGGGGAAAGCGACCGCCACAACAAGAAGTCCGCGAGATATGGATGTGGCTCGGACCAATCGGACGGAAAAAGGTATGGGTCAAAATCTTACCCCTTAAAACTCCAAGCCCTGGGGAAGTTAATCTTTTACAGACATATAGCCCATGTTACCCAAAAAGTTGAAAAGTTGTGTTTTTAAGAGGTAAGAAATGAACCACTAGGGACCGCAGGTTTCAGAGCTGATTTCCATTTAGGGCTCCATTTGGGGTACCGTGTTTTGTTTGACCCACACCCAAATGGTGCAACGGCCGTCCTTCTGGTTTCCCTCTAAAACCACAAGAAAAGAGATACCAACTCAAAAGCAGATCGAAACAGACCACGGGGGTCCCCTAAACACAAACACCCCACCCATAAAGCACCAACTGGTGTGGTTTCACATCCATATTCAGCTTCCCTCCAATTGGTGGTATGGATTGGTGGTTTGGTGGTTAAGGACAGCTTCCAATTTACCTTCTACAAGAACGAGGGACTTGTTCAATTCAAATCCAAATCACCAATCCAAACCACCAATGAGGAGATACCTGAGTGCCATACAACTTGCTCCTCCCCCCCAACATCCAGCTTGGCTGGAACTAGGACCCCAGCAAAAGACTTGTTTTTGCCTGGTTAGTGGAAAACAAAGGGGGCCCAAAAAAGCAAAAACAACAAAAAGAGGAGCTAATTCTGGGGAAGCCAGTAGCCCCTCCTTGGTGTCGACTACCTGGTGCTTGCTCCTCCCTGACCTCTGCTTCTGAGGTGCGCTGCAGCAAGGGCTCCAGCTCTGGCCGCAACAGCAGATCCGAGCCTTGGTCCAACTCCTGCGCGAAACGGGTCCGGGAGACTGCGCAGTGTGGCTCACTTGTGGGTTCCGAAGAGGTGACTAAAGTCCAGGAACTCAGAAAGTGAGCATATGACCACATGTGGGTTCTGCACAGGAAGGGGCAGGCGACATCAACTGACAATCCTTCAACCACCTCAACCGCATGTCTGTGGAGAAGACAAAAGACCTGAACCCGAAAGTGAAGGTTTGAAGCTGGTGGTGTTACTTTCCGCAACTCAGGACCCCTTTTTCAGGGCTGCCCGTTTTTCAGATCTGCTGAAAGTTTGGCGCACTTGTGGGTTCAATTCGGACACCCAAGCACTAAACCAACGAAAAAGATCTAAGAGCCTAAGTTGAACCGGATGGCCGGTTGAGCGGGACTGAACCGTTTGAGGGGATTCCCCGAATAAAGGAAACCACCAGTTGGAAAGTGTTTTTTCGTGGGGTCATTCCATTTCTCATTTTTCTGCTGGGTACCAGCAAGCAAAGGGAAAACGAAGGAGCCAGCACCAAAAGGGGTCGTTGCTGTCTTGTTTTCAGGAACTACCAAACAACCACAAAAAAATGAAGGTGTTCCAGCCAAAAAAGAGGGTCAACTGGCCTCATAGGGCACTGCCATCTACTCCAAATACCCTCTTTTTTCTGGGTATCATGTCGACCCTCTACTAAAAATGGAGGTATTTACCATGGAAAACCAGGTTTTCCTAAAAATACCCTGAAAAAAACGGGTATTTTGAGTAGGGGGTGCTTCTTGGACAGTAAGGAGACTTTGGACATGGAGTAAAACAGTTGTTGGGTGGTGCTGGAAATTGCTCCTGTTCGGATTTGGACTCCAAAATTGCGCAACGGCTTCGTTGGTGGTTTCCCTCTACCATCCAAACTGGGCACTCTCACAAAAGACCTTTCAGGGTAGGGTTGAAGAGTCGGAAGAACTTGAATGGAATTTTCGGAGTTTGGGGGATTGAACACGGGAAATCGCACGGGGATTGGAGACAACCACGTGCTCTTTGCTGACTCCTGCAAGAGCTACTATTGCAAGGAAAGAGCATGGAGTGCGTACATGGGAATGCAACGCAACTTTCCCTGTCGGCCCCGAAGCCGAAGCGAAACGTCCCCTCATTACATAGCCAGATGGTTGGCGCCAAGGCTCAAGCCGACTCAAGCTGCCACTGACCAACTAGACGCCCCAAACCAGCAACCACCTGTGTTTCTCGCAAAACATGTGGAGCACGCTCTGAGCTGAACATGAACTCTTGCAAGAAAGTCAAACCAGTGACTTCCCCCTCCTGCGCGATGGAAGCGGAGCATTGCAGCACATCCAGCCTGGCGCTTCCAGAAAAGGCGCGCGAGCTCCTGGTTCCACCTGTTTCGTTTTTTCCGTTCTGATTTCCCCAGCGCCAGGCGTTTCCGCCTCGAATCTCCAAAAGACAACTAGGTCCTCCAGTAGAGAGCTTAGAATAAGGGTACCAACTTTTGTCTGTCTATTTTAGTAGAGGAACCCTCCCAACCACAAAAGGGTAACAGGGCACTGGGGGACCCAGACAAGCAGCCTCAGACCCAGCTCCGCATAGGGACTTTGGGGTGGCCAAAGAGCTGACTGCTACATCCCTGACAAGCTGACTGCTCCAACATGGGCGTGTCTTTCTTGGCATCTGGAAACAAAAAACTGACGCCTCACTTGGCGTGACCGTGAGAGCTCAGGGGTGCGGGTACTAACTTGGCCGAGGCGAAGATAGGCCGAAGATAGGTGTCCTTTCAGAAAAAAAAGAACAGAAAAAAACAAACATGGGTTTTCCCGCTGATTGGGGAATAGAAACCATGCAAACTGGTGGAACCTGTTTTTTTGTGTTCAACCAAACTAACCGATCAAAAAGGACACCTACGCGGCCGAAGAAACGCATCGGAAGATGCCTCTCTGCCACCTGCGCGCAGTAGGCCTCGAGTCGGTCTCGCTCCGATAGGGCCTCCTGAAGGCTTGGGCCAGGTTTCGTCTCACACATCGCTTTGGCCGGGCAAAGTGAAAAAATGGGCCGGTGGGTCACCCGAAATGGCTTGCCCTGGCCAATGGAAGAATGGACTAAGACCTGCGGTTTCCTGGTGGCTTTAATTCTGACCCACAACCAAATGAGTCCAACCAGGCATTCCCCTAAAGGAAAGCACAAGGGATGGTTTATAGGGATCGTTCCCTCATTCCCTACTGAGAACCAGCAAGTTTTACTGGGTAGAGACACCTTCCAGCGTCTTATCTGCTTGCTCACTCACCTTCCCTCTCCTGACACTGCGACCGCAGCCACGCCGACTTCCGCTCTAGATCCCGATGCTCGGCCTAGCTCGATTTCGCGTGTGGGCTATGTTGTGGGTGAAGCTTGATTTGAATAATGTTGACCCCGGATGAATAAACCCCTGTTGATTAATATGGGGGGTTCCCCTCCAAAAGTGATAAATCCCCACTAAAACCGGGGACACCCCCATATTGATAAACAGGGGTGTATTAATCCGGGGTCAACATTACTGGTTCATAAACCACCTACTGCGCAGTGAATTCTGTACATGCAAAGTAGCAAGCCCTCTGGTGATGTTTGACATTCCGGAGCTGATAGGCCCCATGGCGGTCCGTGGTTGCAAAAACCTGTTTGAGAGAAGTTTACGGAATCGACTACCATTTTATAGGGAGTCCATACGAGACAAATACCAAGATTGTCTAGTTTGCAGATTCCTTCATACAGAAAGCTGCTGTTTGTCTAAGGAAGATTTGGCGTGCAGGAATTGCAAATTATAGTTGACATGATCAGTTCCTCGTGTTTACTTTGGATTAGGCACTCTTTTTCCAACAATCATCAACGTGGACACAGGGGTTCCCAAAATTCTAGGGATTTCAACCATCGTTCTTTTCAAAAACCGGCTGTTTTCCTTGGGTTTTTGATGGTTTCCTGAGAAGACTCGGATCCCTGGAAAGAACGGGGCCATGGTACCCCTAGAAAAATGAATGTAGTCTTCCAAATGACCATCCTCCCCAAAAGGGTCTTGGGGCCCAGAGCCTTGGGGCGGGCCGGGACGCCGGGGCAAGATCAAGCCTCACTCGTTACGAGAGCACTGCCACCTGGTCCCAGCTGCTTTTTGGACACCAAGGATATGTTGGACATGGGGAAAAGCAGTTGGAGGGTGCTTGTGGTAGATTCCAGTTCTGCGAGGAATTCACACGACGCCGCTCGCTGGTTCGTGAAGCGACCTTCAATGATGCAACTCACAGTCACTTCATCCAACGTCCAGGGAGCTGAATTGGCTATGGGTGCTTCATGTAACCGACGTCCCGGTTACTTTGCTGCTCTGCTCCCCTCGTTCTACCACTCAAACCTGTCCTCAAGCCTCCATAAACCAACGCTACAACGGTGAACACTCCTTCGAGTCATGATCTGAAAGAAACACCAAAGGCCTCAGCAACTTTCAAGCCAATGTTTGGGCACTAAGTTTGGAGCATCTTTCGTGACTCTGTTTTAAAAAAAAAGAAGCCCTCGGTTCCCAACTACTGCTTTTTGGGCAGAACTATGGGGACTTTGGACACGGGGAAAAAACAACGGCAAGTTGGAGGGCGTGCTGGCATCACACCATGGATTTGTTCTCCACACCTTCAGGCGAGAAAATCGACCTGACCGCGTCACCTTAAGGGGTTCTTTTCGACCCGAGCGGGAGCCCCAACTCAGCCAACTCCCCGACTCCAGCGGGTCGCGACATCTCGCGACCTTCGATGTCCGGACAAACGTCCGCGAATTTCCAGGGCCGGGCGGAGTTCTCGTCGTCTCCAATTCACTTGCACGGCCACTCGCATGGGTGTCCTTTTCGGGGAAATAGATGGCCTTCCCTGGTAGATGATGCAACCACCAGATAAACCAGTAATCGCCATCTATTTTTTCCAGCAAAACCAACCAAAAATTCGACACCCCTATGGGCCACTCGTCTCTCGAGTCGATGGGCCACTCGTCTCTCGAGTCGGTTTTTGTCGCCTCCAAGGTGTCGAGGGCCTGAAGGAGCTGCAGCTGCTGCTGCCGCGAGGAGCAGATGCCCAGCTGCAGCTGCTGCATCCAGCGGAGGCCTGGGATATGCGAGCGCTGAGCGAGCGAGCCGCGCGGCGGGGGGGGAACTTTGGGAGTCCCAGTCTCGGAGAACCCCCTCCCCCCCCAAGGGAATGAAATCCAAGGACATTCTAGGGGTACCAGGGCCCCATTCTTTCCAGGGATTCGAGTCTTTTCAGGAACCCATCAAAAACAACAGGGCTTCGCAGCCCTGACATTTCAGGACTCCCCGGGAACGTCGCACGGACCTTTTTGTACGATGGCTATAGTTTGCCCAGATATGGCTGTGGTTCAAAAACCAATTGTACCATTTTGGGGTAGGTGCACCACCCATTTTAGAACCTATTTTAGTGGGGATTGGGATGTTCACTGGGGGTACGATTTGGATTTTGACCCATGGCCTATATGTGAAACGGGAAAGGTGCGCGCAAACCACACCTCGAACGGTGCGGTCAGCCTTGCATCCACAAAGCCAACACAAGAGGGAAAAATGGTCCGGATGGAGCAATGCGGTGTTCAATGGAACAAGTGCAGGGAATGAATCAGTCTCAAAATATGTATGACCTTGCTGGATGGGATGAAAAGAAGAAACAAAAACACAAGGAAACCAACCAGCTGGGGGTCGATAATTTGAGAAATTCCCTTTTGAGGATAACCCGGCGTGTCAACACGGTGTTGAAAGCCTGCGACAGTTCGATCTGCATGCCTAGCCCCCCAGCTCGTGGGAGAAATTTCAAAAAGGCAGAGGTGGGGGAGGTGGAGTGGCACGGAAAGCAGTCAAAAAAACCTTCCATGAGGCAGCTGATAAGCGGCCTTACGCGAATATTTTCCCAGCTTGTGTCCCCAGCTTGCTTGAGGCAATATAGCCAATCCCTACCTAGAACCAGCAAAATTGGAGGCGCCTGTTCCTCGTCGGACTGAACATGAGCATCAATCCTCTGTCTCTACAACATGCGGCTTGTTTAGGCTTCCGCGTGGTCGATGTTGCGTGTAACTTGTGGTTCAACATCTTCCTGACACTTTCTGGCTCTCAGCAGGGAATGAGAAATGGAATGATCCCTATAAACCATCCCTTGTGGCTTCCTTTGAGGGGACTCCTAGGTCACTGAGCACCAGCAAGGAAAAGGGGTTGTTCGAAAAAGAGTTGCCGGCGCTTGTTTGCAGATGGCCCACAAGACAAACCTAGTACTAAAGTGGTCTACCCAAGACCATGCAAAGAATCCAGTTCGACTGCCCCCTGCGGACCTCTGCTGAGCTGCTCGGATGTTTTTGATGGCTCACCTGCTTTGTCGTATCCCGCAATGGGCAACAATCATTCCAAATCGGCAGGGCCTAGTTATGTTTTGGAATGGGGAACAACCGCCATAGCTGGTGGACGTAAAATCCCGATCCAAATGATGTCCACCAAAGGGTCAATCAAAATCACACCCAACTGGACGGATTTCCGAGCCAAGTAGCGCGAAGCTTTGCTTTCCTGCAGGCGGCCTTGCACCGTGAAAACCATAGCAAGGCGTGAAGCCAGGGCGAATCCCCAAACTGGGCGGGTTACTTGTTCTTTCCCTTTCAAGCAACCCAACAAGAGTACCCTCCAACCTCATATCCTGAATGCCAGAAGCAACCATCATCACTGTCCACATCATCATAACCACTGCCTCTGCCATTGAATCCCCTACCGTCACCACCGCCGCAATCCCGCCACCACAGCAGCAGCCGCAACTGCCATTGCCACCGCCATTGCCAGCATCACCACCACCACCGCCACCACAACCAGTACTGCCAGCATTACCTTTCACCTGCAGCAGCACCAATACGTGAGTGCTGACTACTCATCTCCACTCACCAAATCTGGATCCCTCGCCCAACATGAGCTGTGCAGCTTTGATAGGACGAACCCCCCCCCCCGGAGCCAAGCCCATCTTCCCAGCCAGAGCGGCGCTGGTAGGCGGCCTGGCCAGCGTGTCTCCAGACCCAAGTGGCGGATCTCGTTCAAGGCTCAGCCCAAAGGACCCTCTGTGCTCCTTTAAGGTTACTTCGGCAATCCCTCTTGGTGTCCTTTCTAGGTCCTCCAGATTTGAGAGGTTAGAACAAGGGTACCCTTTTGTTCCGTAGGTTTTGGTAGGGCACTGCTGGGGGAACCTAGCTTTGTAAAGCCATCCAACAACTGCTACCCTCAACTCACTTGCCCAGTTTGGATAGGGGAAATCGCACGGGATCACCTTTGTTGGGTGCCAAAGTGGGAAAACCAAAAGGTCAGATCTGGTCGATTCGCGTTGGACAGCTGAGAAGGCACCATCCCGGGCTTAGCCAAGTTGCAAAAAACCGGCAATTTGTCGCTTGCGATGAAGGTGTTTCCCCGGGGCCTGGTTCTAGGCCGATGTTTGGAAAAAGATATGCTACCATTTTGCTGTTTCGCTCCCCTGGAAAAAATGAACACAGATCTCTTCCCTTCAAAACCAAGGGAAAACAATGAAACAAACATATTAATTTCAGCAAATGGAAGCATGGCGCCCCTTTTTGGACGGAATGCCTTTTCAAGGGGAGGTCACCAACTGGGTGTCTCTCCCTTCTGGGCCTCCCCCGTTGGTGTCCGAATCCTTTCCCAGAGACCGAACAAAACGGGCTCCGCCATTTTAGCAAGAAACAGCGGAGAAACGCGCGGTTTCGACTTCCATTTGCTTCCTCTGGACAAAAGTGCGAAGATATGTGCCGCGAGATCGATTCCCTTCAAAACCAACCGGGGAGAATGAAACCATATTCATTTCAGCAAATGGATCGAAGCTGATATGGGTGGCTCGCCTTTTTTAGGCTGGACCCCGAACATGGTGGAGCCGCAAAAAAGGAACGCGCCCTTTCTGTGGATGATCGCGAAATCCATATCGCTCGTGACATGCCACGAAATGACTATGGGAGGGAAGGAAGCCAAAACGTTTGCTTGTATTTACGTTGAGGAATCGAATCATAGGTTGCGGAACGGTGAAAAAAAAAAGGCTTAATATCAAATGGCGACCCTTGTTCTGGGCTGTCCAGTTTCTGATCCCCTGCTCAAAGTTGAACTTGCGGGTTAAAGGGAAACCACTAAGCCTTCTGAAAGCCTCAACACCTAAGAATGATGCCTGGGAACCGGATCCCAAGTTTGGGACGCCGGGCCCTTTTCCAAATGCTCCTTTTCCCGCTTCTTCTAGGTCCTCCAGTAGAGAGGTTAAACCTTCTTGTCCACTTTCGTCGTAGTACATGCTTCTACCACCCTAAGGAAACAAAAGAACACGGCCCTAAAATTTGCCCTAGGTCCTCCAGAGAGGTTAGAATAAGTTGGTACCAACTTTTTTCTGCAGTCTATTAAATAGGGGAACCGAATCTCCCAACCAAAAAAGAAACGGTGAGAAAGGGCAGCTAGCTGGGGGACCTAGACAATCTGACAACACTGCGCACATCCTCCTGTCGTTGTTTGGACATGCTTAAACGCCACGTGCCAGTTGAGCATGTCAGAACTTACACAATCTGAAAAATACGATGAGGATGTGCTAAAGTAGAGGACCCCCCTAAAATGGATGCCTTTTCTTTTGGCTGCCCTGTAAACCACACCCCAAAAGGGATACCCTCAAAAAAAACACTGCCCCAGATGATGTCAACGCACGCGCCTGGCCAGCAGCGCGTTGCTTCTGCAGGGCCTGGAGTGAAGCAGCGAGGCTGTGGGGTCTCCGGTGTCCGGGTCGGTTGTTGAGCCCCTGCAAAACCTCACTTGAGTGGATTGGCCACAAACAAATCTAACACTTTGTGCTGACCACTTAGATGGTCTTCCTTGGGGTTGTCTCGTGAAGGAAGCCCAACCAACACGGGTGCTGTCATTTTGGCGTCCCTCGAAAACTATTTGTGAGGGTGCCACATGGAACGTCTGGAGAAATTGAAAAATATGTCCATCCCCTATTGGTAGACGAGGTCGCCATTTAATTTGCCCAGAGACCATTGAGAGCAACCTCTGAATCCTCCCAAAGTGCACACTGCCGTCCCTACATTCCAGCTATTACACACACCGTCACCCCACCTAAAGGAAACTCATAACATAAGTTCGTAAATTTGCCGCAAAGGTCCGCGGGCAAAGGTTTCCTCGTTTTGTGGCACCTCTGACCAGGACACTGCGGCACAAAAAGAATCCAAAGAAAATTGGGGCTCGTCCCCGGCCCGGTTGTGGGGAACTTCAGTTAGTCCATGCTCTCACAAGGACCACAGACTGATCTGCAAAACGTTGCTCTAATTTCAAAGTTTGTTTTTAAAGAATTGGATCCCCGAGCAAAGGACCTTCATCATGAGGCTCGCTGTACCACGAATGCGGTGAGCTCGCAAAGGCAGAATCATTTTGACCCAACTATCCTCCAGAAGAGAGGTTCGAACAAGGGTACAAACCGTTTTTTTGCGTAGTCTTTTTTAGTAGGGGAACAGCCCGAATCGCCTCAAGGGTGCTGAGCTCGTCCAAGCGGGGCTGGGGCGAGACCTGGCGATCGCGACGGCAGACTTTGAGGGTCGATGCTTCCGGGAAACCCGAAAGACTTGCTGGTTCGATTCGCAAAACCATCCAACCCAGCTATATCACCAGCAAGAAGACCAATAGCCCTGAAGCTACTTGGATTGATGGCTACGTTAGGGGTGGTGTCCCAATCAAAACCAACCTAGGTAGACAAAAGAAGGCGGTTGCAAAATATCCATCATAAGGGGGGAGGATTGTTACTGTACCACCGTCTTTAGAGCAAAGTGCCCTAAACCCAGCTTCCCCCTATGGGGGAAAGCTGCTGCTTCTCATGAAAGTGCCCCAACAGGTCTCCAACAGTGCAAAGAGCGCAGCATGGATGACCACTCCACTTACTGTAGTAAGTGCTGAACATTTCCAGTTAACAAGTCCTCTAAGTGTCTTTATATGTAGGGAAATCAGATTCCACTGTATTCCAGCAAGACACAACTCCCTTGTCCAGTGCCCATGGGAAAAAGGGCAAGACCTTGCGTTCGCTTTCGAAGGGAAAGGCCGCAGTTGGCCTATCTTCCGTAGAAATGTGCAACTTGTGCAATTGTTTTCCAAAACCTGAAATAAGGAATCCTCAAGGAAAGTGCCTACATCACGGGAAGCTTGCTTTCCCACCAGGGCGAGAACTGGAACGAAAGCAAGTTAGACATGCTGACTGCCTAACTGATGAGTGAAATTCCGCATCATTTGGGCACCCCGTGCTGGGCTCTGGCGGCGACCTCTAGCCAGCCCGATACCCCCAAAAAACCAAGGGAATTCACAGAGAATCATCGGGCGACCACCAGGCAACCAACAGGCAACCACCAGGCAATCCCCAGAAAGCATTGAGAGCCTCAACTAGCCTGCAATGAAGCTTACGTGATCATGACGGGCCCGCAGCGCCGAATTTTCCGGCCCCTCGTTTTGAAGGACAGCCAGCAAACCCAACAGGGATCCTTACAATACACACCTGAACATTGCCTTGTAAATGGTGGTGTCCCTTTATTTTGGTGGAAAAAGCCATGATTCAAATTGGCAAAATGTATCTTTTAAGGAGCCCTGCCCAAGCAAGCCTCCTCTTCCAAGTAGGCCAGCTCCTGCAGGAAAGAAAAAACATGGACATGGTGACGGATCGTGGCAAGAGACTTGCTGCCCGTCAAGTCGAAACCAAAACTTGGGAACCAAATTCAAACCACCAACTGGAGGGAAGCTGAAATGTAATGTTGTCCCCCTATTAATCAACACCGGTTTAATAACAGGAGGGGCGTGTTTTTGGGCTTAGTGGGGAATCAGACCATTTTTGGAGGGGAACAGGGGCTACCCTCCCCCAAAACATGAAAGCTCCCCTTTCAGAAACTTGGTTCCCATTGAGGCCTGGGAGCTTCCCTAGGTCCTCCAGTAGAGAGCTAAGAATAAAAGTACCAACATTTTTCTGTCGTCTGTTTTAGTAGGGGAACCCTCCCCAAAAAAAGGTGAGAAAGGGCACCTGGCTGGGACCTAGTTCCATAGTCTGACGCCCAAATGCCAACAACTCAAATACTGGAGAGCCGGGCTATCCGATTGCCCCAGGCTCAGCTGATTGCTCTGCTTCAAAGCTTCAGGGAGTGGTTCGTTTGCACAGCAACACACTAGAGCAGGAGGGCAGAAGGAAATTAGCAGGGCACCACGACTTTGGCTTGATGAACCGACCTGGTTCTGCCGACTATTCGATGTTGGCTCGTAGGTTCCCGTCTCTTCCAGTGAGCGACGCGACTTGGACACCCCGTTTTTGAAATGTGGCACGCGATGGCATCATCAACACTGGCCACAACCCAAAGGTACGCCAAAAGCAACATGTCTGGGTGACTTGTAATATTTCACCAACCTGAAATACGATGGTTGGGGGGGCTATTCCCCACATAAGCCACCATTTCATTTGGGGTGAGGTCGCGTGAGGTCGTTATAATTCACCCAGAATACGTTGAGAGTGTGGTTTAAGTTCTGGTCAATCTTAAACTAAATAATAGTGTCGGGGATGACCTCAGAACACGGGCCCCGAATTTTTGGGGCAAAATCCGAAGAGTTGCCGAATCAAACGCATCAGATCGGTTTAATCGGTGTTGGGTGGTGGAATGCAATGAAACGAATGCCACATCCATACCTCATAGACCGAAAAGGATCATCTAATCTAGGAGCCATGCCTGGAAATGCAAGAACCAAGCCTTGCTGTTGGCTTGCGTCGTTCTTCACTGTGCTCCTTGTCTGCGCATGACACTGTGACGGGTACAAGCATGGTGATGAACTGTGTCTTCTCATGGCTTGGCTGCTTGCAACAATCACGCGCGGCGGACGTCGACGTGTTTTCCCTCAGATGAAGGGACCACTGCAAGGGCCTGAAACAAGGGCATCCCTATTCATCGACTATAGGGTACTAGCTATAGGCAAATTTATGTCCAGAAGGAAGCCTTTCGGGGATGGAATTGAAAGCAAAAAAACATAAAAGATATCAATTTGGAGCATCCCGGACCGCCGTTCCCAGGGTTCCGGTTCTCTATGTGCTGCTGAAAACATGAACGCTTCGGGCCGACGAGATAGAGACCCCACGAATGACTGGGTGAACCCCACGAATTCCCGGGGGATTTGCACGTGTAAGTTACGACTGAGTCGCTACCGAAAAAACTTCCGAACTTGGCAACGAACACCGAGTCGGAACCAAAGCATGCCGCAGGCCGCCCTCGCCTCCAGCAGAGCTTCCTGCTGCGGTGACAGCGCTTCCATGGCATCACGATGCCGTTTCGAGTCGCCGTGAGCGTGGCTCAGTGTGGCAGAAGCGGTGCACGACGCGGGGTGGTCATTAACCTACTTCCTGCCTGAGTGTGAGTGGATTGGCGAACCAAATGTCCAAACTGTCAACGTTTACCACTAAGCTGGTCTGGCCAACAAGTATCACGGCCGGCAACTTGGGAAGTAAGCCTACAAGTCATGGCAAGAGGCTGCTGCCATACATTAAAAGCTAGCCGTAGGAGCAAAGGGACGGCAAGTCTATCTGATGCCCGGCCCCTTTACAACAACAACTAAGCCTCGGAGTGTCCTGTCTGGTGTAACATGTCTTGACCCTAGCATGCTTGTCGCAATGTAAGTGCCGGGCCTATAGTCTTTCATCCGGGGCCTCTGTAGAGAGTTCACAAATGCTGAAGAGATCAGCCGCTGGAGACGTTATCTGCGTCGGACTGCGCGTGCCTCAGCTTCTATGCCCAACTACGCAAGGACGGTCCGCATTCAATAAATGTTACCCTTCCTCCCACTAACATAACATTTGTGGGAGGGTAACCTGGAAATAAATGTCCTCTTTAAGGGACCCTCTGTCAGGTGGCATGGCAACGTGAGAGGAAGGGTAAAATTGAAAATAATCAAAGAGTCTTGTTTCATGCCAAGTCTTCAGCGAATGACCCGCCCAAACATGCCCAAACTCTACGCGTTTTAAAGGCCCCCCCCCCTAAAGAAGGACAAGTAGGTTCGAGAATCCGGAACATGTTGTCCTTTGGTGCAAGCGAGATCGCATAAACAAGCAAACCAATCAACCATTCAATCAAACAAAGCAGCAAATCGATTTAAACAAGTGAGCACATAACATAAATGCATAAAAACCATAAATAAGTAAATGAATACATAAATAAATGAATAAATAAATAGATAAATGAATAAAGAAATAAACAAGGGCCCTCCAATAGGACTAAGCTTTCCGCGCATCCCTTCTCCCTCAAAGCTGGTCAACAAATGAATCCCGGACTCATAGCGCCCCTAGCACGTTTGCCCACTGACAGGCGAGGACACCGTCTAACAAGCATGTTGAATCCTGGCTATTGTAAACAGTATAATGATAATAGTAACAGCAATGAATGATGATTGTCTGAAAATTATAACAACAAGTCAGCCGCTTTCTTTCAGACACCCCGGGGCACGCTTGTTTGGAGGAGCTCCCATCCCGAGCAACGGACTATATTACTTGGTTTTTGCCGGGTGTCTTCCTAGTTCTTGTGGGGTCCCCCATGTGCTGCCCAAACCAACAGTACACTAGCAACAATGTTGTCAGTGGCTCATATGAACTATTCCAGCGAAGCATATTGAAAACTCTGCACAAAAAATGTTTGAATGACACCTACAAAACACGGCAACTTCCAACGGACACATCCCACGTGTCAGACCCTGTGTGGCTCGGTTTTCAAGGAGCATCCCAAAAGACAACCAAGCATTACATGGACCTTTTCGAAGTTGCTGTTGACCCCTCTGCAAAAAGTGGTTCACTTGTTGTGGGTCCCCTGTGGAAAATCCATCGAGGTTCAATCAAAAAGTTAGAGTCCAAAGATCCAAAGATTCAGTCTACCTCTGTTGCACGGTGTAGGGAACACAAAGGACCAAAAAACGTCTGGCTCCAACAGGCCCTGCTGATTAAAAACTTGGGGTGGGGGGGGCCCTCCAAGAATACTGAACCACTAAAACCAGAGACACCCCATCCAGCACACCCCAACTGCATTTCTCGGAGGGATTTTGGACCATGGGGATTCTGGCAATAAGGGGTACGAGACAAAACCCGAAGCGAACGGCTTTCCAGGCCCACCTCTGCGTTGCCGTGGCAAAAGAGGATCACCCCCGCCGCCCGTGGGGCGGGTAACCTGCATGATTCGCCTCTCATCCAAGTAATTTTTACTCTCTCTGAAGACCGTGTGCAGGCTGCACTTTTCTGGACTCTGGGTTCCTTCATGGAACTTTTCCTAGGACCCCCCCAAACACCCCTCCTCCCCCTCGCTTTCCAAAACCCTCCAAAAATATGTTTGGGGGGGGGGAAACAGGGCTGGAGTCGTACACCAGCCAAACACGCCAAGACGATGCCAAATGGTGTATGCTCCATGGCTGGGGGCCAGTGTATGCTAGTTCTAGCGCGCGGAAATGATCTCCATCTGGGTGAATTATAATATGTCACCAACCTGAAATAAGGTGGTTGGGGGGCTATTCCCCACATAAACCACCATTTGGGTCGTGTGAGGTCGCTATAATACACCCAGATCTCCATACGGAATCCATGTATCGCCAGCCAAAAGCTGCAGGCTCTTCACGCCGCAACTGGTCAAAAGCTGCTGGTCCAGTTGGGTGGATGATTTGTTTGAGGGTACCCCGATTTGGGCGGTCTTCAAGGGAAATCACAATGAAACCAACCATTTGGGGGCGATTCCCTGCAAAAAAGACACAGCCTGAAACAGTCTCCTCTTCAGCAAAGTCCTTGACCCGCAATATCCGTCCCGAAAAACAAAGAAAACAAAACCCGCAGAAATCCCCAGCCCAATCCCCAGGCGCAAAACGAGACGGCGGCGCCATACGCAGGGAATGCCCTCCGAGAACCTGGCAAGCGCTCCCGCTCTCATGTAGCCTTCGATCCCAGCCTTCGAATGGCGTGCAGACGGATCAGCAAATGGTGAAGCTTGTCTGGTTTGCACGCTTAGCTATAACCTTGCGGAAAAAAGAAGAAGAAAACAAAAACAGAAGAACGACCAACCGCGCGAAGCGAAAGACATTTCCAGATCTGGCGTTGGTCAAGGCCGCTGTCCGTTTTCTGATTTGCTAAAAAAGTTTTTGACTGTTGGCTTAAACTCGGAGACCACTAAACTAAAACGGTTTAGCTGTGAGAAAAAACCACTAGAAACCGCTAGAAGCCACGGTTAAAAGGGTGAAATTCGGAAACCACTAGAAACCTCTATCCGCTTCGTGAAGCTTGCCGACTCCCCGACTCCACCATCCCAGCAAGCGGCCGAGGCGAAAAGGGATCGAAAACTCTGAAAGCTCCCAGCAATTCATATGGCAATGGGCCAAAATCCAAATCGTACCCCCAGTGAACATCCCAAAATCCCAATCCCAGAATCCAAATACCCGTGCAAAAATGGGCGGTGAATTCACCTACCTACCAAAATGGGATCCCATTCGTGTCACCAATTCATATGGACCTTGACAGGGGCTCCCGGCTTCGACCATCTTCCTTTTCAAAAGAAAAAACCTGTCGGGTTCCATGCTTACTGGTGGGATACGGGTCTTGTTTAATATTGGGTGCCCGCCTTTTTGAGTGGGAAGCCGAAGGCAACACCACCAATTTGGGAAGTCCCAAAATTGGACACACTCATATGACTCATATGTTGGTAGGGAGTGCAACAGTCAGTGCCCTCAGAAAAAGTCTGCGCCTCTCGTCGTCCACGCGGTCTGGAGACACCTGAGCGGCGCGACTAGCGATCGGACTTGAAGAGTGGCGTCACTCTCATGCAACCTCGTCCCCTTCTGTTCGGAGAAAAACACAAAAAGCGGCAGTCCATCGGAGTAATTACATTACTTGGCACCCGATTGCAGTTGGATCCAATGTGTTACGTACTTCAATTGCCTGCTTTAGACTCGGTGACCGGCGCAACACCTGGGCCTGTGTTGATGCAGTTTGGTTTTTCCATAAGGATCAGCATGCCTCGTGTGATGGAGGCATACTAACTTTAAGAAGACATTGGCTTCTTTTGGGCATGTCTGTGCCTCCGTTCCTCGCCACTTTTCTGCAGCTGAAGCAGGTCATGACTCTGTCCCCGGTAAGCTTGGGCTGGCCGAGAAAAATGGACAACTGGTCGCAAATTCCTTGTGTCGAGCCACATCGTTCGAGTATTTGTTTTGCTCTTGCTGCTCGCCCGAAAGTCAATAATTTGAAGAACCACTTCCCCCTCTCTAAACCATCGTAGCAATCTTCTGGCCGGTCTCACTATTGAAAACATATCACGGGCTGCAAAACCATATCTCGACTTGCTCAACTAACCACAAAGAAGGTTTCCAATGATGTCAGCCTGCGCTTTCAAAGGTTCATCCGAATTTCCATGGGCATCAGCCGTTTTGTGCATCAGGCTCCTCCATTTCTGCTGAATGGCCCACAGCCAAAAAGCCGCTGACGCGCGCGTCTTTTCTGAGGCCGGGACGGCTTCATTCCAAGGAATCCAACAAAGATGCCTTGGGGGACGGCACACGTCGGGCATGGAAGCTTCAACCGGGACCTCGCCCCCGTTTGAAAGGGGGGGGCACAAAAGAAGGATGCGGAAACTCCATGGGTGTTGAGTTTGTTTACGCTTGGCAACTGAAAATGGCCTTTCTGGAATCTTCTGCCTCTTCGAGAGAGAGAGAGAGAGAGATTCCAAGCGATGACCGGGACACGCCATTGCAATGATCGAGCATGGCCATACTCAGGGCCCCCTGCTTCTTGAAAGCGTCCTGCACAGGACGCGCTTAATTCCACGCAGAAGCCGCAAGTCATCGGATCATCTTCTTACAGGGTGAAAGTGCATGGCACAACTCCCTTTATGCGGGGTGCGATAAGGGAATGAGGGAATGCACCGTTTGGGGGTCCCCTTAAAGCAAACCACCAGTTGGATGGTTTGGGGTCATTCCATGTCTCAGGGACCGCGCATCTCTCGCACTCGCAAGTCTCACCGTGACACACTTCGCGGAGCGTAAACAAATCATGGCGGAAGAAGGGGCTTTAGGCTTTACACCCTTGTCTCCGCATGCGGCTTTTTCTGCTTCTACTCGGGGCTTGATCCATCTGAAAGGCCCCCGGCCCCCGGCCATGGGCCACTTCTCCTAGGGGAATATATCAAATCTTCCTGGCGGCTTCCCCTCACGGCCCATCCTGCGCAACGGACCTCTTGGATCAACCCCCACTTGATGCATCCTGAGAAGAGGCCCCGAGACTTTCTTGCGCTAGCCAC